CTGTCATCTCTATGTCCTAAACCTGTGTGTATCTCTTCTGTTACTGTTATTGTAGATCTGGCTGTAATATTACGTTGGAAAATGATCTTATCAATGGATATGGTTGTCAAGACGAATTGCTGCTGATTTTAGAATTGTTATCAATGCTGTCGGAGACTGGTTTGAATAATACTGATTATATTCTAGATTGTGTTAGATTGTTAATGTATTTGATGAGTATGTAAAAAAATATCCCAGAATTAAATAGGGGTATTTAAGCGAGTCAACACTAAATTATTCAGCAAACTATTTGCTACAGAGTGTAGCATTTTTCTTCTCTGACTGTACTCATTACTTATGTTAAAAACATAAAAAAATGGTTTATTTGATGTTGTCAAATATAAATGAAAGTAAATTGTTTCACTGGATTTCATGTTATTTGAAAACAAAATCTGATGTCCAGTATTGTATAATCCCTTATGTTTTGGGAACAACATTAATGATGTTAATAACATATGGTGCTACGGTTGGGGCAGCACGGTGGTGCAGCGGGTAGCGCTGTCGCCTCACAGCAAGAAGGGCCTGGGTTTCATTCCCCGGACAGGTGACCAAGGTCCCTTCTGTGTGGAGTTTGCATGTTCTCCCCGTGTCTGCATGGGTTTCCTCCAGGTGCTCCAGTTTCCTCCCACAGTCCAAAGACATGCAGTCAGGCGAATTGGAGATGCTAAATTGGCCCTAGATGTGAATGCGTATGTCTGTGTGTCTGCCCTGTGATGGACTGGCGACCTGTCCAAGATGTTTCCTGCCTTCCGCCCAATGACCCAGGAGGAGAAGTGGCTTAGAAAGTGTGTGTGTGTGCTACAGTTGTTTTTTTGTATATTTTGATTTCTAGATGGGAAAAAAAGAGGAATATTCCAACAGATGAAAAGAAAAATACTTGTCGAGCCTTACTGTAGATTATGATATGAGACTGTTCATCTCTTACGACAGAAAATGAATATATTATTTGAAAGTGAGTACAAATACTTATACCATAAAATGTATACTGTACACACATGCACAGTTTGCCCAATGACAGATCAAAAGTGGTGATATACAGATGTATATGTACAGATGTGTATGTGAATGTACTGATATGATAGAGATAGATTTCCCAGAGTAACGAATTGTTGTTTAATAAAGAATTACTACATTCTATAATTCATTTTAGCATTACATTTTATTTTTCTATAAAATTTTATAAAAGCGTTTTACATTGGTACTGTTATTTACAGTCTGTGGCACTGAAGTAGACCTAACTGCCTTTTCAGATTTAAAGGGGCTTTAGAGCCTAAAACTAGCATTAATGTATTATGTCATGTTACTTAAAATTCTGTAGAAAAGTGTCGTTCAGTCACATCAGTTTGACAAAATTCATTATTTTGTATCTCTTTTGTGTTTCTCTTCATCAGCAAGCGTTCTCTCACTACACTACCCAGCAGGCATTAGGTAAATATGTCAAACAACCACTGGGAATCCCCCAAAGTGTAATAAAGAAATCCTCACTGTAAGCATACAGCTTAAAAAAGATGGTTCTTCAGGGGTTCTTTAGTAAAGGCAAAGGTATATATAAAACCATTTTATGTGTAAAAGGTGAAATGGTTCTTCAGACTGATGGAGAATGTCGTATATAGAACCTTTTTGAAAAAAGGTTCTATGAAGCACCACAAAAGGTTTTTTGTTGTTATATCAAGCTGTAACAATAGCAGAAGCCTTTTTGGTGCCATGTAGAACCATTTCCAAAAAGGTACATATACAACACGTTCTATATTAATCAGAGGAACCATGCAAAGAACCATTTAAACATGAAAAGGTTCTAAATAGAATGATTGATTGTCTTTACAGAAGAACGTTGAAGAACCATCTTTTTTTTCGTGTGTAGCCACTGATGTAGCAGCTAACGTTAATACTTAAATACGGAAGTGATTCAGTCTCTAGCTGAACCATTAGCTAGCTAGCAAAGTATCTGACTCCTTCTACACGAGCCAACTAATGGAATAAAAAACAAACAAAACGAACCAACCAAACAAACAAAAAAAAACAGCAAACAGCTAACGCTAAATGCTTTTAGTTTTACTTGCTCTCACCTTCAAAATACGTCATAAGGAGGTGTTTTTTACTCTTTAAACTGGAAACTTTCACTCCAGAGAATACAGTGGCAGCACTGTGGAGGACAGTAGGCATGTTTACAGTGTATAGTAATGGTTATATTTTTATTTTGGCTGGACTGCCCCTTTAAGTTGTTCCATATGAATTTAGCTCGTTTACCTAAAAATATTAAGGTACTTAAAGATTTTTTAAAACTCTTTAAGACTAACGAAGCTGTTTGTACAGCCCATAACTCTCTCCAGCCAGCCACCAAACTTTGGTCTCCGTTGCAAAGCATATTGGGAAAGCGTTCTACGCCCAAAATGGCGGCAGGATTGAAAAGTTTGGGGCTGTTTTTGTTCTAGTTTGTGCTTCTCTTGTACTTCATCTGCTTTCGTTCTGACATTAGTACCGCTCATGTTCGCTAAGGAGTATGTTATTGTTTTCGTACGCTGTCATAAACATGCGAAGTGAGCTGTGGTTTTTCAGCACTGTCCCACTTTCCGCCGGGGGGATCCCTCTGTAGTTCACTGGGAAGGTGCCACCATTGATTGCTGTAGCTGTTTGGCATTGAATCCACGACAACCTCCTCTGCCTAATTAAAGTAAACATGAAGAGCATTTGTACATAGAGATGGAGGATGATGTAAAGAAAGTTAAAAAGGTAAGTTCTGACTGTCTCTCGGACTTTGCGGCAGATTTTTCAGAGCTTGCCTCACTGTTTGGCTACAGTAGCCAGCGCGCTAGCCTAGCCACAGGGCTAACTGGTTAGCTAGTGCTACGCTAATGAGACCAGCATTGCATTGCACAGGGAACTGCTGTGCTGAAGCACTATGTTAAAACTATGTCTATGTCTCTAACTTAAAGTGCCGTCTGTGGCTGTTAGTGCTGTAAGCGAAGTGAATAGTTAATTACTGATGATTAAGTGTGTCCTCACAAAGAGCAGCGTTTAAAACTTCAATTTAAATAAACTGTGTTGGCTAACTTAGTTGGCCGCTGTAGCTTTAATCCTGTCATCTGAACAGCTGTCACATAGCTATAGTCTGTCTCCTTCTCGGATTTTCTACTATTCAGTAATAAATGTAGAGGGTGACCAAATTTGTTGTCAGTTTTATTCTGAAGATACTTTGTGCACCATAAGGACTTTCTCTGTCTTAGCTTAGATATCTGTAATTTGTGTCTTCACAGGGAATTTTCTCCATCACTGATTAACATTCTGTCACATAACAGCATTAACGTTTACTGGAACAGTACATTGTCATTGAACATGAACACGGGGTGTGTTTTCTCAAGTGCAGTTGAGAGCTGTCTTGTTATGTTAACTCAGTTTACGGCTTATTTGACAAAATGCAATGCAAAATTAGCAAACACTCCAACACTAGATTTTAGGTGATATTACTTCTTTCTTCATGTGGCCACAACATTGTGTTTCTTTTTTTTCTTTTTATTTATCTGAATTATTTTTTAAATATACAGGTTATAAATATCATCATCAGAAATTCGCAAAAATCAGAATTGCTTTGATACAATATAACAGTGTTTTAATTTGATACATTTTTAATGCAGAAATAAGCAGTGCTTGAAAGTGAAAATACAGCATTTGACATTATAAAAGCACAATATTTGAAACAACAGCTGTGATTTGTAATGTCCCGATCTAACTTTCTAGCCAAAAGCTAATATGTTGACCCCAAGCTAACACACTAGTCATAACAATACAACACATATGATACAACACACTGTATTGTTACATCATTTTAATTATTATCCTAATAGTGCTTATTTTCTCAAATACATGAGTGAATTTTGCAACGTCCTTGAAGAGAAATAAGTAGTAGGTATTCTTAAAGTCTTAAAATAACAGAATTGAACTGCCCCCACACCAAACATTTCATAATGCCATAATATTTCATTATTTTAGCTTTAAAAATAACATTGAAAAACGCCTCTCATATATCTATTTTGTCCAAACTGTCTTGCAGTTGACGTGCTTTCCCACAGACTTTCTCTAACCATACACAAGGGAGAATAGAGGGCTGGGCTCACTAAAGACTCAAACAGGATATGACTCCCCCTGTGAGCGCCCACTCAGGAGAGGGGAAGAAATCTCCTTAGCGTTGTTTCTTTTTCTTCCTTATTTGAAAAACAATAACATTATCTCAGCTGAGCTATCACTGTAGTAGTTTCTCAGGGAAAATACGGGCCATGTTGATTAAATGAAGCCCATCTGCTCTGTCAGCAGGTGTGGCCTGCTGTTGGAAATGCTGTTATTATTTTTTTTCTCTCATACATTAATTAATACAGTAATAACTGAACATGTGATTAGGTGCCCGTGTGTTTTATTTTATTTATTTATTTTTTTTTAACCTCATTAAAGGCCATAGTGTTATAAATGACTGGTGGTAAAAGAGATGAAAATGGAACATGTGGCCACAGGATGGCACTGCTGCTTTATACAGTACAGAGAGCTCACAGATTCAGAAGCACTGTAAATGAAAACAAACTACACAGCTTAGCAAAGTGGTCCTGTAAAGCTTATGAAAGTATTTCCTTTTGGGATTGTAAGGTGTGAAAAGATGTGCAGAATGATTGTCGCAGAGCCATGAGAGCATAGACCTTGCAAACTTATCTTGGCAGACTGTGTGAAATGTGTAGTCCTATGTTCTACAGTGTGAACATATGACTACACATTTCAAAAGATTCAGTGTAGAGGTTTGGGGCACATTGTGCTGTTTGTGGACAGAAGTATAAACATAATTTAGAGTTCATGATGGCTGCTACTGCTGCTTTTATCTACACAACATAGTTGTCCATTTTTACAGATAACAGTTTATCATACAGTGTCAGAAACCACAAACAAAATGTCTTACCTTTATGAGTTAAATTCCTAGATAATGCCTAAGGATTGGGTTGAAAACAGTCATCATGTATATTAATGTATGTTAAACTACTTCAGGACAGTCTACTAAGCACAACATTCAGCGACAGTTGTCACACAGTCTGAAACCTGCGATTGATGAAGAGAGCTGAATATGGCAAATATGCAAAATAGGGCCAAACATGCTGCAACATATATCATGCATATACATATGCTGTACATGCATATACTTAGATTTTCAGACAGTCTTTTTGAAAGCTTATTAAAAGACATTAATATATGCCATGTTATTTGGTGAAAATTATTATTATTTTTTTTTTTTGCAAAGCAGCATCATGTAATAAATTCTTTTTGTATTTAAGAAGAAGCATTATTGAAAAAAAAAAAACTTGCTAAAATATGGTGTCTGTGTGCTGCTACAAAGCCTGTCAGAGGTGTTAGTCAGATTTTGTGGGAGGTTTTCAAACTGCATCTTTACATAGTAACGTCACGTGCACAGACTCAAAGAGAAGGTCCGTCTTGACGTTTAGATCTCAAATGCAAAATCAACATTACATTGAAGGAGATGTTCTGGCGATAGTAAATCATTCACGTACATCTTTGAAAGACAGGTCTGTCATCAAGTCTAGGCTGAGTTGTCTTTGAATGCACCTTTATTGCGCTCGCAATCATCAGATTCATTCATTTGGGGAAGGGGTCCGAAGCACAGCTGTCATTCTAAAATGTTCTTATGCATGTTGCATGCAGTTACACAATTCCACCAGAGAGGTCTCCAAATCCCCAGAGTGTACATAGTGCAGCTTTAAAATCTCAAAAAATGTTCAACAAAAAGCATTGAATTTAATTTTGAAACTTTTATAGCAACGCTGTGCTCAGTTACCGCCTGAGAGGCTATCCAGTGCTGAACACTCCCCTGACTCCAGCCTCTGTCTACCTCTACTTTTGAATATGGTTTTATGTAAACTTGTTGTTTGTTCGTTTTATAGTCAACATTCCCATATCTTGTCACAATACTGGCCAACAGAATGAACAGTAAGCTTACGAGGGGCTCGTGATCAGGAGAAAGAATCAGTCCGTGACCCTTTGTTTAGTTCAGCAATGCTCAGCCAATGTTCTGTTTTTGTTTTGTTAAGATGACTGTCATCATTGCTAATGTGATGCAATGGGGAATTATTATTTTTTTTTTTTAAAGTGGCTTTGCTGTATGTATACTTTTGGCAAAAGTCACCTGTAGAGTCCTGAATTCTCACATTACAAATGGAAACAGGCTCATTAAATGTTGATGCTCCCGGCACTGTCTTCTCAATAATTAAAGCAGCTGAGAAACCACTGAGGAGGGGGCTGCAGGTAGTATGTTAAAACAAGTCAAAGAACAAGAATAAAAATAGTTTGTTTGTTTGTTTTTTTTGTTGTTGCTGTTGTATTTTTCAAATGGTGAGTGAACTAGTAGCTTATAGATGTTGAAATAGAAAAAGCTTCCATTTTTAATACATTATTTTAATTTTTTTAATTTTGTCTTCTCTGTTGGCATTTTTGCAGATTTGACAAGAGAGGCCTTTAGATTTGGCTTTTGAGTGAAGAAAAGTAAAATTGTTTGACTTCTTTTCACAGCTGTTTGTGACTCTAAAATGCAGGTTCTCAATCCATGTTTTTTGCAGTAACCTCATGAGCGTAATTTATCCAACCATTGACAGGTTGTGATTACTTTAAGTGCCTGTTTAGTTTGCAGTTACAGGCCTGGAATCAACTTTGTTCTTCTGTCCATTCATTAGCAGAGACGTAAGGTGCCATTAGTGGGAAGAGCTGAAGAGAATGAAACCAGTTTCACGTACCTTTTTCAGTTCAGCTGTGACTTTCATCACAGGAAGCAGTGGTTGCTCATCTTCCTTTTTCACCCGCCCAGTAGTGCAATACACAATGTGAGCAGTTGGGTTTAGTGTGTTTGTATGTGGTGAAGAGCTCTTTCTTTTGCTGCTTTGAGGGTGGAGGCCCCCGTGTCATTTATCTTGAGCCACGTGCCACCTGTTGCAAGTACAACAGCCAAAACTACGCTTGTAAAGGAGCGTATTATTGAAGACCGTTGAAGGCGACTGTTACTCACCCTCATTGTGATTCACTTAGAGCTTCTAGAGAGACATCATGGAGACCGAGGTAGGTTGAGCCTGAGCTTCTCATTTCTGCCATTACTTTTAATGTTGTTATTATGCAAAGCCAGTTGCTGGCCATTCATTTTTAGAACCTAAAAGGAGGATTTGAAAACATTAAACTGCTTCCAGTTGTGAACATGGACTTTTTAAGCCTGGAAAAAGAGGAAGGAAAATGTGGAGCTCTCTCATATTTAAAACTAGGCCGCCATTAGCAGTCGGTTTACCACAGACATTAGGTAACGTTTTTGGTTTCATAAAAACTCTCAAGCAAAATGTAATGCTTGGACAAGGGGTTGTTTTCTTGTTCCAGTTGTACTTTTTAGAAACAGGCCGCGTTGGGTACGGTGAGGCCACTGTGCATTTCTGCTCTATAAGAATGAGCCATCTATCTTAGTTGTGCTGGCGTCTGTGAATCGAGGTAGGAAAAGGCGGGAGTCAGCATGTAGCACAACCCTCAGTGTCTGTGTGACTGCCTCTACCTCACAGCCTCAGACTACCTTGGCTGGGAAAGCACATGTCCGTGCGTTGCTATGGTTACGGTTTTCACAGCAGCTCAGCTGACTGGTCACATACATTGAGTGGAACTATTACTCAGTAATAGCACATACTATGGTCATTCCAAGGCACTTTTTGCTGTAATATTCAGATGTTCCTGAAGCACTTGATTAACTGGATCATGGTTTAGATTTTTCATGTTCTCTTCATTTTTCATTCTTACCTTTCTTCTGTCCTCCTATCCCCACAGCCAGGTATAGTGTCTCCATTTAAGCGAGTGTTTCTGAAAGGGGAGAAAGGGAGAGATAAGAAAGCTCAAGAGAAGTCCACAGAACGCAGGGCCCTACACACCTTCTCGCTTTCTGTGCCAGACCACCGCATCGACCCAGAAATCCTTCTCAACGATTACATTGAGAAAGAGGTCAAGGTGAGATCCTGTTCCTCATGCTCTTGAGATAAGAGAATCAGTTTAGGACTGAACTATCCTTGCTGCGTCATTGCTCTTATGTGAATCAGCCCGGTTTGAACCTTTTTCTCAAAGCTGTCTTACAGACTTCTCAAAACATGTTTATTTATAGGCAGTTAGGCACATCAAATCATGACCGGCAAGCTGTATTGATTCATAAGCTTTGACAATTCCCAACAGAGCAGTGACACATCAAGGCTGTTTTCACTGTCTTGTGCTTCTTAGATCTGTGACCTTAGATTGAACTGTGTTTTTTCCATGTCATAGTATCTGGGCCAACTCACCTCTGTCCCGGGATACCTCAACCCTTCAAGCCGCACTGAGGTTTTACAGCTTATTGATAATGCCAGGGTGAGCTGATTGCAAAAATATTAGATCATGATCTCATTTGTTCATAAGTTTCATGTCATTTATCTATGCCTGGGTAAAAAATCAGGGTTGTCCTAGAGGGTCTGAGTCCAGCACAGTTTGGTGAATTCCTTGCTCTTACATAACTGTTAAACCTTGTAACTAACTGCTGAATTGAATCAAGTGTGCTTCAGTATGAAAAGTGCTAAACTGTGCTGGAGTGAAGGCCTTGGTATACTTTCAGCAAAACGAAGCTTGCGGGCGTTGCGCAAAGCTGAAACCACCTTGCCGAGCATACAAGCTAGCATACGCTCTGTGGTTTGGTTTTGGCTGATCCATTTTTACATAATGGCACGCCTCTTTTGCACAGATCAGTCACAGATATTGATGCGTATTGTGATTACTCGCAGAGTTCTCCTAGATGCCATGTGTTTAACACAGCGAACAAATCCTCTGTACAATGTCTGCAGTTGTTCACATTTTCCACAATTAAGTCATATTGTGAATATGAAGTCAGGTGAATTTTGTCACCAAAAGAAGTATACCTAGGCCTTCCTTAAGGTGCTCTAGCACTTAACAGTATGTCTGTTCTGGTGGTGATAGTCAGAATCAGTCTCTTTTCTTTCTTTTTTTTTTCTCTCTTTCCTTTAATTTTATGTTTTGCTCCCAGAAGTCTCACCAGTTAGCAGGTCAGTTGACATCGGAACAGGATGCTGTGGTGAGTCTTTCAGCGTATAATGTGAAGCTGGTGTGGCGTGATGGAGAGGACATCATCCTGAGAGTGCCCATTCATGATATTGCTGCTGTGTCTTATATACGAGACGACTCACTGCACCTAGTGGTGTTAAAAACAGGTATGGTTACACAAACCCAGCCCTCAAACCGGAACACACTTCTCTTTCAGCAGTTTCTTATTGCACTTTAAACATTGTTTTCAGATCCAGCAGTTACAGCAACATTCCTACTTAAACTTAAATTAAAACTTTTCTTATCAGTATTTTTTTTGTTTTTTTGTTTGTAGCCCAAGAGCCTGGAGGCTCTCCTTGCCCCAGTACGTGTCCTGAGCTGTCAAAGTCGCCCACTCTGAGCTCTCTGTCAGAGAGTGGGGCTGTAGAGGTCTGCTGCCTACTCGTGCTGGCCGTTGAGAACAAGGTGTCTATCTTCCTCACTTTTTTCAAACCTAATCGAGCTGTTTTCCTGCATGAGTTGCCTAAAACTCACTTACCTTAAACATAGCAATGTAATGTATTGTTTCTTTGAACACTTTATGCTGGCAGTATATTTTAAACAACGAAAGAACTAAACAAAATCGAACAAGGTGGTGATTACTAGTTCTGTTCAGCAAGCAGCCCACACTGCAACGTACAAACCCAAACCACGGCATCATTTTGATTATATTTGATTATATTTTTACTATCAAAACACTTTTTCATTCAAAGTATGCTGCCGGCTTAAGAGCTGGTTTCATGAACCTGGATTAAGTCTAGTCTTAGTGGCAATGGTGAATGACCATTAGAAAGTCCTTTTAGTCAAGGTTTAGGCTTAATCTTGCGCTACTATGGTGGTTTATTCCAAGACTGGACTTAACCCATCTATGAGAAACTGACTGCAAGTGTACTGCTGTATTCTTCCCATGTTTTTATCAGCCTTTTAATTCACTTATGCCTGTACAAAACATCGTCTTGCATAACTATTAGCACAGATAATTCTTTCCTCATTGTCAGACTGTTGATTCTGTCATTGCAGGCAGCGGCAGAGGAGCTCTGCCTGCTCCTCAGTCAGGTCTTCCAGATAGTCTACACGGAATCCACAATCGACTTCCTGGACAGGGCCATCTTTGATGGTGCTATAACACCCACAAGGCATCTCTCCCTGTACAGTGGTGAGTAAAGAAGACTGGTGCATTTGGTCACATGCTGACTGAGTCATTGTGTTGCCTCCCAGGGGACTCGTAGTTGTATCAGTTACAGACATCACAAATCAACCATGTAGACTGGAGATGTTTGTCTAGAATAGGAAATCGATCAACGTATGAACCTTGTTTCCCTTGACCTATCAAAAAAAGTTTCACAATAATTTTAAAATGGTGTGAGTCAGTTTTGGTCTAACGTGGACTCAGGCATATGGTATGTTATATTTGTTGTTCAGTAACACACTCTGGTGACAAAATGGGAAGCTGTGTGCTAGATGACACATGCCAGCATTTATGAATCACATGGTTTGTGCTTATTTTAACTTCAAGATGACTCTTCAAGCAAAGTAGACGATAAAGAAGGATTTGAAGGAGAACCAGGAACATTGTAAGTACTTGCACAAGTTCAGAATTTGTTTAACAGATTTGTGTCCCCATGATTGTTGAGCTTCACTAGATTCTTATTAACTATTGACTGAAGTTACTTGTCAGTTTTTATCTTTTGGCCAGCTTTCGACGCTGAAGACTCACTATGATGTTAATCTTTTTTTGTCCTATCCCAGCTTGTTTCAGAGCTCGCTGGAAGCAGCAGGACACTCCCCCTGTCCCTCCCCTTCATCCACACCAGCCTCACCACAGGATAAAACCGCTAGTGAGAGTGAACTAAGCACAACAGCAGCAGAATTGCTCCAAGACTACATGACTACGGTGTGTCAGAGAGAAAAATGTTGAGTTTAAACATTTTTAGATGATTGTCCTGATTAATTTCTTAGTGAATCTCTTAGGATCCTGCCATTAAATCTATTTAATTTGTTCTGTCATAGTTGAGAACAAAGTTGTCCTCTCAGGAGATTCAGCAGTTTGCTACACACTTGCATGAGTACAGGAATGGCGCCTCCATCCACGAGTTCTGCATCAACTTGAGGCAGCTTTATGGGGACAGCAGGAAGTTCCTCCTACTCGGTGAGCGTTGTTTCCTGTGGCTAAACAGCAAACTGCTCTCAGTTTTTGCAGAATCTGCTGTGTTCGATGTGAACCACATAGGAGCCGCTACCTTGAAAGCTAAGTCAAAGTGAAACTGTACACAGGTCTTCTAATCTGTTTTGTTAGGGACCTTCTGCAGAATTTGCAGAATTGTAATCTAATCTCCGATGTAGTCAGTCAACCAAGACATGTTTGTTGTGCTAAGTTAGCTTCTTAGTTTTGCACCAGAGCTCTGAGGCTAATGTAGCTATTGTATAAGGGAGGGTTAGATGGCATCAGTTAGCACTGGCACTGTATGACGTCAGTGAACAAAAGCATAAGCAAAGTTAAGGAATCAGAATGGCTACTGCTACTCATTCTAGTTATGCAATATATTTTTTTCATTTTTATAGACAACAGCATGTCATCTATAAACTACTCGATACAGTTTAAGTCCTGCACACAGTGCTTACTGGTGTAGTATAAGCTTCCATTACTTGCTAGGTATATTGTCTTTATAGCTTTCCTGAAGAAATAAAGAATCAGAATTTGGGACGCTACATGTCTTGGCTTATTGTCGATTACAACAGGGGCAAAGGGAAAACTGTGTAATTGTTTTTTTGTTTGTTGTTTTTTTTTTTTTTTTTTTCTTTTCTTTTTGGATAAACTATTCCTATAAATGGGGACCAGTTTAAGAATCACTAGTGTAAATAATACCAACTTGTATGAGAAAAGAATATTGACCCCAGAATGCCGTTGTCGCCTTCTTGTTCCTCGTTCTTGGTTAGCTCGCTAACTTTCCTAGTTCTTCTGCAGGCCTCAGGCCCTTCATCCCAGAGAAGGACAGCCAGCACTTCGAGAACTTCCTTGAAACCATAGGAGTGAAGGATGGCCGCGGTATCATCACTGACAGCTTCGGCCGCTACAGACGCACGGCCAGCTCTGCCTCGGACTCTACCACTAATGGAAATGGGGCAGCAGGTGGCTCAGATGAAGGAACGGCACACTCTGAGGGCGACGAGTGGGACCGCATGATCTCTGATATTAGCAATGACATTGAGGCGTTAGGGTGCAGTATGGACCAGGACGGTGTGTCGCCCTGACAAAAGAACCCAGGGGCAGGAGCAATCACCACTTGATATAAACCGACTGTTACATGGCCCACCCGTCCATGTCACTGTTTATCAAATAATGCTGGAATGTGGATGCTTTGCCACTTAGGCTCGATCCAGACTGTCATGTAATGGTGTGACCACATTGCTATCATTCAAATTGGATGATGGTGCTTTTTAAGACACTTGAAATGCATGAGGACTCCTTGTAACTGTGTGTGCCACAGTTAATGTTTTTCTCAGTATTTATTGGCAGTATCTGCTATCGGTAATGGGACGTTGCCTTTTTATTCTGATCTGAGACCAGCTTTTAGATTTTGTTTATGATGGGTTTAGGACATGTTTTATGAAGTAGCTCTGCACTGCACATTTTTGTGTTTTCCATGTTCACTATAACCTCATGAAGGGCTTGGTAATTAGCGGATGAGTTGAGTCATGTTTTGAGAGCAGGGAAAACACTGAAACAGGGTTCATCCATTCCAGTCCTGGAGGGCCATCACAATTTGGTAATTTCTCTGCTTAAACACACCTACTAAGCCTGACAATTACAAGATGAGTTTAAGTAGGGAAATCACCCCACTATGGACACCAGCCCTCCAGGGCTTAATCATCAAACTGTGCTGGACTGAAATGTACATTAGTGGGGGTACTCCAGAACTGGTAAACAGTGGGTTAGGATGGTGCTATGATTTGCAACTCTGCCCAGTGTTGTGATTTTGCTATATTTAGGGATGAAAGGTTTAAGTGACAGCAGTGAATTTGCTTCTTCCTTACTGATTCTGGCAAAATTGGCAGAAACTGTGGACTCAACAGTAACGAGAAATCACCCCAAACAGAAGCAAAGCAAAGTGTCAGCTGTGGTTCCTCTGATTTTGGACAGATGCGCTCAGCAGATAGAGAAGGTTTCCAGATAATTGGGGTTATGTTTTCTTTCATTATTATAGTAATACATAGTATTATACTGTGAGATTGGTAAATTGAGCTTTGGGTTTTGTTTGTCTGAATTTTTAGTATTGAATTGGACATGCTGGTTTTGGTTCATTCTAAAAATGCAGCGTCTACCTGGATCGAAGAGCATAAACGAGTAGCTTTCCTATAGTCCCTTTGGGAAGTCTCATTCAGCCTTTATGTGGATCAGTGGTTTCCTGTGTCTCGTAACTTAATGATTTGACCGAAGTGCAGTATAATTTTTCTTTCCCATTTTAGCTGAACTTGAAACTCGATCCACCAAGTGCTTTTATTTCTGGCCTTATATTAACTGTTTAATGTATGTGTTACTCTTATTTTTATTATATGACATTTAAACACATTTCACTATTACATTATTACAACTAGTGCTGGTTGTAATTACCATTTGATTGTTTATGTGGATTGCACCAGGTAGGCAATGTAGCTCTCTCTATATATATATATATATATATTTTTGGTTTTGGCTGAAAACTTGGAGTGTTCGGATCTTTGACGAGGCTAGTTTGCTGGCTGAGAATTTACTGTTTTATTACACTGCAGAACAATCGAGTCTCGTCATGTTTTATCCTCCTCTGAGTTTTTAGTAGCCTGACATTGTGCCTTGCAGAACAACTGCTTTATTGTATCATCCAACAGGGATGTAAGAATCATTCTGTAATCTGTACAGACTGTGACTGATGAGTTTTATTAAATATTATGTGCAGTATTTAAAGTCTCATGTCTGAGGTTACAAATGTCTTGATTTGGAACACTGTTTACTGTTTGGAAAATTGAGACTGGTAACTTGCAAACCCCTGTGACTGTCCACAGAATTGTCCTGCAGAGGGTGCCATTATTCGTGTCTCAGACACCTTTGACTGACACTGAATTTAATTCATAACATTTTTAGTGTATAAAACATTGCACCTCTGGTCACATGCCAAAAATCTCTTCACTGTTTATGATTAATGCAAAGGTCTTTCAGGTTGACAAAAACTTAAGGCATCTCTTTGATGTTAAGGACTCCCAGTTTGTCTAGTAGAAACTGATCAGAAATGTGCAAATACCTGGTGTGCAATAGGAGAATAATTTTAAAGGCATGTAAATGGATTTAATTAGGCATGGTAACCAAGAGACTGCACACTGCTCCAGCTTAAGAGGCTTTGCAAGCAGTGCAGGGAGTGTCACAGACAATCATTGTGATGGTTGGCCGTTTGTAGAAAAAATGACTTTTAATTATGTTGATCTACTTACTAGAGGAAGGACAGGAAACATGATCCAGTAGAATAAATACACTTTCAAAGGAATTTTGTTTCGTTACGTGATAAAGGTGAAGTGACACTGGGTAAAATAACCTCATTCTGCGTTCTACTGGCAGCTGAGGTAACATGGTTGTGGAGTGTGGTTCAGCTGTTTTTCCAAATGATAGCCAAGGTTAAATGCTTGAACCCAGTAAAACGTCTACAAAGAAACAGTCTTGTTTGATGTAGTTTCCATAATTTGCAAAATATCTCTTGCTGTGGTCTTGGCTGCCTGTCCTCTTTAATAATTCCTTAGCTCAATGTCCTCAAAGATGCTTGTTATACCATAAAATGTGCTGTGCAGGACTTTGGGAAGTTTGCCAGAACTTAGATGAGATGACCATGCTTGCTTTCTTATAAAGCCTGTTCCATTCATGCCTGCTTGGACTAATGACATTATAGTTAATTTGCTGCAGACATCCTTTAACAAATTGCATAATTTAGTACGTAAATAATAATTATCGGCTATCAATGTTTGGATTACTCTTTTTGCTGTCCTGACTTAATGATGGTTGCCTAGAGGGAGGTCGTTTGATTTAAAATCCTAATTATTCTCTTAACATAGTATGAAACGGAGCATGTGGCCAAAAAAAGAAAATCCAATGTTGCCTTTCATTTTAGACTTCCACCTAGGACAAGAATAGACTGAAGAGAACTCTTTAAATAGGCATAAGCCTTTGCGACTGCTCTGAGCATGCAGCTTTCTCGACAAGATAAGGAGGATTAAGTTATCCCAGGGTGCAATAGGGGAGCCCTGCTTTTTCATTAGCAGACTCTAATGGAGCGGAAGACTACAGCCTGGTATGACCTCCCTCTGGGTTACCTGTAGGGAGGCTAAAATGGGAGTAGATCAATCTGTGCTTTCATGAAATCTTTTATCTTGGTGGACAGGTCTTTAGAGGAGCAAATATAGTGCTAAGTATTGCTTTCTAAACTCTGACGCAGGTTTCACAGTAATAAACTCTGGCATCCCTGGCGTAAATCAACCCCGTTGCGTAGTGCCAGCACCAAGTGGGAACCCAAGCAGAAAAACACCAGCTTCAGCAAAGTCATTCATTCATGACATGGTTCTTAAAGTCACACAGACAGTTCTCACATAACTTCTGCCTGCATTCCAGAGAATGTGTAAAAATGGTTTTTTGCGCTGCCCCAGTAAAGGAACTGAGAAACGGATGAACACAAAGAGGAACAGAAGTCACTGCCCTGCAGACCTAATGAACAAGGCGCCATCTTCATATGTCATGTCGGGTGTCACTTGGGCCAAAACTTGATGGACATGAGCACAATAACAGACACAGAGCCACACAGTCATTCTTGCACTACCATTGTAAACATACCTTGGACCTACACTCATTAGCCATTTTATTTTTTTTGTTTTACCGTTTTTCTTGATTGCTAAAACACATTTAACAAAAACTGGGGTCGACTTATTCATGTCACTTTCTTAGCAAAGCAAGTGTCCTTTACCAAATGTTTTAACACATTTTCATTGCTTTGATTTTTCACATACTTTTTCCAAACAGTAGACACGCAACTCACGTTGGATAACTATGTAACACACAAGGAAAATGCATTGACAGCAGATTGAAAATACTTTGTTTTATCTCCAGCACGTGTGAACTACTTAGTGCACAATTGTTAACTCAGTAATCAGTTGTCATAATCTGCTGACTGTAAGATTTCGTCCGAGATATTTATTAACATATGTTTCCGCTTTTTGCTGTTTTTCCATACTCATTTAAAAAAGGTGACAATAGCAAAAAGTAACATTGTCTTGAATGATGACAAAGTGGAGACCAGAGACAGTACTGGTCAGTAGAAGGCTGTGTAATAGGTAGGTCTGTTATTGTGATTTATACGATGTCAGACTTACCTATTGAGATGTTTTAAGAAAAATTCACAATGGATGCAACAGTATGTGAACTTTGAATTAGGTTAAATCCAAACCATGATTAATAACATGCTCTGTAGTTGTTTTGTCAGAATTTCACTGCAGGGTCCAGTTCAGTATGGTATGTATGCCAAGGCTCAGGCGTAAGATGGGACCATGTTGTCTTCCGACAGAAAACTTTGGTTGAAAGCAGTATAATGTACTATAGAGTAGCTCTGTTAAAACTACCCAGGAGAAAACAATGGATTTCATGCTATATTCTTCTTACACTTCAGCACATTCTAAGTCTGTTTACAGTAAAGTATCAGCAGATAGTACAGCAAAGATATACAGCACTGATGAAGGCTGAACAGGTTCAAACTGAAGCCTGTGCTTTGTGTTTGTTTATTTATTTATTTATTTATTTATTTTAAGTTATTTAGTGATTGGAAAAAAAATACTCATGAGAGCCCAGTTTCTCAAGAGCATCAAGGTGTTAAGATCATTTTAACTGGTAGAGGAAGTGTTCAATGTGATGCTTGCTCTACCATTTAAGAATCAGCTTTGTGCCAAGATGGTTTTGGCCAGCCTGCCCTACTAATTGTAATTTATAATGTTTTATGGAAAAGCCTCTGTTTAGTATCATGTGTTAACTGTTAACTGAGAACATAACTTCTAAGTGGACGTGTTCAAGCAACTGAGGAAAACTGTAAATGCTGTGAACAATTACTACCAACTTTATTAATCACACTGACTGTTACATCTTGTAGCTATTTTTTTTCAGTGCACAACTTACGTTATTCATCTTCTTTTCTGACATCAGTGGTCAGTTTCTGCACTACTGGCAGGATATTTTTGGTTGGCAGACTATTCTTAACCCTGAGGTGTTTCACTGAGGTGTTTAAATGTTGCAGTGACGCCACTGTGCCTGCTACTCTCATAACACCTACGCACACAAAACAAAACTGCCATGTTGGTATCTCTACTAGCATGAGAATCAAGTAATAGGTGGCCATCAGTGGTCCAATGGTGGCCCCTTTCTGTTAATGGTTGGAGTAGAGCAGATGTGTCAGGCTCCAGTCCTCGTGGGCCAAAGCACTCCAGACTTCAGCACACTGCCTAAAGACACCTGATTCAGTTCATCAGCTAATTAGCAAAGCTTTAATGAACTGAATTCTCAGCATTAGATGAGGGTAAACGCTGATCTCCAACACTTTGGCCCAGAAGGTCCCCAGTTTGACATGCCTAGAGTAGAGGGTGGCTGACAACAGATGGGCTACAGTCAGTAACTGTAAACCTACAATGTACAGTGTACCTGATAAAATGGCCAGTTAGTTTAGATACAAAGTATCTAGATATAGCAGATGCCATCATACAAAAAACAACAAAACAAATATTACTGAATGATTCTGGATTACATGGAAGACAGCATCTGTTTACTTTCATCGGCAGTGCTGGTGCCATTGTGAAAATGCATGACTAATTGCACAATAAAAAAAGCACTGTGTTATTTTTGCCATCGCTGGGGAGTCTGGAGTTTCCCTCCACTAGCTTGTATTGTGTGTTCTCTCATTGACTGGAGATGGCTTGGTCTCACACAAAAGCCAGTCATTGTGAGGGGCTGTGAAACATTAGCCTTTTGAATGTGGCCTTTGGGTCAGGACCCACAGTTTCTACTTTGGTTGCAAATCTGGTTTTGCCCCCAGCATGTCCTTTTAAAGAGATGCGGATGAATATCAAGGGGAATTTTACTTTCTGTACCTCTGCTGATGTAGCGCACAGCTACTGTAGGCAGTAGAAACTGAAGCTGTCTTACTTGTCTTAACTACTCCATCTGAAATGTCAAATTAGGTTAAGTTTTTTTGATCTTACCTTATTAAGAACAAAGACAAAGTCAATGACCATGATTTAAACAGACATGGACCTCTTGACTGCACTGAATTAGCTCAACATTTCTGCAATTGTATGACTGACTGTTTCCTTTTTGACTGAGTACTGTTAGGCTAATGTAGGGCTCTGTTCCAGGTTTCCATATATTTACAAAATGGTATCAATTATACATAATTGGCTACAGACCCATGACTTCTGTACTGTACTGTACACTGAGATAACAGACAACACAGAGATAATTCTGTAACAGAAAGTTTATTGTGGGTACAAAATGTGCTAGAATGGAATCTGTCAATTGCAAAGCAATACTGACATATCAGCAAGCTTTCAGTATCAAACCCTCATCAGAGCAGGTACAAAAGTCCATTTATGATCCTAAACATTGAAAACACAATACAACAAAATAGAATGCACACTAAATATTTCCCTGACGCATTACTAAGGCCTTGGTTTGCTGAGGGACTTCAGGTCACATACATCTACTACTTGGGTCAGTTTTTTAAAACTGCAAAATGTACAGTAGTTTTGTTTACACATGAAGTCAAGCTAGCATTATGCATTTATTCTTCTGTTTATATTTACCACATTGTACCATCTGTATTTATTGTAGGATGCCATCTGTCAGTTATGAACTGATCAAAGTTTGTCCAATTATACGCAACTGAAAATGAAGCAGAATTTCATGAAGAAGCATGTTTTGACTGCTCCTATTAGGATCAGAATTACTGCAGCAAAAATAAGGCTTAATGTGTCTAATAAAAATAAACATGCTGACGTATCAGCACTATTCAGAGACATGAGTTCATGAGTTGTCCGACATGTTCCATTCATGGGCACGAATGAATGGAACGGGTGGCACATGAAAGAAAATCTGCTGCAAGAATGCTGCTCAGAAGATTAAGTGAGCCAATCTTCATAATTCGTAATAATAAATGTTCCATACAAAATAGAATATTGAAAAAATATTTTTTTTATAGATAGTAATTTCAGAACCTCTTTTTTACATTGTACATGTGATTGTAACTTGAAAATGATATGACAAGACATTCATAACCATATGGGTTTGGGCTAGCAGAGGGAGAAGCGCCTGGAGTTAATGTTCATCTTAGTGACGCCAATCAAGCGGAGTGGCGCAGAGAGACCAAACCCTGGTGTGACTGGACCATCACAGAGAAGATCAGAGAGCTCATCATGCTCCTCTAGGCCAAATGTGGCATCGTTGAGCATTCGCCGGTGCAGGTGACACGTCTGTTCGATCTTCAGTTTGTTAATGTCACCGCGCAGGCGCATGAGCTGGCGGGCGAGCTGCTGATCCTGCAGACGCATCTCCTTCTGTAAATTAAGAAGAGAGAAAAGCAGGAATGATCTGCGTGAATCTGAGTTAGAAATAGGAAGCAAATCCTCAGAGGCCTGTTTAAAGCAATCATTGGTTTGGCTGATCAAAATATATGATATATCCAACTATGTCTGAATTGTACTTTAGTTTTTCACTGGAGCTACAAGTTAGCTGGACACCAGTTAGCATTGCGCAAACTGCACACCTAAATCATCACTGACAAAAGTACAGGCGAATCTTTAAGACTTCAAGATGGCTGTTTCTACTGTGTCATCCTACCACTGTGGTGACAAACTGGGTATGAATGTTGATACATAATTTAAGTGTAAAATGTAGTTTGTTACATTGATCAATGTCAGTAAAAAAAACATAGCCTACTGTAACTTTAGTACTGAAAGTCACATTGTAAGCCAAAAACTGCTAATACTGCATTCATGTTCTTATTTTGTTTCAATTTTAAAATCACTTATGTTTAGTGAGTAAAACTGTCAGTGTTTTAGTCAAATTTATCAGAAATATAAAAAGAGATTTTGTAGAATTGTAGACTTTGATATGCCCACACAAGACGTAATTTAGCATTGACACAATACAGTAACCCCACTGACAAAAAAGGCTTTAGACAACTTTTATCAAAATAAAATTATATTTATATATTTAAAGAATTTTGACACAAGACAGACAATATAATGCATTTTTACAATTCAAACTGAAAAGCAAGGATAAAAACTGTTGTTTTACAATATATATAATAATATAATAATAACATAAAATTAATAGCATCTGTAAAGTCTACTATGAAATGCTGTTTTTCATTCAGTTTTTCACACTAAAAACCAAACTAAGATAAAATTCGAAATTGAGAATTATCATTGTTTTTCTTGGTTAATTTAGGGATAGGAAAAAAATAGATATAATCTTTCTGTACTTTATTCTTATTTTGAATAAATGTTCTTCATGTCTTAAACGTTGTGGGACACCACTTGCCACCCAAATGGTAGAATATTATTACTACTATTTTAGATATGCAACGCACTTCTGCCCATTTTCTAAAAATTTCCAATACACTTTTAGAATCAAAATAAGCAACTATATTTGAGATTACTTAATAACTCAACATGGTGTGTGATGTCTATCTGGTGGGATATAAACTTCCATGACATGTGAGCTACATTAGCCTTATAGGTCCAAACCCAATTGAGGGAAATTGCGTAAATTTAATTGATGGCTAAATTATGATTATTAATCACTGCTGTGAGGACTGACACTGATAAATCACAGTTCCACTCAGTACTTTTACACAGTTCCAACAAAAAAATAGATATTTATTAGCCTGGGGGGTGATGATTTTTCAGGCCTTGCTATAAGGCTAAGCGGGCGGCACAGTGGCGCAGTGGGTAGCGCTGTCGCCTCACAGCAAGAATGGCCTGGGTTCGATTCCCGGCCGGGTGACCAGGGCCATTTCTGTGTGGAGTTTGCCTGCTCTCCCCGTGTCTGCATCGGTTTCCTCCCACAGTCCAAAAACATGCAGCCAGGCCAACTGGACATGCTTAAAATTGCCCCTAGGTGTGAATGTGTCTGTCTGTCTGCCCTGCGATGGACTGGCGACCTGTCCATGGTGTATCCTGCCTTCTGCCCAATGACAGCTGGGATAGGCTAGGGATAGGATGATGTATGTATGCTATAAAGCTAATTAAAAGACCATCTTACCATCAACATGGCTTCAGGGTCTTCTTGCATTATGATAGTGGTAAGATGCACTATAAATGCTTCAGGATAATATGGGTTATGTATTAATGTCAACAGCAGATTATCTTCAATGAACAATTCTTAACCTTCACTAATTCAAACTGAACTTTCAGATCTTCCTGGAGTTCTTATCTTCACATCAAACACTACAAGAGAATTGAATGTTTGTTACTGAAGAACAGAGAAAGGGGGTAATGATAGGGGCCCAGCAGGGAACCACAACCTTCCCCCTAATCATCATACATGATGGAACATCAGTGTTTTCATGCCTGATTTTCTTCTCGCAAATGTTTGCGGACACATGCTGGGTAGAGCTGGGGGGAAAATGAGTCCTTTATCATAGAGGGTGAAAGGCACCTCATTGTGTGCCTGGACTATAAAAGCCTGTGCGTGTCTACATAGCATTTGCTATATGGCTGAGCAGAATTGCAGATTAAACTAACAGAAGAGGAGTGATGGAACAGGCTGATCATCACTCACACTCCTCTGCTCCTCATCACTTCCACCCACTTTAATCTCAATGCACATCCTACGTGCTAATTGTGCTTTGGACATTCGCCCCACTGTCCCATTCTAATTAGCTAACTAATGGGAGATGCTAGTTTTTTCTTTCCTCAATGAGGGGAACCACGAATTCAAACGGCAACACTGCAACATTTGGAGCAAAGGGTTGAACATCTGTAGTAATAAGGATGCACCAGTCTGATGAACTGGTATCAGGTGGACATAACCAATCCACATTCAGTGCTGTTTCTTAGTCACAGATATTTTAAAACTGTAACAGTGCATTACCCAATAGTAATACCCTACTGTTTTTCATACACTTCATTAATTCCTTATCTTATGCATGTATTTATGTTTTTCTCCTTACAGTTAAAGGGCCCACATCGTACATTACTTTTAAACTTTAATTTTTCCAAAGGTTTCCAAAATTTGTGTCATTCTACATAACCAAACCAGACGCTTCCATTTTTCAAGCTCTCTTCATCCCTTGGAATTAAAGAGGCTGTTTTTGTTGCTTTTCCTTTAAGACTGATATATTGTTGCTGTTGAAATAAAACTCTTCAAATAAAATAAAACATCTTGGAATAAAAATCTTCAAAAACTTTACAGCAAAAGGAACTTTTTTATGTAAGTTAATGTAACAAAAGTTTATTACAAATTATTTGTACCGTTTCTATTGGTCTGTTTGCCATGAAATTTTAACAAATTGTAAAGTAAACAGCAGCTGGCATTTTCAATTTAAAAATGATACTAATAAATAATAAAAACAACAAAAATGGAGATAAAAAGTTTTGATCCAACAGTAACAATATCAAATGATCTCCCTGGATTGGCTGCCCTGTACTGTGGCTCATTCAAAAAGCAGTCTGTCTGAAACACTCCTTATAACTTCAGCGTGAATGGGCGGGGCTAAACTGCTGCAGGCTAAAAAAGTGGATATATGTAAATGTGACTTCACAAAAACAGCAAAATAAAAACAAGCAGTTTTTTGCAGATTTTTTTTATGTATGGAGTGAATGTTTGTATGAAGTGAATGTGCTTTGAAAATGTTAACAAAACTAAATCAACTTGTTTTGCTTAAAAAATGAGGAAACTGTAACTGTAATGTGTAGTTACAGTTAAATAGAAAAATCATCCCAAGTAATTTCACACAATGAAGTAAACAGACTAAACTAAAGGTATAAAGATGAAGACTGCTATCGGATTGGTACTCCTAATTGGCTGATAGTACAGATATTGGAACCCTAGTATTACGTTCCTAGTAATAAATATAATGAGCTATTCTCATTAATTAAGATTTAAGGAGATTAAGGCTGCCTAACTAATTTACATAAACACTTTCATTTTAATGAACTAGAAAATGAATGGATCATACCCTCGGGTTTCTCTTACCAGTTCTTTCCTGAGCCAGATAAGAGCCTCATCAATATTTCCGAATCCTTTCAGACTCCCTGAGGTCAGACCGCTCTTTTGTATCAGGTCAGAGTTTTGGCCATTTTGTTCGGGCCTGTCTGCGTGCTCCTGTCCCACAGCCTGACCCTGCTCAGAGCACTCTGTTGGTTCAGATGGTCCTTTGGCACTCTGAGCCTCCACTTGGGCTTTCCACTCTAGATATGAGGGCCTCCTTGTTTCCAGCCTCAGTTTCTCAGCCAAGGCCTTTAAGGTTCTCAAGTGGTCATCTGCAGCAACCTCGAGGTTGTCATAATCCAAGTGACTGATATCCTCCACATTAATCTGTGGTATTGTGCCTGTATCCATGGCTTGTCTAACACAAACAGGCAGGGGTAGTTAAAAATAAACAGGAGATCAACTGAAATTGATGCAGTCTACTTATTGCTTTAGTTGGTCAGTAAAACTGATCTGGATTTTTGGAGCCAGGTGCAGAGGGTTGTATACAGCGCCTGCTGAGCCTTCAGACAAATCAATGAGGCTGACACAATGCTGTCATTCCATCCTTGCTGTAGCTTCTTCTTCTTTTGGTCACCGTCCAAATAGAGAATACCTCCATCTTGTGCTTGAGCAGGAATCTGTCATGTCAGCTTGATTCTTTCTTCTGGTCAAAGCCTCATTTTGTCACTTTTCTTTGACCTCAGGCAAGGAAAAAAGCAGATCCAGGAAATCCTGTGAAGAAAAGATGTACATGTTTAAATGTTTTACTAATAGCTGGTTAGACGCTGTATGAGGTTTAAAGTCTAGCCTCTTGAATGGTAACTTCACTTACTCGTCGCAATGAGCGCTTTCTTTCTACACCTCATGTCACGCTCTGGATCCTCCTAAGCTGGCAGTTACCATAGCAACTAAAGACAGCCAATGAGTCAGCACTTCAGTGTTACATTAAACCCTGCCTATAAGACCTTTAAAAAAGCGACAAATCAGTGGCAATGGCAACACAGCCTGTTCTACACAAACCTCAAAGGAGAGAGAACTGACTTAGTGAAGACATTTACACGATCTGCATATTTTGTGTGTTGTCATAATATTATCACATTAAGCACCCAGCTGTACTTTTACATGACCAGACTAAGACCAAACATAAACACTGTGTGTTCAGGCCAAGACAAATTCTTGAACAAATCCCCCGAAGCTTTTTGCCCCGTCTGTTTTACTCATAATGTTCGGGGGCACCAGTACCATCTCATGACATCACATCAGCTGTTGAATGCTTCTTGCCCATAACAGGAGAAGGTCTTAGCAAATGTCAAGCCCTACTATGCACAGTTTCTCTATCCTGCCACTGAAGATGCACTGGCTAATAACATGCATATTGTGCTGTCACGTTTTATATATATATATATATATATGTATATATACACACACACACACGTGTGTGTATATATATATGCAAACTCCATGCAACTCTTCTCTGAGTAGGATTACTGAGCCCTGTGTCTCCACAGTCTTTTCAAATCTGTTACAGATGTAAGTAAGCTCTTCTATTGTGAAGTCAGGCTGCGCCAAATGATTCAGTCTATGATGGGTTCATAACTGCAGCAGCGTCATAACTCCTGATCCCTGATCAGCTTTGATGCTGAGTTTAAGGTGTTTCAACAGTGAGTAAACAGTGAAGAAGGCAGCTATTGAGGTAAATAAAAAGACAGGGGATTTTAAAAAAAAGACAAAAGCTGAAATTACACAAATGAAACAAGTCCTTCTCTGGACTGAGGCAAAGTGTAAAATTGTTCTGTGATCCACTGAATCAAAAATTTTAATTCGTTTTGGAAATCATGGACACCACGTCTTCTGGACTAAAGAGGAGAAGGTTCAAAAGCCAGCATCCATGATGGTATGAGGGTGCATTAGTGCTGAACGATATACACAGGTTTTAGAGCCACATATGCTGCCATCCAGATAATGTCTTTTTCAGGGAAGGCCTTGCTTATTTCAGTAAGATAATGCCAAACCACATTCTGCACGTAACAGCATGGCTCCATAGTAAAAGAGTCCAGGTGCATGAGCTGCATGCAGTCATCCACTGAAAAGATTTGTAAAATTAAGAAGAAAAAATATAACAAAGGAGACCCCAAACTGTTGAGCAGCTGAAATCCTACATCAAGCAAGAACAGAAAAACATTTCATTTTCAAAACTACAGCAACTGATCTCCTCAGTTCCCAAACACTTACAGTGGGTTTTATAAAAAAAAGGAGATGCAACACGATGGTAAACATGCCCCTGTACCAACTTTTTAAAAATGTTTTGTCGTCATCACATTCAAAATGGGCATATATTTTTCAAAAAACATTTCAACATGTGATATGTTGTCTTGCTATGCTCAGTAAAATATAGGATTTAAATGACTTGCACATCATTGCATTCTGTTTTTATTTACATTTTACAAACATTTTTTGTAAAAGGGGTTGTACATTTAAGTTAATAACATTCTTTTCCTTCTTATAAAATTAGCACTTCAGACACACAGTGTTTTGTTACAACAGCCACAATATGTTTCCTGCTTGCTGCATATTTGTACGCATTTGTATACATGACCACTTCTGCATTTTTACAGAAATGATTTGGGCTGACTGTTGTGTTCTAGTGTGTGTTAGCAATGTTAGCCTCACTGCTCCAGTTCTAAATTAAAGACGCAAAAGTTGGACTCCAAACATATCTTGGGTGATTGTCTATGTTTAAAGTAAAGGGGAAATAGTGTAAATGAGATTTTTCATTGAACCATGACTTTAAGATAATTTTCCAGTGATTATTTTGGTTACCCTGGTTTCTGAAGGAAATGATGGTCTTCAAAGGAAAGAAACCTTGGCAAGATAAGCTATTGCAGTGCATACAGTGTAAACTGCCAGTGATGAATGAACTCTGTGTCATGGTCAACTGAGTGTGCTCATGGGAACTCAGTGAGTTAAGGTGCAGTGTGTAGGATTTAGGGGGATCTATTAGTAGAAATGGAAAACAGTTTACAAAACCATGTTATCTTTAGTGTATAATGATCTTTAATTCTGAATAGTTGTGTTTTGTTAGCTTGGAATGAGCCTTTCATATCTACATAGGGAATGAGTCCTCTTCTAACAGAGGCTGCCATGTTTCTACAGTAGCCTAGAACAGATAAACCAAACACTGGCTCTAGAGAGTGCCTTTCACATTTTTACGCTGAAGCGGCAGCTTGAATTTGGTGGCATTATAGCACCGGTTGCAACACGTAGAAAGAAGAAGAATCAGTGTTTGCTACCGGTGCTGGCTAACCATTTTGTGTTGTGAGAAGTCTGAGAACCCAAATTTTGACAAATGGAATCATACTTATTATTTAGCACAAGAAAAAACAAGAGAGGGTGAATCCTCATTGTCAGTGAACCAAAGACATGAAGAAGTAAAATAAAATCAGGACAAGTGATGGCAGAAAACCTGATGACCACTAAAGTTTCTGCTACAGGCTTGGAAAGAGAGGGGTGAGGGAGGGGTTTACAGTTGGTTGCAATCTGCAACCTCACCACTAGATCTAAATCTTACAAACTTGCACCTTTAATTTAAACACTTATTTTTGCAGTGTAAGACAACCAGAGAATAACATTGCATACATCAATATTTCATCAAAAACACAAAGTTCTTTGTGAGCAAAAATCAAATATCTACTAACTGATGTATTATTTGCATGAATTAGACTTTGACATAAACTATACTTAGAGAATATGACTATGCACAGAATACTGCTCCAGAGATTGATTTGTTTTGTCTAAGTTCTTATTTTATAGCATGAGTTACTTGTTGGACAATTAGGTCAAATTTACATCTAATGTATTCACAAGAATATGACGGTTAGAAGAAATGTTCTTCAGAAAAGTGTATTTATTTAAAACATTTATAGCTACTACATGATAAAATTCTGAAATTTACTGAAGTAGGCCTGTAAATATTAGATAATGTCTCAACATGAATGTCCAATCCAGAATAAATCTGGCTTTATTTTCAAGGGTGTCTGGTCTCATGTCCAGATTTCATCATTGTTACCAGGCTTGCCAACGTGTAAGCACTCAATCCTCCCTTATTATAGCCATCTTGTGGCCCAGTGAAATGCCAAAATGTGACCCAACCACTCAGCACTTTCACTCTGTTTTCCATCTAGGCCATCCAACCCATGTACAGGCGATGTTAGAATCACCTCAGTACAACAACATACATCCTAAAAGATGCAATTTATTGTATGCATGAATAAATTACAATTTAATAAAACAGCATTATCACACTCACCGTTGTCTGAACATGGCACAGTTCATACACTGTATGTCCAAAAGTTTGTAGACACCTGCTTGTCCAGCATTTCTTCTGAAACCGAGGGTATTAATAGGGAGCTTGTCCTCCTTCACTGCAGTAACAGCATTTACTCTTCGGGGAAAGCTTTACACTAGATGTTGGAACACTGCTGTGAAAATTTGATTGCATTCAGCCACAAGAGCATTAGTGAAATCTGAGATACTGATGTTCAATGATTAATTTCAGATCACAAGCTCCACTCCAACTCATCCCAAAGGTTATTACGGTACTCCATCACTCCATCACTCCACTGCTGCACAGCCCTGTGCTGGGGGATTTATACCCCTCTAGCTGGCGCTTGGCATTGAGCATGATAACCTCAGCCTCAAGCATAGCTGCTCCAGAGGCTAGAGGGGTGTAAATCACACATCCTACTGGCAGTGCTTTTCTATGGAGATTAGCTGTGGGTGCACTTTAAATGACTTTTGGACATATAGTGTCTTCCTATAAAGTCTATAAGTTGTCTCCTGTCTGAAATCACCTAGGCTGCCACCCATATCACCTCAGACAATCTCTAGATGGGACACACAAATGTAGACACTGACTTACCGGCTACTGCAGACGAAGGAAAAGGAAGAAAGAAAGGGAAGCAAGCAGGGAGTTTTCCACCCGTGTGAGTGTGAGAGAGTGTGGCTGCTCCTCTCCTTTTGGTTTTGAATGAGGAGGCCGTCGGAGGAGGAGCAGGCGGAGCTGCGTCACGAGGCGGTTGCCTGGGAGACCGTAAAGAATCTGATCAAACGCCGTGTGGAGCTCAATCACCATCCGCCCTGTGGAAACACTGAGAGCCGCTCAGTCTCACACACTTCACAGTACAGGTCATATTAGAGGCTGATAGAAGTTAATGCAGTACATGTGGTGTATATACTTATATAGGCAACTTTATAACAAATAACAAAATATAAATCTAAGTGCACATGTAGAATGTTATTTTGGAGGATGGAAACGTCTGAGCAAGAGATAAACACATTTTCGCTGACAGAATCAGAGAAGGTGCCAAACAGATTTTTGATGTTGGCCTGACCCCTGGTGGACAGCCAGCGCCGCAGCATGCTAAAGTAAGCTTCTCTCTCTCTCTCTCTCTCTCTCTCTCTCTCTCTTTCTCTCTCTCTCTCTCTCTCTCTCTCTCTCTCTCTCTCTCTCTTTCTCTTTCTCTCTCTCTCTCTCTCTCTCTCTCTCTCTCTCTCTCTTTCTCTCTCTCTCTCTCTCTCTCTCTCTCTCTCTCTCTCGTGTGTTTAGATTTAATGTAGATGTTTTATTCAACATTTCAAGAATTCAGTAAACAAAAAAAGGGAATAAAATGCAAATCGTCGCTGTCCAAAGAAAAACAAGTATCTCCAAAATAGTAACTTTACAGGAACAGGAAATAGTAACTTTACTTTCAATGTAAGTTAAAGGAAAGAGATTTTATTCCAAACAACTTTGGAGCATTTCTATTGGTCCAATAATCATGAAATCTTCACACAAGGTGAAGGACAGCTGCTGAGCTCAAATAATGCAGAAAAGTGAAGATCACTAAAAATGGAGATACATGTTTTTCATTGGACAGTGATGAAATACTGTAATTATTATGTAATTATGTTATTATTTTTGCCAAGTTATCTGGCTTGAAATTTGATGTGCACTTCTGAAATATGATGAATTCTGGATATTAGTTTTATTATAACTTCATTCTTGATATGAATCATCTTTCCCAGTCATTTCAGATTCTTCTGTAGTTCTGTTCATCAGTCTAGTTGCCAACATTATTTAAAGAGATGCCATTTTTTCGCATATGTTTGTGTGCTTATATAATCACTATGCACAATTTAAGTAATGATGGGTCTAAATGCAATTGAAATGTGCATTTTTTCTTTTTATTTCTTAAAATTTTATATGGAAATGATTTCTCGTGGCTTTTAATCTTCTTTTTCTTGGTCTTCTTCTTCGTCTTCTATATATATGTATACCAATCTACCATAACATTAAAAACAATAAACAAAACATTAAAACCACTTCCTTGTTTCTATGCTCCATTTTATCAGCTCCACTTACCACATAGATGCACTTTGTAGTTCTGCAGTTAGAGACTGTAGTCCATCTGTTTCTCTGCATACTTTATTAGCTTTCACCCTTTTCTTCAATTGTCATGACCCCACAGGACCACCACAGAGCAAGTATTATTTGACTGGTGGATCATTGTAAGCACTGCAGCAACACTGACGTGCTGGTAGTGTGTTAGTGTTTGTTGCTCTGGTATGTACGAATCAGACACAGCAAGGCTGCTAGAGTTTTTTAACACTGTGTCCACTCACTGTCCACTCTATTAGACACACCTTGTTGGTCCACCTTGTAGATGTAAAGTCAGAGATGATAGCTCATCTGCTGCTGCACAGTTTGTTAACCTCTAGGCCTTCATCAGTGGTCACAGGACGCTGTTGGCTAGATGTTTTTGGTTGGTGGACTATTCTCAGTCCAGCAGTGACACTGAGGTCTTTAAAAACTCCAGCAGCACTGCTGTGTCTGATCCATTTAGACCAGCGCAACACACACTAACATACCACCACCACGTCAGTGCCACTGCAGCGCTGACAATGATTCACCATCCAAATAATACCTGCTCAGTGGTGGTCCTGTGGGGGTCCTGACCATTGAAGAACATGATGAAAGGGGGCTAACAAAGTATGCAGACAAGCAGATGAACTACAGTCTGTAATTGGAGACCTAAAAAATGCATCTACATGGTAAGAGGAGCTGATAAAATGGACAGTGAGTGTAGATACAAGGAGGTGTTTTTAATGTCACGGACAAATGATTGTTGATTAAGGACAGAATTTTATTTAAACGCTTTTTGGAGAAGCAATAGCTTTGGCACATAATTTATTTTTTATTAAATAGTTTTACTTACTAGAGATCAGAGTCAAAATATATCAACAATATTTTAACTCCACACAACCTTTTTTTTTTTTTCGAACAGTAGCTTATTAACGTATGATTACAGTCTCTGTGGGAGAAAGGGGCGGGACTTCCTGTTTACGCCACAGCTGTTATCTCTTCTCTTTTTTGCCTAGCAGACTGTAGCTACTCTAAGAAGGTGAGGTGTCGTTCTGTGTGCATGGCGCTTTTATTTCACCTTGTTTTATTGTGCAACATTTTAATACTGGAACTCGGGTCGTGGTGCAGATTTTCCCCCGCCGGTTCATTTTGCCGGGGTGCCTGTTGTAGCTGCTGAGGGGCTGATTATACAGCAGAGAAGAGCAGCGAGCTAACGGTAGCCTGTGAACCCCGAGCTCAATTAGGCAGCGGCGGTGTGCGGGTATGTGCTTCGGTAGATCTTCTGCAGGGCGCCTTTCAGTGCTGGCGTTTAGGCTTTATTTCATGAATGCATGTCACTCTGATCCCGTCCAAACGTGCAGCGATAACGCGGTGAAGCGCCTACCTGCGCTGCATTGCATGATGTCATCGTTTTCCGCTGAAGCCCATTTTTAACGACGCAGCCCGCCGCTGCCCTTAATAACCAGTTTGCTCTGTTTCCCCATCACTGTGGCTCATTTCCATGCATGCCGCTTGCAGCCTGGATCATTTTCGCATGAGACACACATGCACCTGTTAACAGCTCACGCGCAGAGAGCAGTGAGAGCACAGTGCGGATGAGTGGAGGCTTTTTCAGTCTGAACTATTCTTCACGCATAACTAGTTCATATAACGTTACTAGCTTTGATCAGCTGCTTTAGAGCTTCAGATTAAACTGTATTAACTAAATGTTTGGTATTTCTTGAGTTTAAGCTTTTTGGAAATGTTTATTGGTTGAGTACATGATTTGTTTGGACCTTAAAGGGGAATTCCACCACCAAAATTTCAGCATAGTCAAATCATTAATTATATGCAATCAGAGTGGTTTGATGTAAAATGTTCTGTTCTTGAGAAACGTACTGCATCAGAATTGTTCACAGTGGTGTTGATAGGAACCATACATCTAATGCCTCTAAAAGGTACCTCACATAAGATGGTAGCAAACACCCTGCCTGATGCCGGAGACATTGTTTTACCATTGTTTTGAGATCAAGTTTTTTGAGTGGTCAGTGCAGGGCAACGTAAGGCAAAATAGTATGCAAAGACAAAAATATTTTTTTCTGACTGGTCACTGTTTTGATTTTTATGATCAACATTACATAAAAACTCAGGAGACACATGTAGGTTAACTGGTTGTTTTGTATTGTAAATAATATGGGTATATTTGCATGGTTGACATTGCGACCCCTGGTTCCTATCACCACCGCTGTAAAGAAATCAGTGTCTGAAAGTTTCTCTACAGTAAGCAATTTCACATCAAATAACTTTGACTTTGTTTCCCTCAACAACTGAATTATGTACAAATTTTGAAAATTGGTAAATTGGTGGAGTTCCCCTTTAATGTATTTTGGATTAAGTAAATGAAGATAAAAACTTTCAGATGTACAGATGTTTCAGGAGAAAGCTCTACTGGTGTGTATCATGAATTATTTTTCTTCTGTAGGTCCCTTCTAACATCAAAGTGCAACATGCCAGTGGTGGTAATGAGGAAGACCTGCTTGCTGAGCTGCCTTTTAGCCCTGCTGCTTCCGATCCTCTCACGGCAGGAGGAGCACAGCAAGCTGCTGCTGGTGTCCTTTGATGGATTTCGCTGGGACTATGTGAACAGGGTGCCCACCCCCAACTTCCGTGCCCTTATGGAGGAGGGGGTGCAGGTGGAGAAGGTGGAGAACACCTACATCACCAAGACCTTCCCTAACCACTACACTTTAGTAACAGGCTTGCATGCGGAGAGCCATGGGATCGTAGCCAATGAAATGTATGACCCAGTTCTGAATCGCTCCTTCTCCATGGAGGGCCCAGAAGTATATGACTCTCGATGGTGGGAGGAGGCGGTTCCGCTGTGGGTGACCACTCAGAAGGTAGGACGGAGGAGTGGCGCTGCCATGTGGCCTGGATCGGACGTGGCCATTGGTGGAACGTACCCAACCCGCTATATGTCATACAATGCGTCTATGCCCTTTGAGATGCGAGTAGAGAAGCTCATCAGCTGGTTCTCAGGAGCAAATGCGATCGATTTTGGGGTCCTTTACTGGGAGGAACCTGATGAGAGCGGTCATAACCTGGGGCCAGAGAGCTCGCTTATGGATGTGGTCATCGAGGACATTGATAGAAAACTGGGCTTTCTCAGAGAGAAGCTCAAGAGAGCTGATCTTTATGATAAAATCAATCTCATTGTCACAAGTGACCATGGAATGACACAGTTATCACACGACAAGGTCATTGAGCTGGACACCTACGTGAGTCAAGATCTCTACACATGGATAGACAAGAGTCCAGTGGTGGGCATTCTACCCAAAAAAGGTATGTTTTAGAAAATAGTAAAATGTCAATCCATAAAAGTTTCGCAAAGGGTTCTTTGCATGATGCCATAGAAGAGCCACTTTTGGTTCCCTAAAAACCTTTCAGTGGATGGTTCTCACAAATCTCATTTCTTTTAAAAGTACTGGCACCATTATTTTTAAGAGTGTAAAAAGAATGTAACATTCAATGCATCATATTGTATCAGATTGTATCATAACACATGGTACTGTATAGTATCATGTTGCATTGTGTCTAGCTTGTTAGCATGTGGCTAATGTGTTAGCTTGGGGCCAACTTATTAGCTTGGAGACTATGAAGCACAACTTTTGTTTCAAATATTATACTTTAATAATATTGAATGACCAAAATAACTGCAATTAAAGACATTTTTTATCATTTTTTCTATAGTTTAAAAGCACTTTTTGCCCTTTATACTGTGCCAAAATGTCATGATGAATAGACCACCAGAAATGGTTCAAAATGTATCGAAAATAAAGCCTAATTACAGTAACTTAATGGACAATGTTAAAAGTCTTTTTTCCTTCTCCTGTAAAGTTACTCTTTTGAGATACGAGGTTCTGATCTTTCAGCAGTGTTATCTGGCATTTAACTTAAATTTTAGTAAATATCAATTCATTTACCCTAATTTTCTTTAACCCCCTAAACCTTGACCCATCCTTACCGCTAACCTTAACCCTGGTCCTAGGCTAACCTTGATACTAATCTTAACTCTGACTCTAACACTAGCTGGATTTCAATAGATATTTTGTTAATAAGTCGATAATATAGATAATATAGAGATAATCTTTTGGGGGCTATCCAAATGAGGCCACATTCAACCAATCTCACTATTTTTGCTGATCAAATCAAATATTGTATTTTGTGGACCATTACACCCTCAGGGTGTATCAGTGCAGAACACAGCAGTAACTGTAACAGGTCTTTACAAATATTGTATAAAATACATACTAATGCATTGCATTATTTGTGCAAAGATTTAAGCAGATTTTTTTAATTGCTTTATACAAAAATAAACACAGTAAAAGTGCATTTGCATGTTGGGGTTTTGGTTGTGTTTAAGCTTAGCCATTGATCATCACTTTTTCCTTTTCTCAGGTAAATTTGATGAGGTCTATGCTTTGTTGGAGAATGCAAATCCAAATATGGTTGTGTACAAGAGAGAAGACATCCCTGATTACTTCCACTACAAACACAATGTCAGGATAATGCCAATAATTATCGAAGCCAAAGAAGGATGGACGATTGTGCAGAACAGAACTGGATCCTCTATGTGTGAGTACCAATGTAATTAATACATGTAATTAATATGTGTCACAATCTTGGAAATCCAGTATTCATTTTAACATCTCACCTGCATATACTATGAAAAATGTGATCAATGTCACTGAAGAAATGTATTTCACATTGGTGAAGCCAAGTTTAATACATACAGTACAGTGCAGGTCAGAGACCACCCTTCATTTATTCGATTACCAGTCAAAATGGCTATTAAGTGATTTTTCAGCATCAGAAGAAAAACAACTACAAAGAAGCTTTCACAATGAAATATGATCTCAAAGTTTTCAGTATTTAGTGTATCCACCCTGTGACTTACAGTATCCAGTATCCAGGAGACTTGCTTTCAGTTTTTCAAAGAAATCTGCAGGGACTTTTTTCCTTAGAAGTTAGAAGCATTTTCTGCTTTCCTTAATCCAAATAATCCCAAAAACATGCAGTGATGCTGAGGTCTGGACTATCCTGAAAAATGAATTACTTAAGGGCTGTTTTGACTGGCAATTAAATAAAGGGCTTTTGCACACTATACATTTAGACAAAGATGCACTGTAAACTGCCCCAGACTGTTTTGTCTGTTTCATTATTGCTGATTATTCTTATTATTCTGTGCTTTTTATTGTTCACAGTGGGCAACCATGGCTATGATAACCACCTGCGCAGCATGCACCCTGTGTTTGTTGCCCGTGGGCCATCATTCCGCACTGGCTACACCAAGGCTGCCATGCGCTCCGTTGACCTCTACCCTCTCATGTGTAGCATTCTTGGAGTTCAGCCCCTCCCCAACAATGGCTCTCTGGCGAGTGTGCGGGATCTCCTGGTGGAAACACCGACCCCCAGACCCACAGTGCCATCAGTACCCAGGGAGCCCCCCAGCGCCTGGGTCCTGGGCATGCTCCTGGGTGCTGTCCTGGTGGTGGGGTTCCTTGTGACCTTTGTGAAGCAGGTGACACAGAGGCAGCTGCCTCCTCTGCCTCTCACCAACAGGGAGATATCTCAGCCCTTACTGCAGGAAGAATTACGCCTTTAATGAAGATACTGCATTTCTGTTTACGATCCTTTATTTTGATATGTCAAAGGTGAAGCTTGCAGTAATACTCTTTTAAAGTCTCTAGTGTGAGGCTCTTGAAGCATGTAGCACTGATCCTCTCTCTGGTGCTTCAGAACCCATTTCTATCTTCTATTAAATTCTATTTGATTCATCCATTTTAAATTTAAACCATAAGAAAGGTCGCTTTAATTCATGTACCAGTCAAAGATGGGCTGACTGCCAATTCAGATCATTACCAATGGTGCCATGCCAAGGCATGATAAATCAAGAGCAATATGGGGAGAGATGTTACAGACAAAACAGTCAGAACAACCATCAGAATTATAGCTGACAGAGCCCACAGCGTCCTCTGCTGGTCAACCTGATTAGTTTCAATTTCTGAATTCTTGTGGCCTAAACATATACACTCGAAAAAGGGAAAAATGACAGAGTACTAACCTCTACCATTTCAGATTCAGTCAGAGCCGTAATGTTTTTTTCTTTCTCAAGAAAGGCAGTGTTTGTTTGTGAATGTTTGACAGAAGTGTCACTTCTCTTTTATTCTTACATTTTTAAGGGGCATTGGTATCTTTCCTAATTAGTTGCTTTTTATACTGTATGTTTTATCCCTCAAGATTATCTTGATCAAGTGGTGAAGTGCAATGGCTACATGTTTTTAAATGTTTTGTTTGTAATGCTGGCAGAATGTTATTTCTTTAGGTTATTTACATGAAGTAGGTAGTTACTAAGCTGCCTCTGTGTTGCACTAAGATCAATGTAAGTTAATCAGGATTTGTAGAAATGAAAGTGGATGGGAATAGAGTGGTTTTAGATTGGTTGCATTTTGCACAGTATTTTCCCATGCTTTTAATCCTTTTTGTAAAAAACAGGATATGTGCCAAAATCCTTTAGCTATTAATCTGGGAAACTCTGGTACAAATTAGTGGCAGAACACTAGATTCCTTTGTTGATTTTCTAATTTCAGATTCAGAATTTTACATCTGATGCCCAAAATGGGCAGAACCACTGTGATTTACCTTCTACAGGTGCAAAAACTAAAATGGAACAAAATATTTAGGATAGTCTTTGACGTAGTTGTTGATGGTATAGAATTAGTTTATACGTAAATTGCTTGCAATGTTAAGTTTGTGTGTGGCTATTTGAGAAAAAAAAAATGTTTCAGTGAAAGTCATGTTTGCCCTTCTTAAATTATTATATCGTAGTGCTTAAAATGTGACAAACTATGATTTAACTGGTGTCTCACGTTCTAAATTTTAATTAAAGACTGGTGCAAGTTGCACAATTCCTCTTTGTCGAGTGTTGTACAGATTTAAACACAACCACACTCATCTCCTCAGGTAATTATCAAGTACTTCAGCTGAATCAGGCACATAGGTAAAAACACCATAAGACACAGCCAAGCATTTCACTGGCAAACATTCTTTAATAGTCGCAAAAATACAAGGAAGGGGAAAAAGAAAAAAAAATTAAGTGTATTTTCTGCCCTACAACCTAAAAGAATTCATGCATACAAACAGAATGGCAACAATTCATCAAGAGGGCTTGTGAAGTGACTAAAGGCTTTCTAGCAATGTACTAACTCAGGCCTACAGCTGAGAAGAGCAAAAATGTTCTGAAGGCATGCGTCAGACCACCTGCAGCTTTGCAAAATGTCAAGAGGCAAATTTAAGGTTTTAAATGGCATCGATATCAATGTCCTCCTCTTCTTTTTCAGACTTCTCTGGCTTTGTTGTTTCCATCTTCAGCTCACGTGCAGAAGATGAATACACCACCTTGACAAATGTGCCAGAAAAAAATATTTTTAGCATTAACCAAAAATAGAGTTCAAATGAAAATCTGAACAAGTAGAAAATTAAGGTAATTGCAATTTATTCCTCATAATGTAACTGAGCATTACAAAAAAACACTAGCTGAATTTGCTAATCTGGGTCTGGGAAAGCAGGCTCTTGATTTCCCTCACTAAACCAGCTATTACCTCCACATTGTCCTCATCTTCCTCGTCCTCTTCCTCACTGCCCTCACTCTCCTCCTCAGCCTCCTTCAGCCATTTCACAAAAGGCTCTGCCTTAGCATGGATCTCCTTAGCAAGTTCTTTAGAGACATACTTCTTAGAAACCTGGAACAAACATCATAACCTAATTAAAATAAGGTTGAGGGGGAACAAAAACAAAAACAAAAAAAAAAAAAATCCATGTCTAAATAAAGCAGAACATTGGCAAAACTCCCAGCTGTGTTTAAGTGTATGCCTTTCTACCTAAATAAAACTGAACAGGGTATTTTTCTTGTGCTGGATGGACATGGAAGTATCCATGTGAAAGAATAAATGACATCTAAAAATAATATCTAACTTATACAACTTGGAGTATTTGCCAACATTTGGTAGATTAGCCACAGGTTTTATGCATAGCAATTGTGTTGATCAACTGCTCTGACAGCTTTAAATGTTTACAATAGTAGTGGGTGGCAAAGGCAAAAACTTATCGCGGATGTAATTAGGATCACTGACAGTTAAGCACATTTCATATTGTAGCATTTAGGTATTTAAAAAAAAACAAAAACACAAAATACCTTTTTGGATGCTTAAGTAAACCTTTTGTAGATTATCGATTGTTAACAGCATTATTTTAAGAACAACCACATTTAACAACTGAAATGAATCTAAAATATTTGTACTGGGTGAAATAGTAAAAACAGAAATGAACAACATAAAGGCATGTGTCAATATTGCTTTCTAACCATAACAAGATAAAGGCGAGTGTATGTAAAGAGTACACTGGCTTCTCTGAGTGGTGCAAAATCAGTATGAAGCTGAAATCAGCCAATTCTCCAGGTTCCTGTTTAAAATCTTTGTTTCACTTTAAACGATACAGCAGTTACATTAAGGTGCCAGAACTGCTGTACCATTTAAGATGGAATGGAAAATTGGAAAAAAATTGGAAAAATGGAAAAAAGCTAGCAAATAGGAAGCCAACTCTAGCCTGAATGTTGTTTTACGTCCTCATGTGCCTCGTGTACACTCGAGTTTTAATCTATGACAATAAGACACTGTTGGAGTTAAGTAAATATTACAAGCCATTCACACTTAGTTTTAGCCGAGAATCTGTGGACTAGTCGGAGCCTCTAGACTAGCCACAGGATAACAACTAATCCCATAAGACTTTTCCTTCCACTCCATTTTCCCCTTGTGAACTCATTACAATCCAATGTCTGCTCCTTTGGCAAACTGGACTAATTTAGTTTAACCAACAGCATGTTTTGCACTGTTTTACGTTGCCTTATCTGCATTTATAGGCATACTGGTATAACGGCTAATACCTTAAGAAGAATTTCAACCAGTATATCGGATAAACCAGAATATCACCCACCACTAGGTCATTCATAATTACTCTCCAAACCCTGAAATAAGAAAAAAAAATAAATAAATAAAAAATAAATAAATAAAAAACCTGTCATACTAGCTAGCTTACACAGAAATACAGTAAGGTTTTTTGTACTTTTCAATTCAAAGGTTTTTTACCCTTCAGTTAGCTTTTTCTATAAAACTGTACAGTACATAGATGTTCATTCTTCAGTCAGGAACATGGCAGCACATTCATACATTGAAACAGATGAACACAAACAATTTTCCAAAACAGGTGAGTGTTTTTACTCACCTTCTCAGCCCATGCAAGTATGACATCCTCCTCCAGCAGGTCTGCATCATATAGGTCTTTGAGAACGATGGACACGCGGGGCAGCAGCTGACTCTGATGCAGTTTCACCAGGCATTCAAAACCACCCAAGAGGTACTTCTGAGCCTTTTTATCATTGTGGCAGAACTGATGGATAAGACAGGTGCATTAGTTGGACACCCTGACAAGTCACTACAAAAGGTCAAAACAAAAACAAATAAATGACAATAATACTAATAATAGTCATCTCACAATCCATGACTGTACTGAAAGTCACACCATCCTACTAAGTCAAGTATTTATAGAGTATCACATTTGAGTGTGCTCACTGCTAGTGCTATAAATAAAAGAATAAAGAATCATTTTTGGAAAAATAAATCTCTGAGGAAAGAGTGCACATTTGTTGCCTTTGAATAAGACAAGACATGAAACAGACAATTGAGGCTGCACTTACTCTGAGGAAATGTCGTTTGTACTTCTTGATCTGCTCACGGATGTTCTCGTCAAACAGCAGCTCGCTCAGGATCAGTGGGCCCATGGCCCTCACCTCAAGCCGCTCTGCTTCAGCCAAGATTTCCTTATCAGCCGAATCAATCACTCCCTCCTCCTTCTTTTGCTGCAAATAAGGAGGAAAGTCAAAATGAGAGCATAGGGCAGGGGGGGGGGTGTTTCTGTGAGTGAGTGTGTTCTATATCCAACACACATCCAGACACAAGACACTACAATTTTTCTATGCTTATGTGTGAACCCCCAAAACAGAAACATTCCAAAATAATTGTGTTAAAGCACACCTTCACAAAGTTGTAGAATATGTTGACCCTCTCCTCCAGAGTCTTCTCCAGATCATCACTCAGTGTAAGGCCCTTAGCATGCTCACTGATCTCCTCCATGCGGCGTCGCTGGGCCTCCTCTGTGGTCTCTTCTGCCCAGTCTTCATCATCATCATCCCCATCCTGCCCAGATAAAGTCATACAGCACAGACAATTTGCATTGATTTTTTTAAAACCTACATGACCAAGTGATGCATTCCGATGATAAAAAGCACACTGATGCCCAATACCAAAGGAGGCTCTTCCAGTAACAAAGTTTGACGTCTGCCTTAGAAAATGTTTTAGTGGATAGCATTGGTTAATGCTAGCGGTTGGTGGTTACAAGCTAACTTGCTGTAACTATTACGGGCCTAGCCTACATGGCCCTCCTAGGGCTACTGGTGCTGCTGCACGGCAAGTTTAAAAATAATTTTTAAAGGTTTGGTCAAGGCCAGCTGGCACAATATGCTGCATTTTGTAACCAAAACATGAATTTTGAAATTGTGTATGTATACCACTAAATTATTATTATTATTATTATTATTATTATTATAATTATTCTTTGGTTGTTTGGGCAGCTAAACAACTTAAAGAACACCAAAATAAGAACAAATATACCATGTAAAAGTAAACAAATGAACAACCAGTATCTTGCTCTTGTCTTGGTTACAGTGTCCCTTTCTGTTTGCTAGGGGAGGGGAGAAAGAAAGAAAAGACTGTTCATCTAAGTGAACAGGGTGGGGAGGGATGGGGGCTGATCAAGATCAAAGAGCAGCCCACCCACCAATTTCTCAGTGTTTCAGTAAGTCAAACACTGCAGTCACAGCTAGCCTAACTTCTAGGTTGTGTAGAAGCCTTTAGGGCCTTTTTCAGCCATTTAAAACCCACAAGCCTGGATTTTCTGTCTTAATAATGCTGCACACACCTAACCTGCTCTGCTTAAGGACAGGATTACAAAATTATAAACATCTCTTAGACCAATCACGGACAACCTTTTGGCACAGGTGGACCCCCTTAGGTCTCTTTCTGGGCACAGTCAAATAAAGGGGGAAAAAAGCCATTTAAAGAATGGTTGCTGTGCCAATTAACTACCCCTTTGTTTGTGGCAAGCAAAAAAAAATATATATATAGCTATCGCTTTCGGCAGAGGAACAAGCATCTACACAAACATCAAGAATATAAAGCAATTATAATGACAATACCAACAGTGACACTGCTGCTTTTAGCAGCTGTAACTGGTTCATATTTTTTTATATTTAAATAGCATCTTATTCCTTTCTTTTTAATCTTCTAGTTCATTCATAATCTATTACACCTGTTCCAGCTAATTAAGGTCTTCAGAAGTCCCCAACTGCCTGGAGCAAGTGCAATAGCACTTGTATGGCAACCAGTATGTCAAATAAGGCCTGGAAGTAACCTCTATAGGAAATTATACCTCCAGGAGGTGGACAAGTGTCCCTTACTCTTGAAATTCTATAGTCTAGGGGACCGTACTCACCACAGCATCAGGGGCATCTATGTCATTATTTCCAGCCTCCCCACCACTTGAGCCATTCTCTTTGTCTTTCTTGCGATTCTTTTTCTCTTTCTCCTTCTTGACAGATCCACTGTCATTCTCTGGACAGGAAACACAGAAAGCAAATCAGCATTAAAGTTATCAGGTCTGTGTACATAACCTCACTTAAAGTATCCATTTTGTTAGTGTGATTCATCACAAGCTGAAAGAATGTGTGAATCCTCATCACATGCACAGAAACCAAAGCTGGAGGGATAAAGCATGTGATATTTTTCACAGCCTGAACATTTTTTCCACCTTTAACACATACTACTTCCACCAGACAAAGTTATGTCAGTGATCTAACTGTTTGGTTAGAAAGCCATGTATTGATTAATGGTCCATCCAGGGTGATCCATGCATGTGGTATGGCCTTTGCTGCTGCTGAACAATAGCAAGAAGATTTTTGCAGTTAAGCCAGAGAGTCATCACTCAAAAGGCAGCAGGTGCCAAAAGCCATGAGACAAATGCTCATGGCTTTAGACACTACTGCAATATATTTCACCAATGCAGGACACTCCAAGAAAACACTGAGTCATACCAACAGTTCCAGAGTTACATGACAGTAAGGCTCTGCAGTTTCATCTGGATCTGCACAGACCTCAAAAAAGCCTATAGTGAAACAATCGGCACACTACATCACTGGAGGTGAAAGACATGGCCCTGCACCCTTCACCCAGCAAAGGACTGCAGCTACACGTAAGGCTTATACTGGTATCAAATTTAAGAGACACACTTGTTGGTCCAATTTGGGTGCTCGCATCCTGATTTGATAAGCTAGTAATGAAGCAACAACCCAATATATTGGACTGGTATTGGCAGCACTATTATCCTTACTAAATGGACTGGATATTTGTCAGGCCAATCCACATACCACATGGTTTCTTAGGAAAAATATAATTAAAATATATATAAAAATATATATATATTAAAACAGGATTAATATCTGGTTAATATCAGAGTGCTTTCCGATCAGTGCTTGATATCAGCAGATACTGGAAACCAGAAGTGGTATCATGACAGAAAAGGCTGGATTGCTGCATTCTCAACTAGCAGTGTCAAACAGGACCAAAAGGAGCCTGAACTTACCAGGTGGATTTTTGAGAATGAAGGTGCACAATTTGTGTCTGGTGTCCAGCATGCCTCGGTACCCACAGGCCTTGCAGGAGTTTCCTATGGTCTGCTTTTTGGGATTGATGTGCTGCAAGAGAAAGATTTACAAATTTACAAAAATGTAGGTGATTTTAAACCATTACAAACTGCACACTGACTACTAAATAATGTTTCAATGTACTTGACAGACATGCTGGAAGATTTTAGCTTTAGTAGTCGAAAAGTGTGCTACCTTCACCACTATGAAAATAATCATTTACATGGTTTAAGAAACCATGTTCTTGTGAGAGCCAGCCAAGTTAACTGAGAAAAAAAGTATGATAGAATACTTACAATACATTTGCCCACTAACATTAGGATAAACACATATAAACAAGACACAATGTGTCAGCTTAACTGGTCACAAACTTAGAATTTACAGTTACCATTCAACACTTGTTTATCTAAATCAATTTTTCTTTAAAATTAAATCAGATATGCTGCTGATGTAATTTAACAAACACATGCGATGGCTGGAGAAGTCATAAGCCAAACTTGTGCTGTTTCTATTCAAGACACCACTTTTCAAAACAAAAATCCTCTGTATTTAGGTTTGCTTTTATTACACTGTTATCTTGTTTTGCTAGCAAAAACACACTTTCTGCCAAGAAAAACTGTTTTAAAGAGTTTCCTTGGCTGCCTAAGACTTTTGCACAGTACTATACATGTACTCAGACTTCCTTGTTCAATAGAGTACATTATATACATTTGTATTAAGAAGGTTATTTAGCCTCAGTTTGCAGCTCCTACTGGTGAGAACATTCTGCAACACAAAAATAAACAGACAAACAACTCTGACCCTGGAGGGCCAGTGTCCAGGAGAGTTTGGTGATTTTACCTGCTTAAACACACCTGATCACACTCATCTGTTAATTGCCAGTTTTAGTGGGTGTGTTTAAGTAGGGAAACTACCTCCAGCTACAGAGTTGTGCACTCCTGATCTTGATCCAAATCACTGCATAGGCTCCTTATGAATGCCACTGCTAAAGACATTACTCTCTGCAGCATAAGCATTCCTAAGCAGAAAACAGCTAGCTGAGACAATGCAACCCAGAGTGCTGCACTGCAATACCAAGGAGGCTCTCTTCCTCAATCCTTTTGCCTGACACTGCTTTCAAACAAAATATAGCCTCCGCAGAAACAACTCAGGTGATGTCTTTTCTGCCCGTCCCTGTGGATTCTATTGTCATATTGATTATCTCAATTACAGCTTAGCCTGTGACTCACCAGGATCGGTAACCCTCCCATAGAAGCCACTAACAATTTAGGTGTTAAGTCAGCTCTTATGAACAGTCATTTCTTTCTGGCACATCGGGCAAAACCACCTTTGTAGCCATATACTATAGATAACCTTACAGGAACCTGCACATTCAGCAACACATTCAAACCTGCAGCCAATACAGAGGGTACAGAGTTCACACATTCAAACTGGATGGTCACAAACGTTAGCTTTTCAAGAGACTCATCATCAACAGCTATATTCCTCTGTTCAACCAGGAGGTAAATAGGAATGGAATTTAGAGGCCAATTTTACAACCAGTAAAGAAAATGTTAGCTGGTGAAAATCATACTACTGACAGAAGTTCTAGTTGGTCTAAGTCAGCCTTTTAACAGAAGATAAAAGGACAAGGGGGCATATAAATTTACCAAATCGGTTTCTGGATTGTCACACTCAGGACACAGCACAAACTTGCGAATGAATCCATCCAGCATGTCTTGCAGTTTGTTTGCCTCGTGAGATCCATTGACAATGTAGCGGTCATTCTTGGCATCAAACTGAGTCTGGGCTCCCAACTCACAGCCAAAGAACTTGGTGGGATCTAGAGAGAGCATTATTAAGTGTTAGAGGGATTTGGCAATCTTCTTAGGGCTCTCTTAAGCCATCTAAAAAGTGCTCAAGCAGTACTCACAAGTTGGAGGCCTATTCAGTGCCTTGGCAACATCAACCATGTTGACTATGACAGTCTTGATTCCATTTCCTTTGCCTTCCACCTAGCAGGAAAATAAGTTACATTATTTTATTAATGAAGATTCAAGATGTTCCAAGTAAACCTTAATCTCATTTGTAAGTAGACACTGATACAGTACAGATAAAACAGCAGGCCATACCCACCTTAGCGATCAGACGGGGCATCTTATAGCGGTAGAACTGGTCTGAAACGCTGCGGTTGACGTTGACAGACATTTTAGCTTGCTGTAGGCTTTATCAGCAAGATGAAAAGATCTTGAACTGGCAATTTTTGGTATCTTCTGTCTCGAAAGGAGGGGATGACATAAACGACTGCAAGAGGACTGTGTCCCTGACATGAAAAGGGTATGGCCACTCAGGCTCTAAACTGCAAGCTCGTAGGCTAAGTTCCCCACACACAGGTTTCAAAAGCTGTCCAACAGCTCTGTAAAACAAGAAAGAAAGAGCTTAGATGAGCAAAAGTAGACGAGTCATTTCAGGTATCTCAAATGTCCATCATATACCATTATAAACTTGGCCTCAAGATCAATATGGGAGCACAACGTGGTTCCCACCCAAAGGCAGAAGGACCACATTCTTATCTGTTGGAAACAGCTGTGTGCTCTTAACTAACTCGACAGGCAAACGACATCGAATAGTACAGGGTGAAAAAAACACAATAAATATATATAAATATATATTTTTACTTGTTTCACATGTTACCATAGCACACAGTCACATGTCTCAACTTACCTGAAACAGTAAATATTGTATGCTCAAATAAGCTACATGAACAACTGTTGGATACTGACATAGGACAACACATTTTAAGTTTAACATAAATGGCCAAGTATCAGTCGAGAAGTTGTGTAAAGCATGGTGCAGAATGCGTCACTCTCCTGGCCAAGCAAACACGGTGTGGCAGCAGCTACGAGTTAGGAGGAGGAGGGGGCCGCCATTTTGAGCCACACTTCAGCTTTTTCAGGGGGAAATATGAGAAAGCACGCACACACTAGGAAAATAATCATGTGGTTAACACAAAAGCCACCGTACCTTTCCCATCCGCAGCTCCTGACGTCCAGGTACTCGCCGTTTGCGTAAAATAAAGACATAAACACACCGCTGGTCGCCCTGAGATGCAGCGAAGTGTATTCTGGATGATGAGCGGCTGTGAGTTGAAGCAGAGGAGGACAGCGCTGTACAGAGTTAACCCTGGCACCGCAGAGGGATAAAGCCCCGAAGAGAAAACTCGAGACGCCCTCAAAACAGGGGGATCTGGAACGAACCAAATAAACACTGATCAGCGGCAGCTTAGCGCTAGTCCAACGTGAAAGCTACCTTGCTAGCTAGCGTTAGCTTAGTTAACATGACGTTACCGTTACCTTTCGGGTCTGCTCTTCTGGCTCTGGAGTGCACAGCAAATTTTACTGTTTTCTCTGCTCACTGTAGGCTTGCCAATTAGCTGCTGAGTTGTGTTAGATATGCTGCGAGCAGGGACAACACTAAAATGTGAAGTGGTAACCAAAGACCAGGAGAAAACATTGAAAATGTAAATCGGAGCTAGCTAGCTCATGCTAAGTGTTTGGTTATTCCGAGCGTACTAGCTGCCATATGGCAGGACTTCGTAGCCTGTAGCTAACGCCAAACTAGCTCACTACCTCTCGCTCTAGCGCGCTACATGTTTGAAACACAATTCACGGTACTAAAAATCACTTCAGTATAAAACGCTCGGTGCTCGTTAGTCTTTGTGCGCAGAGAAAAAGCAGCACACGTACCTCCAGATCGCTTGTCCTGCTAGCGTGTGCAACGCCACAATGCGTTCCTATGGCAGCGTGACTGGGAATCTTAAGCTGCCGCGAAACTCTCCCCGCCCATTCAGCGTCGCAGATTCGGCACTGTGTCTCCTCGCCTCTGTGGGTCATCACCATTTGTTCATTTGGCTGTCAGTCATTCTCTCAACTCTGACGGTAGAAATAAAAAAAATGGGGATCACTGATAAAAGTGTAGAGGACAGAACAATATGAATATAAATATTTTACCTTATTGATTGATTTGATGGTCTCATCCCAGTGTGCGAAGTTGAATATAAATTTGTAAAAAAGTAAAAAAAAACATGATTTCTCCTTTAAAGTGCCCACATCCTAGTTTTTCTTCTACATATTTTTCCCCTTGAGGTTTTTTTTTACATTACAATTTTCCAACCTTTCTTGATCTTTTAAGAATAAACAGGCTGTCACTTTAAAACTGATATATGTAAATATGTTCTGTTGTGATTGGCTGAAACATTCCTTATAACTTCAGCAAGAATGGGCCAGGCTAAACTGCTGAATAACTGTGTGTAAATACACTTCATTTTGTTATATCTCATGGGCTGTTTTTACTGGTTAATTTCTACAGACTGTATAGAGAGTGGAGTGAATATGTTTTAATGTTTACACACCACATCTGTTTTTTGTTATTTTATTTTTGTAAAGCAAAGTAATTTTGGCTTTCCATGATAATGGTCCTTAAAAATCCATAAAAACTGCAAATCACTCTAAGTAAATAACTCAAACAGATGGCCTTTTTTGACGCATTAGTGACGAGCTTCTGAATAGGACCACGTTTCAGATCAGCTCCCCTTTCAGAGTGCATTCCGCTTTTTGTAATGGCACAAATACCCAGCTACCCAGGACAGAGGATGGCACACAGAGTGAAAGCTCTGGATGTGTTTTCATCCTGCTGCAGAACAAAGGCTTCCTGCCAGAGTCACACAGGCCAGTGAGGAAGGAATGCATGGAACAAACAGGCAGGATGGACCCTCAGGATTACCTGTGGAATTACAAGGGGTGAAAAGGCTTACTGTTGAATGGCCAGTGGGTGGCACATTGGACAACAGCACACATAGGCCAAACATAACCAAAGGAACAGTAAACACAATTTCTAGCACACTTGTAGAGTAAGGTAAGCTTATTATGCAGTGAAGGATCTACAAGCTAACACATTCTGCGTTTAAATGCAGAATGTGTTACTAAATTGATCTAAAAATAAAATACTGGTGAAAACACCTAAGCATTGATATGTTTGTTGGTGTATTTTAATTTTTGCCATTTAAACTGTTTTTAAGAGGCCACTGACCATAAAAAGTGTTCCCTCGGGAGGCGCTGTGCTCCCAGCATAACACTGCTGCTGCTGTTGCTACATTGCTAACAGTGTTGTTGTTGTTGTTCTTAGTTTAAGATGTGTTTACATATTGGTTGCGTTTTATTGTGCTCTTCTGGCTCTGGAGTGCACAGCAAATTTTACTGTTTTCTCTGCTCACTGTAGGCTTGCCAATTAGCTGCTGAGTTGTGTTAGATATGCTGCGAGCAGGGACAACACTAAAATGTGAAGTGGTAACCAAAGACCAGGAGAAAACATTGAAAATGTAAATCGGAGCTAGCTAGCTCATGCTAAGTGTTTGGTTATTCCGAGCGTACTGGCTACCATATGGCAGGACTTAGTTAGAGCGGTTGTAATGTTCACTGTCAGTGGATGTTGTATGGTTTCTGGTGACCTTCCCTGCTGTTTGCCCTGTGATTCAGCAGCATCGATCGATTTATGCTGCCTGTCGATTTACCTGTTCAATAAAAAAGTATTTGCCCATATGCACCAAATTTTCCACATCTTCTTAGGCAAAAGACATTTATGTTTTTACATATTGACTGTAATGAAGCTAATGGGGCCGTTGTGTATATAATGAGGTGAAAACTGAGGCCCATAGTTGCATTTTGGTTACATTCACAAGCACTGAATGAATTTTGTGTATATACATCCTTTGTTTCTTTATTTGTCATTTTCTACCAATAAACATGTTTGAATTTGTGAAATTTAGAATACTTAATTTTTTTGCCACAAATGAAGCCATGATACAGTTTAGACTGTGGACTGCTGTGATATGTAGTGCTAGTGACATTTAGCCTGAAGTATAATGACATTTAGCCTGAAGCATAAATAGAGCGCTTTCAACAATTGTTGCCGTTCTGTAAGGGGTGTCTTAAAAGTTCGTCCAACAATCGTCTATTTTGAAACACTTTAATCGAGCCAACACCAGGTCAATAAACTCCACTACTGGCACAGTAAATATTAAACTGTTATACTGTTTGTTCAAATGTTTGCTCATCCAGTGTTTCTTCTAAGATCAAGGGCATTAATATAGAGTCTGTCCCCCCTTTGCTGCTGTAACAGCCTCTACTTTTTGGGAAGGCTTTACTGTAGATGTTGGAACATTGCTGTGGGGCATTAGTGAGGTCAGGTACTGATTGTTGGATGATTAGTTCTGGATCACACATGCCACTCCAACCCATGCCAGAGGTATTTAGTGGTGTTTCACTGTGCCACATCCCAACGCTGGGGGGCTTTACACACCTCCAGCCAACTGCACACATTAAGCATGGTGACCTTAGGTTTATGTGTGGCTCCTCCAGAATCTCCCATTCTATTGGTTATGCATTTCAGTGGAGATTTACAAGCTGTGCGTGTGCAACTGAACCCCTATGTCAGAAATGGGTACATTTAAAAAGTAGCAGAACTTACTAATGGGAGGAGTGTCTGGATACTTTTGGAGATACTGTCTGTATTGGATCTTACAAAAAAGACACTCCTGCATTAGTGAGCTACAGTGCCACCTGAATCAACATGAACAAATTACACTAGCTGCACATAAAACAGTCATCTACTAAAATGTTGACTGGTGACTTTAAATGACTCCTTCTATGAACAAAAAAGTGCTAAAGCATTTAAAGGTGCTATTCTCTATGCATCTTGAAGTCTGCTCATCTGTCAGCATTGCATGTGCAGTAGGATTTGCTGTGTATTTGGTTTATATGTCTATATAATCAACGTTGGTTCATCTTTCCCTCAGATTTGTATTTTAAAATTTGAAGCATGTTGGATGAATACGTTAAAGTGCCACTCGTCCACCATGGCTACATCTTTTACCATACCCATTTGCCTCCTGCAGTGGTGTCAAAATCACCCTGAGAGTGAGATTTTCCTGTTAAAAGAGTATAAAAAAACTACCTGCAGAAGATGTATTTTGAAGGTTTTTGTTTCCCTTCTAGCTGGCTAGTTCATGATGCCAGATGGCTAGATTACTGCTAGAAAGAAATCATGTTTGTATCTATTAGCCTCTACATTAGTAGCGGGGAGGTCAGGATGTGTAATGCAAGTTGGGTATTGCAGACAGAGAACATTGATGGCCTGTCATGTTTGGGGCGTTGAGGAAGGATACATTCAGTAAGTAGCTTTATTTGGGACAATCTGTCATTCATAGCCATCACAACATGCAGGGGTCAAAACACAAGCAGGCAAATCCATAATCAACAAAATCAAGAAGATCAGAACTACAGAAGCCATATACCTGGACTCAGAGCTACACAGTATTGTAGGCAAGATTTCAAGCAAAGACAAACTGAAGGGCGTATGAAGGAGTTAGTGAATCCAAATCTGTAGGTATGAGTGATGATGGATGGGAAGAGTGGATAATGGTGCATAAGCTGGAGTGAGCCAATCAAGACTGGGCTCCTCCCTAGAGGAGCAACACCATGGGGCTGTGGGATGCAATGCTGCGCTAAAGAGTAACACAACAAATAACAGTAAATGCTAGTTTTAGGTCGTAATGCCGCTTTAAAACAGTCTAACTTACCTGAGTTGACTAAAATGAAACAACATATTCAAACTGATATTGAAGCAGAAACTGAGCTCCAAATGTCATTTTGGTTTTAATTATAGAAGTAATGACCAAGGAGTTGCCATGAAAAAAAAAAACAATCCACAGAAGCCAGAAGAATGAATAATAAATAATAATAATTATTGCGTAATACACCCTAGATCTGAATAATGATGAATATGAATGTCATTAAACTGCAGTATGGAGGGGAAAATTGTGCAGACTTATTACACCATTGTCACTGCCTGCCCTGGAATTAATGTTGTGTTTAATTAAATACGATGTCCTCTAGATGGCAGCATAGCATGAAAATTACACTGAGTGCACAGGACCGCGTGCCCATTACGCCCACTCACCTCAGTTCAACCTAAATGGAATGCCTGTAAAATCTGTCATTTCTTCTGTCCTTATATAACAGCCTTGGACATAATTCAATTTAAAAGAAAACATAAAACTCCCACATGCATTACTGAGATGGGAAATTGGAAGTGAAATATGAAATTCAGCCTATACTCATGGAGCTGTAACTACTACAATTCTTTTTTATATTTAATGTAGTTGCACAATAAATAAATGTAAATGTATTATCCTTTATTGCAGTGATGTCAGAGGCTTGTTCTGTGCCATCCTGTGCCTCGAAGGAAGCATAATGCTGTCACGCTGCCTCACTTTACATCACTGAAGAATGTTTCATTTTAAAAGAGGAAAGTCTGTGTAATAGAATAAGTGATTTAACACAGAACATAGAACTGAGAGGTTGGAGGAGGGATGTCAGTCAGAAATTGGGCTATTCAATAACTGCTACATGTTCATGTTTATCCAATATGCTAGTCTAGATATAGATTGAAATCTGCTTTGTGCCCATTTGCAGTTACATATGTGGACTGCTCTACCAAATGGGTCCAAAGTCAAAGTTGAAAACATTTCACTTTTAACTGTCTTGGACTTTTGCTTTGACTGACCCTATGCCTTAATTCTGTTAAATGATCGAACATTCCATTTTGTCACTACGAAAACAATCACATTACTACCGAATCTTTACCAAATGTTTCAGTAGTGACTGTTTCGGTATATACAATTTTAGCTAATTTTGAGCATAACATAAAATCCTAATATTTTTATTAAACACAAAAACATTTACTTAATTGCAGAAAATATGTGTTTTGGTAGTATCAATTCCTAAAGTTACACACTGATTTTCAGACTTTGGAACACCTTTACTTCAAAACGATGGGATTTAACTGCTTGCCATGTGGCCATGAGGGACAGAGATGTACTCTCACTTCCTGCTCTAAAACGCACAGCTGTGGCTAAAATAAGGCCCCGGTCCTGGACTAAAACTCTTTGTGTTTTGGTAGTGACATTAAAAAAACATACAGATTTTTTTTTTAATTACGTTGTTCTATTTAAAAAACATTAAACCCGTAATTAATCTAAATCATTCCCTCTCACTTTTAAAGAAATAAAGAAAAAGAAACCAAATAGAAAACAACATTGAAAATAAAAGTGAAATTTAGGGGTTAGAGTTTGGGACCTCCCAATAGAAAGTACAGTATAAGTGATGATTTTGAATATTGTTGCAAATAAACAAAAAACAATATTTTATTTTATTCAATTTTTATTCTTCTACATCATTACAACATTTTGGAGTATGTTGGAGATACTGACAGTGTGTTAGGCATATTACTATCTCGATTAATGCCTTGGATTTATATAGATCATAACATAATCATTTTTTTTTTTGCTGTGTGACTGCAGCTTGAACAATTTGGGTAGAAAGGTCTGCATCTAAAATACTGATTCATTGCTGTTCTCTAAGTATTTTCAAATAATAATTATTTTAGTTGTGCATATGTATAATTGCGAGGAAAGTAATCTAAATTTTTCTCTATTCCACTTTGGCCATTCACAGTCACACTTTTTTGTGCTTGAATCTATTCGGTTCTGTTGCTCACACCACTAACTTTCCAGCTTTAGTGTTTTTTTTTACCCCAGGATTATCTTAAAAAGAGAAACATGGTTACTAACCAGCTTCAGTTCCTAAGTTGATAGATGTTTGATGTACTATAAGTTCCACTGCAATTTGATAAGGAATAATGTAGTTTTTAGATCTTACGGTCCTATTGAAGCTGTTCTTTACTGGGTTACATTTACTTGTACTTAAGTCATTATTTCACCAAAGGAACAATTCTTTTACCTGAGTATAGGTCTAGGCTACTCCACTTGTCTTTATGAGTGCCATATCTTGAAATCAAGATCAAGATTCTCTAAATGGATTTCGCTGTTTATTTTTTGTCATGTACAGTACAGCACAACACAGTCATGCATAGTATTCAATTCAAGGTGAGGATAAAAGACGCTCACGATCTTGTAACTTGTAACAATGAAGCCAGTCAACAGTAAGCCCTCCCACTCCAGAGCCACATTTCTTCTCCCCATTCTAATAAAAAAAAGGCTGGCCAGTGAGTCATGCACTATTAACAGACCCTTAAAAGACTTAATGACTCATACTAGAGAAGGGGGCTATATCATGACAACAGAGCAGACCAGGACAACCACAATACCAGCATTTCGAAAAAAAAAGGTCATAATGCTATCTGTGAATGGATGAAAAAGGCACAGCATGGTAGTATAGAGAACAGTGAGTCATTATACGCAATATATGACATCAACACTACTGACTGGCCAGTATGATTTACTGTAACAGATAGCTTGACCGAGATCTGGCAGTGTCGTTTGTTAGAAAAAGAGATTTTGTTTATTCTTATGACACACACTGTACTGCGCAAAAGTAAGAGACCCACTCTTCATTTATTCCAGCCAAAATGGCCATTAAATACAAGTTATTCATTTTCAATGTGAGGAGAAAGCAGACACATGTATTTAATAGAAAATCACACCAAAGCTTCAAAAGCTAAATGTTAAAACATATGAATATCTTTCCACAGCTCCAAAGTTCAGCCTTAGAAGTTGGTTGCATTTTCTGCTTTTCACAATCCAAGTAATCCCAAACTGAAATACTGAAAAAAATTAGATTAAATTTAGTTGTTAGCACTTCTGTGCATTTCTCTGTTAAATATGTGTCTGGAAATTCAATAAATGAAATGGTGGTCTCTGTGCACAGTACTGTACATACACACAATATTCATTGCACAAAACATACAAAGCGCTCATAAAATAAAGAGACTTCATGCTGTGTTAAAATACATATTGGCACATCATACATTAAAACAAAACTCTTTGAATATATAGTTTTTAAGGACTGCTTATTTCATTCATCTTCAGATTTGTTGTAGTTAAAAGGCAGTTAATCCTTAAAATCATTAAATAGTTGGAGAAAAGGTTTCACCGAAACCTGTGGCCACTGAGCGACAGGCCAGATTATAATATGTTAGAGCTTGTGTTTTTCTTAAAATGCCTTACTGTTTCAATATATTTTGAGTCTATATCTACTCTTTGTGTTTCAGCATTGTGGTTGATCTGTACTGAGCAGGTTTATTTAAATACAAAGTTAGTATCAACAAGATTACAACCAACAAGATTACAACCAACAAGATTACAGGAAAGATCTACGTATTTTGGTGGATAAATATCAAAAGCAGAGATATGATCTAAAGATATTAAGATATAAAGCAGTCTATAACAGCGACAGTCCATAATGTAATGGCATCTCATTTCATTATGCATTCATGTAGTTAAAAGACAATCATTACCCCCAAATTTTATGGCTAATATTTTTTCAACATCATCTGGTTTACTAAGCAAAGTGGATCTAATACACAAATTAATTCTTCTGTGCACTAAAATTAAAAATATTTAAGTTAGTTCTCTGCGTAGGATGTGTTCACTTATTTCCACTTAGATAAAACATGTAATTTGACCAGGAGTGTTCAAACTTTTGCATGTAACTGTATATTGTGCAGTGCTGTGCAAAGGTCAGCATCACCCATCATCTATTAAATTCTAATCATTCCAGTCATTGTTAGAAAGCAGAAAACATATTCAACAGAAAAGTACACAGAAACTTTAACAGCTAAATTTAATATGGCATTTTTGAGTATTTAGTATGTCCACCCTTGTGTCCAGACTTGCTTTGTTTTTCAAAATCTGCAGGAACCCCCAAAATTCAGCCTTAGAAGATGGTTGTATTTTCTGCTTCTCACCATCCAAGTAATCCCAATTACAAATTTAGACTCATCAGTGTATAAAATCTCTCTTCACATCTCATGTATGTAGTTCAGTGTCAATTTTATTCTTTTTTGTCTGTTTCCCTTTCTCAGTAACGGCTTCTTGACAGCTACACATGTCAAGAAGATGTTGAGTTGTCTTCTCAGAGTGGAAGGATAGACAGAAACACCTGTGGATTTGATCAGAAATAACTTGTTGTCCTTTTTTGACTTCATTTATCATATAATGCTATTTTAACTACATAGTTTAGACTACTGATATTGAATGTGGGTATAAACGTAACTCATTACAAACTCTTTGAATATGTGCCCCAAACTACAGCTGCACAGCTCTGTCAGTAAAACAGCTTTTGAGAGGTCTGTGGTTTGTTTTACATTTTATGTAAATTGTACCTAAAGTCTGTTTTGACTTGAAATTCAATAAATGAAGGGTGGTCTCTTACCTTTGCACAGTACTGTATATTATAAACCTGCGTTGGTGTAAAAGTAACGTACTGACCCTGAAAAAGTCTGTCTGACATCTGGATATTTTTGCTGTATTTAAAGAGTACACACAAGTCACTGTCTTAAATTTGCTAAACTGAGCTTTAAATTGTTTAATTTTGGTTAGCAGCTTTAAGACAATTATTCTCTTTGAACACACCCAATGTATTTATCTCAATGGGGTAAAAGAGGCCCAATCCTGGAGGCACAAAATGTGGAGAAGCAATAGTTGTTTTTCCAAGTGCATGCTGTGAATTTCTCTCTTGAATTATATTTCATGTACAACAAGGATATGTTGTACAACAATTGCATATGTGCAATTCTAAAGGCTTCCAGTAAGCATGCTGCCATTTGTCCAAACTGAGCACAACAGTCAAGGAGAAAGGTTTACCATTTTCCCTTGGCACTAAAATGTGAATACTATTTGTTTTGTGTTAGTTATTGGGTTAGCTAAGTAGATATAAGTTAGCATAACTGTGCTGCCCAAAGCCACAGCAGTATAATGCTATTTTAACCACGTAATTTAGAATACTGATATTGAATGTGGGTATAAACATAACCCGTTACAAACTCTTTAAAAATGTGCCCCAAACTACAGCTGCACAGCTCTGTCAGTAAAGCAGCTATCTTTTGAGAGGTCTGTGGTTTGTTTTACGTTTTGACTTGTCATACACTTGACATTTCCGATGTAAACATCCTGCAGGCCTTGAGAGTCGATGTGATACTAGCTATATTCAACTGCCAGTTTGCTGTTAGAACACAATGTAATTTTTTGTAAACCTGACACTCTCCACATCTTTCCTAAACATCAGTTTATTTTTCTCCTCCAATCACTGCTTAGTAACCGTTACACTATCCTTCATTATCTCAGTCAAGTTTTCAGGTATTTTAGCATCGAGCTAGCATTCCCTTGAAGGTACTTTGAATATGCAGCTCCAGGTATTCAGAAGATGTGCCTGAGGGATCTGTAAAAGTGAGACCTGAAACTATGACAGAGTATAAGCTGCCCATTTCAAAGGCCAAATATAAAATGTCATCCGCCTGAGTTAAAAAGCTAATTTGTCTTTGTTGGCAGTAAACTGCACCATCAGAGGTAGGATATAAATGAAAGAAACCAAACATTTGCACACCCACCAAGGTAGTACGCTTTAGCTAGACTGCTTGACAGTTTGGGTTGTTAAGTTTGCTGCTTCTGTCTGTCCTTATGCACATTTCAGCTGTCTGATTGTAATTTATGTCATCTTCATTGGCGTTAATATTTTGCTTGTCAAGAACAGATTCATGCTTTATAGGAAAGCGTTGCATTGGTTGTTGGGTTTATGTTAACCTGTGTTCTCATTAATATGTGTGTAATCTTGTTACACTCACAGTGGCGATATGCCAACACTGTATGCTGTTATTGTGGTGCTGCACAGGCCTTCAAAATTATATTGATGTAGTCTATTTTATTTATATGGTAAAAATGCATTTGATGCAAGAACATTCAGTGTTTAAATGTCTTCTTTTACTTCACATTTCATAATGTATTTTTAGGCCTTTTTGCCATTTACCTTATTTTATGGGGTTGTGACATTTTTTTTTTTTTAACTTTACACTGGACTGGATGCACCAACTGAATGGCAGCTGTTTTTACATTGGAGTTTTCCATTCATATCAGAGAAAGGGCATATACAGAAACAGGAATAGACGTTTAATGAACAGCTCTGGGGCACTCTGCAGAAAAAAGGTGGAGCGGGGTCTGAGTTGTTTATATTGGTCTTAGATTGATGGTAACACTCTTTGATCATGCGCTTATCTGCACAGGAGATGTTGCTCCTCAGCTGCAAGATTGAATGGACTTGCTGTTCACTGTGGAGGAAAAAACAAAAATAATACCATTTAAGTTTAGAAAGTGTAATGTCCTACTTTCTGGGCCATTTAATTAACTACTGATTTGTCAAATAGATAATAACACACACACTAAACAGATACTAAAAATAAAAGTAGTGATATTTCAGTGAAAATAAAGACTAAAGGAAAAGTAAGTGTAGCTTTCCAAAAACAGCTTGAGTAGAAGTACAAAAGTAGCAGCTTAAAAAACTGCTGATGTTGTGAGTAACTTTATAAAACTGCGGAACTTATTAGTCCATCCAGCATCTATCAGCATAGGAACTGACATTTGTTGGGTAGTTCTTCTCTTTTTGATGCACTTTTGGTGGAAAAAGTAAATGCTAATGCTCTAAAGCTTACTAAAGGAATCAGTAACTTAATGTTAATGACTAAAATGTACTTGAGTAGAAGTAAAAGTAATATGACTTAAAAAGTACAAATCCATAAGAAATTTACTAAAGTACATGTAACTGAGTAAATGTAACTGTAATGTTACTACTCACCTCAGTAAACAATCACTGGCCACATTATTAAGTACATCTACCTTGCATCTACAGTCACTGTCCATTTTATCAGGTCCACTTACTGTACAGGGTTACATTGAAAAACACCACATAGACTATTTTTCAGTTTTTGACATAATCTGAAAATGCCTGTTGTCCTTTACATTGTGTGTACATTTCATGATGAATGGACCAACAGAAATGGCCCAAAACGACTTGGAAAAAGTCTTGTTCCATTGACTTACATTAAAAGTAAAGTATGTTTTACCCTTTTCCTGTAAAGTTATCATTTTGGAGGTACAAGGTTTTCTCCCAAGAACAGCAATATATATATATATATATATATATATATATATATATATATATATATATATGAATACACCACTGAGAAGGTATTATTTAGGCGGTGGAACATTCTCAGCTCTACAGTGTCATTGATTTGATAGTGGGTGTGTGTGTAGTGTTACTGGAGTTTTTCAATACCACAGTGTCAGTTTCACAGCTTAAAAGACTCCAACCAAAAATATCCAGCCAACAGTGTCCAGAAACCAACCACTGATGAAGGACTAGAACAGGGATACTTGGGAAGGTCCATTTACAAATCACATCAAATTTCTTGCTTACAAAGGTCTGGATAAACAAACTAACATGAGCAATCTTTAAATGCTTAACCATTAAAATACCATGAAAATAAGATGAAATAAGACACATCAAATATATTTTATAATTTAATTAACAATTTTAATGTGTATGCCCATTTGTTATTGTTTGCAAAATAAACAAACAAATAAATAATGCAAAATATCTTTAAAAATATTTGCCCTCAGACGTTCATTTCTTTTCATGAGGTAAAAAAATGAAATAAATTAAACATTTAATTAAAATAAATAATAATAAAGGTTACTCTTAATAAGCATGTCAGGCTCTTTGTACTGTCAGGGTATGGACAGCCAATCTGGTGGACCTTTCATGTTCGCCTTTGGGTTTATTTTATTTGTCCTCAGAACTGGACTTCATGATCAACTTACTTTTTTTTAAAAAAAAATGTTTTTGCTTCAGTACTTATTTAGTAGTAATATCAGTACTAATGTTGAATCTACAGAAAATATGTGAAATGATGTGCTTTCTGACCTGATTTCTAGCCCTGTGGTCTCTGTTCCAATGAGTTTACGTAAATTAGTGGAACTGGAACACATGACTGCTACAGAAGCTGGACTAATTTGTTTTACATACAATCATTTGTTTTACATATGTCAATCAGCTCGGTCCTCTGAATGACTTTACTGGGTCTGCATATGGATCGTGGTCCACCAGTTGACAACTACTGGACTAGAGAATGACACAAACTGTGCAGTATCAGATGAGCTATCATCTATATCTACAATCTGGACCAACGAGGTAGTTGAGTGGACAGTGAGTGGACACAGTGTTTAAAAACTCCAGCAGCACTGCGGTGTCTGATCCACTTGTACCAGCATAACACACATTAACACACCACCACCATGTCAGTGTCACCACCACCCAAATAATACTTGCTCTGAGGTGGTCCTGTGGGGGTACTGACCACTGACAAATGGGATAAAAGGGAGCTAACAAATTATGCATAGAAACATGTGCTACATATGCTGATGTACTACAATTTGTAATGGCAGAACTACGAAGTGCACCAATTAAGTAAGTAAATTAGATACAATTAGAGTAGGTGCTAGGTACTGTGGATAGGTAGATGTACCTAATAAAGTGACCAGTGAATATACAGACAGATACATAATGTTCAGTAATGGAAAGTGTGAAGTATGTAGCGTAGACTGTATTCAGTATCATTTTTGTTTTGTCAGGAGGAGCTGTTATCTTTGTTTTTCAGTCTGCTAGCATAAATACCGGGTGGCCCATCCATCTAGCAATGGATAGGGGCAAGTTTTTTTTTACTTTTAAACATAACGAAGAGAAAACACACGGAAACAGAGGGTCAAATATAGAAATAAAACAAATATTAGCTTGCCAGGCCATCCGACTGCCCTATTCCTTTGTGTGCTATAAAATATGGCAGGATGCTGAGTTTGCACAGTGTGACAAACACAGCACATTTAATAATGGCTTTCAGGGACCCTTTCCCTGATGAATAAAAATTAATTCAGACATCATTAATTGCACATAGCTAAGGATTGGTGAAAATTTTGTTCATCTCCTCTATTGAAAAGATACCTGTTATAAACAGAACTGTCACCCAACAGTGGTGCTAAATTCTAAATTACAGAAAATCATAGCACCATGTCTGTCCAAACTTACGTGAGGTCAGGGTGGTCTTTCAGCAGTGCACATATCTCCAGTTCAAGGGTGTCTGAATCCTGCTCTTTCAGCACTTCTGAAACCTTGGGCAGGATTTCACATAGCCACCGCTTGTCTGATCCCTGTGACAACAGTGATGATCTCTTCAGACATGAGGCAAGGCAAGACCTCTCAAACCCAAACAGATGCTCAAAAAGTGTGTACTTAATGTGTTAAATGTTAACAATACTGATATGACAAAGGAATAGTTTGACAGAAAATCAAATTTACACAAGTTACCACTTACCCCAGATGTACTCGACTGGCTGAGACATTCTTTGGAGTCCAAATTAAAACTTTAGTTTAAAACTGGACAAGCAATACTAACATTGCTAACAAACACTAGAACTCAGTAGTCACCCAACTAGCCCAGATCATTTCTGAAAAAATACATCACCAAAACCTTTTTAAATTGCATCCAGATGTTCATTACAGTTGTGCAGATTGCTAATGTGGTTTAGGACTCATATAAAAGGTGTATAATAATGCTTTTGTGTTTTGTGAGACATCACAAGCCTCCTAAATGCAAAGCGCACACTATAAAGTCCAGTACACACTGAAGCTCAGCTTATCACTTATAAGCATGTCCACTACAGTGGAAACAATGTTCACTACAGTGCAGAACACATCCACTACCAGAGGTGGGTAGAGTGGCTTAATTCATGTGCAAGTAATAGTATTCATACTTGGGTAAAATAATGACTCAAGTAAAAGTACCTTCCCAAAAACAACTTGAGTAGAAATACCATGTATTGGGTCAAAATCTACTGAGTAACTTATAGAACTGCAGTGGACCGTCTTAGTAAATCCAGCATAGAAAAATCGTTAGGCTCTGTTCTAAAGCTAAGCTAAGGCTCCAAAGTCAGAGGTGTGACCAATCTCAAAGCCATAAAGTTGTTGTCACCAGCAAAACAATAAAATTAAACACAAAAAAGCAATTACTAACTAGATATGAACGGCTAAAATGTAACTGAGTAAAAAATAGATTCCTTTACTCACTAATATACCTAAGCAGAAGTAAATTGATTTTAGAAATACTCAGGTGAGTACAAATCCATCAATATTTTACCTAAGTACATGAGCTTGAGTTAATGTAACTAGTTATTACCCACCTCTGTCCACTCCTGAGGAGACTGTTCAGGTCGATCATCCCTTAATAGAGCTCGTAACACTGAGTTAAGTAACTAGCTCAACACATTGGTTTATCAGTCTACTTATGCTTAAGTAGGAACTTGTGCTAATAAAGAAGGTGTTTCTTGTGTTCTTCTTTAGAGTCTGTCTGACAAGTGTGCTTGCTTGTGCTAATTTTAAAATAGTTAATGAACAATAAGCATTAATGGCATTTAAAGACTGTGGATCCAGTGTACTAAATCTTTTGGATGCATTCTGCCTGCATATTATGTATAAAAATGGTACACAAGGCTAAATGCACAGCTTATAGATTATGTGCATGGAAAAATTCAAAATGCACTTCTCTTCCTCATGCATATGCATTTGTGAGAGGGCCATGCAAATCATGGGAAGATCATTCAGAAAGTTAGTAAAGACATTTACTAAAGTTTGAACAACTTGCAGCAGCCGATATTGCGACGATTTTCCTCCATCCTTTTAAAATTAGTTGTAAATTTGTATTAGGGTCAAATGTGTGAGGAATGAATGCACAGTCTGTCTTATCATTTCACAAAGTCTGTATTCTTCCTTGGAGTAGAATAAGACCCACTCAGCATGCTTTGGTAGGAAAGATCTGCCCTTCATCGCTGAACTTTTGTTTTCCTTTTTGTCTCGTGCTTGCACGTAGGTGGCAGGGTAATGCGCAGTTTGCACGATAACTGCCATTTTAGTAAATCAAATATATTGCGCTCATAACAAGTCACTTTTTGCACTTGCACTCGTACGAACATCTGTACTTAAAACCCAGGCTTATTACATTCTATGGCTTATTAATTAGTAACCACAGGAACTTTAATACAAACTGGCTGAGCTTTTCTTAGGTTACAGAAGTATAAAGTGCGTAATAAAACGTTTTCACATGCCTGCGGGCCCTGGCAATTTAAGAGGTTAATTTAATCAGTAAATATTCCAAAAAAATATTTTCTTTGAAATGTAACTATTTCTTAATAATGTCTTTGTAAAATGTAATGTGTACCTCATATCTGTATTCTAAATATTCCTAGTGCTTGTTTTACATCACATTACATCCATAACATCCTAACCCTGTGGGTGTGCGTGTGTGCCATACTAACATTTTCAATAAACAGTGTGTTGATTCTGAAGCTGTCCTCACACAGAAAGCCTGCAGCTGTCTCCTGCTCATCCTTGTTTTTTAGTTTCAGTTTCCTCTTCAGCATCCTCCTCACATATTCAATCATGACCTCAAAATGCAGCTGACTCAACAGCTCCTAAACACATACACACACACACACACATCAGCTCTATGCAGTCTAATACTATGACAAACACTGTTAAATGCAAATGGTAGCATTTACAAAAAATACCTCCAAATTATTTTTTGAGAAATATATCAATTCCTGCATTATTCTGTGGTGATACTACTAACCTGCAGACAGGCAGAGTTTAGGTCCTTAAGAGGACGTATATTTTGATTCAGTTGATCCTCTAGCTCCTGAATAATCTCATGATGCTGTAAAATCCAGTCTGGAGTCCACAACTTACTGTAAGTCACCTGTGTAGATACAAAAGAATGAAGGTAATATCAGGTTCATATCTGCGCTCCAAACATGAAAGACAAATAATAATGCAGCTTCTAAATTACTGTAATCAGTTCTGTACTGTAATCAGTGCTCTACTTTCAACATCTTTCTTAGGTATATCTAAATGAACTACATATCAAACATATCTAATGTAAATCTAAAGTAAATACAAATAAATACAAAAAAATCATTTATTATATTGCTAATAACTGATTGATACTTTGATTTATTCGAAAGTAAGTTTGTTACTACTTAGTTATGAGTACACTGAGTCACTGTTTAGTTTGTTATTACTAAATAGCTCATGTACTCATTAACTGTCTATACTTACTATATTGTAATGCCAGTTAACTGAACGGTGCATTTGCTCGTATGGAGAAGTAACTTGTGAATTTACTCCTTATACGTTACTCCATTACTACTCTAAGCTAATGGTCTAAGATAATGATCTGTTAATCTACTGATTTATAGCTATGCATTTCTCCACTGTGCAACTTTGTAGGTATGACCATTGTGCAGCATTGCCATATAGGTATTAACTTAGTGAAACTGCTTTTGGATGCACAATGATCTAGTCTAGATGTTTTGTTTTTGTGTACCTTAAGATTATTGTGTATGCAGCTGAGAAAGTATTTGTGGCAGGAGTCTCTGATGTCTGCTGCAGTGGACAGCCAAGCTGCTTTAACGTCATCTGGTAGATTATCTCTTTCCTCAATGTAATCCCTGTGGATACACAGCCACTGTGCATTACAGGTTCACAGCCAGGATGTTCTACAGAGCCACTTTTTTGCAGCCTACCAGTTGTCCACAAAGAAATATATAAAAATATTTTATCTATTGTTTATTAAATTAGAAATTTGAATTCAATCTGATTTCCCTGCAAGAATTACATATTTTTAATGGATTAAATCATGAAACACTACAAAAATAGCCATGTCTCTACATAAGTGAATCAGCACCTCATATCTCATACCAGTCTCTTATCTGGCTTCCCGAAAATAGGTTTTTCAGTGGTTATGTAACCAAGTTACTTAAAACAATGTAATTTCTTACACTTCCAGTAGCTCAAGTTCCTGTAAAGATCTCTTTAGATCTAAGCATCTAAGAATAGAAGTGTAACATTTACTTTGAGATTGAAGTTCAGAATGTCAGCATTGAGAGGACCACTAGGAGAACCATACTTGGATATCTGCCCTTTTTTATGCAGAAACCCAATTTCAGTGAACCACAAATAATCAGACAGATTAACACATTTCTCCACACAGTATACTGCAGAAAGCAGTCGAATGTCTGTTTTTGTTCAGGATGGACTGCTTTATTGACACTGACACTTTATTGGTCTTCATATCGATAGATAACAGCATGTGAATATCACAGACTTTCTTTTTATTGTTTTCTTTTGTATGAACCAATGACGCAACAACATAAAGCCAAGAAAAAACTGAGAAACCACTTATCCAATTATTTACAGCCCCTTAAAATAGATGAACCACGTGTCAAAAGATTTGTGATGTATATAGTTCACCCAGTATCAACGTAAAATCTCTCTGATTAAAAGCTGACATTTTACACTTTAAAGAGCCCACATCATGTTTTATTTTTCAAATTGCTTTTTGAAATGATGTAAACATGATTATTACAACACACTGTTCACTCCTAAGTCCATAAAGTTCATATATGGAAATTATGCATCAAAAATAGCTTGCTTTCATTTTTTGTGATGTCATGAAAACAAGTGTACTTACACATACACTATATTGCCAAAAGTATTTACTCACCCATCCAAATCATTGAATTCAGGTGTTCCAATCACTTCCATGGCCACAGGTGTATAAAACCAAGCACCTAGGCATGCAGACTGCTTCTACAAACATTTGTGAAAGAATGGGTCGCTCTCAGGAGCTCAGTGAATTCCAGCATGGTACCGTAATAGGATGCCACCTGTGCAACAAGTCCAGTCATGAAATTTCCTCGCTACTAAATATTCCACAGTCAACTGTCAGTGGTATTATAACAAAGTGGAAGCAATTGGGAACGACAGCAACTCAGCCATGAAGTGGTAGGCCACGTAAAATGACAGAGCGGGGTCAGCACATGCTGAGGCACATAGTGTGCAGAGATCGCCAACTTTCTGCAGAGTCAATCGCTACAGACCTCCAAACTTCATGTGGCCTTCAGATTAGCTCAAGAACAGAGCGTAGAGAGCTTCATGGAATGGGTTTCCATGGCCGAAGAGCTGCATCCAAGCCTTAGATCACCAAGCGCAATGCAAAACGTCGAATGCAGTGGTGAAAAGCACCATGGAGATGTGTTCTCTGGAGTGACGAATCACACTTCTCCGTCCGGCAATCCAATGGACGAGTGTGGGTTTGGCAGTTGCCAGGAGAACGGTACTTGTCTGACTGCATTGTGCCAAATGTAAAGTTTGGTGGAGGGGGGATTATGGTGTGGGGTTGTTTTTCAGGAGTTGGGCTCGGCCCCTTAGTTCCAGTGAAAGGAACTCTTAATGCTTCAGCAGACCAAGAGATTTTGGACAATTTCATGCTCCTTACTGTGTGGGAACAGTTTGGGCATGGCCCCTTCCTGTTCCAACATGACTGCGCACCAGTGCACAAAGCAAGATCCATAAAGACATAGATGAGTGAGTTTGGTGTGGAAGAACTTGACTGGCCTGCACAGAGTCCTGACCTCAACCCAAGAGAACACCTTTGGGATGAATTAGAGCGGAGACTGCGAGCCAGGCCTTCTTGTCCAACATCAGTGTCTGACCTCACAAATGCGCTTCTGGAAGAATGGTCAAAAATTCCCATAAACACACTCCTAAACCTTGTGGAAAGCCTTCCCAGAAGAGTTGAAGCTGTTATAGCTGCAAAGGGTGGGCCGACATCATATTTAACCCTATTGATTAAGAATGGGATGTCACTCAAGTTCATGTGTGTGTGAAGCAGACGAGCGAATACTGTTGGCAATATAGTGTATACACCAATTCAGCCTACAGCAGCTTAGCCCCACCATTCATGCTTAAGTTATAAGGTGTGTTCCTGTCTGGATTGCTTTTTGAATGAGTCACAATACAGGGCAGCCAATCAGAACAGAGATCATTTACACCAGGGGTGTCCAATCCTGGTCCTGAGGATCTACCATCCTGGAGAGCTCAGATCTGACACACCTGGATCTAATTTTCAGATCCTCCCTGAAGGCCTTCATTACCTGGATCAGATGTGTTATATTAGGGCTGGAGCTAAACTCCACAGGGTGGTAGATGTTCAGGACCAGGATTTAAACACACACACACACACATATATATATATATATATAGTACAGTATTTGACTATTTTTGAATGCAAAACCTCACCAAACTTATAGGCCTCATAAGAAAAAATAAAATACAGGAGAAACGTAAGATATGGGCCCTTTACACTATAAATCCTATGTGTTGGACAAAAGCTGCATCACAGTCCAGTTACTTATGTACTACATGTATGTATGAGTATGGCTCATTAATTATGTTTTTTTTTTTTTAACTCACCTTAGTTCCTTGATGCCAAACAGATGAGCTTTCAGGATTTCAGTGATGTTTTGCTGATTTTTGAGAAGCTCTTCTATGGATTTCTTGTAACTGATAAAATATCAAACAGTTTATTTATTTTTGTCACATGCAACAATTCTGCCTATAATACAAGTTTCAATGGTACGATGAGCAAAAAAGCGATCAGTTAAGAAACTGAAATTCTGTAAGGTGTATGGTAAGCAAAAAGATAACTTTTGTTCACATGAACCTCTGCATATTGTGTCAAGCATAGTTAATAATAAATTAGACTTTCACAGGTTTTATGTTTAGGAGACTGGTCCCATATACTCTCAGTATTACACAATTAATTCTCTGATCTGTGTGGCTGAATGCACTGATCATGTGAGTGTGTATTAATTGAACTACCCTGTCAGAAAGTTGGGCAGTAGATACAGAATCCTCTGAGCTTTATCCCTGTTACTCAAAAGAACCATGGCCTCTTTCATGGCTTCATCGACAATCTGTAAAATGAGAGGTTTACACATCAGCATGATAGTAAAAATGTGACATACCACCCAATAACCTGGGTAAAAACAAATGCACTTAATTCATTTAACTGTAACATACAGTACACTACTGTTAAGAAGTTTAGAACTGCTGTTTTCATTTATCTTAAAGCAGTTTGGCTGCAGACAAGAATAAAATGACACTAGGAGGCTGTAAATAAAAATGAAGAAATTGGTAGATTTGTCTAGAATGATAAACAGAGTCAGAGAAGATTCTAAAATGTCAGAGAAAGCTATATAACATCAACAATAAAGTTACACATATCCAGAATTCAACCTATTTCTAAAGTGAAGATTGAATGTATTAAGAATGTTTACTTGTTTCAGAATGACTGAAATATTAACCAAAACATCTAAAATGTCTTTTGGTGAATACTTTGTAATATTGAAATCCACATTGTATATATTATTATTGTATATAAAAATAACACAAAATGTTTAAACAAAATATTGCAAACTTTTGATTAGTACACACTTAAAAAAATTAAATTATGGTTCCTCAAGGGTTCTTTAGTAAAATGGTTCTATATAGAACCATGAACACTCAAAGAACCCTTGTATGATTAAAGGGTCATTTGCATCATGAAATGGTTCTGCAGATTGATGGAAAATGTGCATGAATGTGCTACAGATGGTTCTATATAGAACCTATTTGAAAAGGGTTCTATACAGCACCCAAAAAGGTTCTTCTTTTGTTACAAGCTTAACATCATAACAATAGAAGAATCCTTTTGGGTGCTACATAGAACCATGGTTCTTTATAGAACCATCTGCAACATATTCTCCATCAATCTGAAGAACCATTTCATGATGCAAAGAACCCTTTAATTATGCAAAAAGGTTCTATGAGTGTTCATGGAACCTGTCCAGGGTGTATCCTGCCTTCCACACAATGACAGCTGGGATAGGCTCCAGCTCCCCCTGCGACCCAGGAGAATAAGCGGTTCATGGATCTCTATAGAATCATTGTCTTTAATAAAAAAACTCCTGATGCATCATCTTTTTTTAAGAGTGTAGTGTACATATGTGGCAAAACAGAGTCAGTTAAGTCATAATCTGAATCACACCTGTTTAACATCCAGGGCAGGACTGCAAAGGTGTCTATCAGTGTTTTCAGTTGTTTTATTCATCTTCCCACTTTCCTCTTCTAATTTAAGAATATTGGACAACCAAGTGTTGACTTTGTTCTATAAACAAAACAGAAATTTAGCTAATATGAATATAAAAATTGATGCAACAGATTCTTATGATAGAGTTTATATCCCATTACACTTTACATTTCATTTTGGAAGGTAATTCATGTCACTTTGTGCTGATGTTTTGCTGTACCTCTTTGTATGATAGATACTGCTCCTCCAACAACTTAAGATCTTCTGCAGGTAACAAAGGTTCTAGAGCTTCACTGTCGATGTGTGACTCCAGTTTTTCATGATGTAACACGTTGCTGGAAAACAATTGTCAAACATGTAAAACTGTGCAGGTCGGTGTTTGAACCACAGTTAGTCTGGATAGCATGAAAAAGGCAATGTTCTTGGTTTTCTTACTTTGAATAATTGCTAACTTGTTTCAGTATGAAGATGCATTCCTCTATGGGGATGTTGTGCCGAGGCAGTTGCCTGAGTTTTGCAGAAAAAACTTGATGGTACAGCTGAGCATACACATTACATATGTCAAACTCTGGTGGGTAACATCCCTGCACATTTGTGACCACTTGAAACATGTCATTCTGAATAAGGTTGCTCATTTGGCAGACCTCTCTCTTCAGCGTTTCTGGCCCATGTTCCTCCTCATCTACCTGCTGCATCCGGTTTTTTACCACTTTCTGAAGCAGCATGTCATGCATCTCTCGGTACTTCATAGGCCTCCAGCTCGGACATCCCTTTCCAGCTGCCTCCTTCCAGCGCTGGTCTTGTTCCTCCTCCTGAAGTATAGCAGTGACAGCACTTTCCAGAGTTTCCTGATTCATGCCGTTGAGGGACTTGCGGACCACCATCCATATACGCGACTCCAGGGTCTCATAGTCCATCTTCAGTTTTTCCTCATCTTCTGTGCGAACCACCTTTGCTGACTCTGATCTGAAGAGGCCGTCTTCTTGTTCCAAAAGCTGCTGGCTAGCTTCTGCCAGGCAATTCTGCTTTAGTTTCTGTTTGAAATCCAAGGGCACTGGGAAAGAAGGCAACATTAAAAGGCATACATTTTGACCACTGCCTCCAGAGTAGCAATCTGAAATTTTGAAAATTCTGAATTCTGACAGCATTTACCTTGTCTTTTTTTCTTGGGCTTCACTGTGGGGGAGGCCACTTCAGAACTACCAGAGGCCTTCGAAGTTTGTTCGACTGTTGCTGTGCCAGTAGAGCCCCCAACAGCTCCCGACATTTCATTATCCTCTGAGAAAAAGAAATTACTCATGGACAAAAAGGAAATATCTTTTACTAAGAAGGCATCTATCTAATACATTTTTATTCGCAGGGTATGATACTGGTAGAGAAGAAAATTAAAGAAATAAATTAAAACCTAATTAAAAGCAGTCCTGAAGCAGAACAGGACTAGTATGGATTAGTCAGCTTTGTATCATTGTAGTCTGTCAGCAGTGACGATTCTAGGATTCTTTTTTCAGGTGGGGCCATAATGGTACCCCAGTTTTGGTTTAGGGGGCAAACAAATGCCTTCAAATTCAAAAAGCTCCATATTTACTTCATAAAATGTCAAATACATATCGATCTGCTGATATGGCTCATTCTATATACCGTGATTAGCCACATTCTATAAACACACTTGCTTGTATCTATACTCATTGTCCATTTTATCAGCTCTATTTACCATATAGGAGCATTTTGTATTTCCATAATTACAGACTGTAGTCCATCTGTTTCTCTGCATACTTTTTAGCCCCCTGTTACCCTGTTCTTCAATGGCCAGGACCACCACTGGACCACCACAGAGCAGGTATGATTTGGGTGGTGGATCATTCTCAGCACTGGAGTGACACTGATGTGGTGGTGTGTTAATGTGTGTTGTGTGGGTATGAGTGGATCAGACACAGCAGTGCTGCTGGAGTTTTTTAACACCTCAGTGTCACTGCTGGACTGAGAATAGTCCACCAACCAAAACTATCTAAAAACAGCTTCCTGTGACCACTGATGAAGGACTAGAGGATGATTAACACAAACTGTGCAGCAACAGATGAGCTACTGTCTCTGATTTTACATCTACAAGTTGGACCAACAAGGTACGAGTGTCTAATAGAGTGGACAGTGAATCGACACAGTGTTCAAAAACTCCAGCAGCACTGCTGTGTCTGATCAACTAACACACCATCACCACATCAGTGTCACTGCAGCCACTTAAATAAAACCTACTCTGTTGTGGTCCTGTGGGGGTCCTCTCTACTGAAGAAAAATGTGAAAGAGGGCTAACAAAGTATTCAGAGAAACAGATGGACTACAGTCTGTAACTGTAGAACTACAAAGCGCATCTATATGGTAAGTGATGCGCATAAAATGGACAATGAGCGTAGAAACGAGGTAAGTGTACTGAATGAAGTTGTTGGTCAGTATATACATGGTAAAATATCTAATCACAAGGCTAATAATAACAAAATAATTAAGAATTATTTTTAAATGTAAAAATATTTACCATATTCATACATGCCAACTTGTGAGAAGGGTAAAAGGTGCCAACCCTTTGAATGGGGGTCTGGAGGCTTTGAGGCTTGTATTGCTTTCTAGGTATTTTCAATTGTTGGCTAAAACCTATTGCTTCTTATACAAGGTCAAAAGATCAGTCTGTATAAAATTTGGGAGACATCTAATTTTGAGAATCTACTACAATTGGTAGAAGTCGAGGCCATTCTAAAAACTTGGTGAGCCTTTTGTGCTCTGTCTGCTAAAATTTTGGTACGTGTCAAAGATGTGACCCATTCTTCTCAGAAATGAGCTGAGGCAAGGGCCCATGAGCAAGGTTTTCTAGAGGCCCAAAATTTTTACCTGTGCCCCTGTTCAGCTCTCATAGCAGTTTGCAGAAATCAATGTGTTCTAAATTATTTTAAGATGAAAACGAAGTAGTAGCTGACTGTACTGGTAGCAAGCAATGATCATTTACACATATTTGCCTTTTTGCACCCACCATTAGTGCTATTCATGCTACTGAAGAAAAAAAAATGAATGTGTGAAAACGAAGCTAACTTCACTGCTCAAGTAACTTCGCCCTGTTTTTATGTTTCTGTGCCCTTCTGTTCTGTTCATCAGTTTCATTATGACACCAAGGTCCAGTAAGTTGGCTAAGTTAATGTTATTTAATCCATGCAGGAAACTTATAAGATTTTATAAGAAAAAATACAACACAATATCCATAAATAAATGACCATGGTCTGTTGCTGGAGACAGAGACTCTTCTTCAGAATTTTCCTTGTTTTGAACAGGGATCAAAATTAAAAACATGTGAGAGGCATATTTCATAAGTCAAAGTGGCATTAAAAAGGAGACAAGCTTGTGTGCATATCAATGAATGTTGGGCTGGAGGTGGTGATTGATCAGACTTTTACTGGGGCCTGTGGGTGGTAATTTGTGGGTGGATTTCAAATCATCAGTCAGATGCCACTGGCAGGCGGGTATCACTTAAACTTGAGGGCATTCTGAACTGTGTGGCTAGTGATTGATAACAATAATGCACCTGAGGAATGTACTGTATCTACATAAATTCTTTCATAAGTATTTCTTTGTGAGCATACTGTTACAGTCTACAGTACATAAATAAACCAATTTTGAGAGTAAGTTCATTTCTGTACTACTGTAAATTTTAACAGATTAACAGACAAGCCTCCTCAGTCTCCCAAACTAGTGCAGACCTTTAATGACAGAAAATAAAAGTACAGAAAAAAGGGGAAAAAAAGAAAAAAGAATTTGCTATGGCTTTCATTTTTTTCCCAATATCTATCCATTTAACAAAAATTTAACAAAAATTCTTTCTTAAAATTGTCTTGGAGAAATAAAGCAGACCTCAATATCGTATTAATGAAGGATCACTGATTTCTGAATTGTTTCTCCTAAACTCCCCTTAGAAAAAAAGAAGAGATTACATCAGCATTTCACTGTGAGTTCTGGTGATGAAGGAGAAAAGCATGAGTTCTTCTTCTACACTGATGGAATGCTGAAAGAGTTCTGTAATATAGAATAGAATAAGTAAACGATGAGATCTTACACTTTTCTTATGGAGATATTTTTCAGCTGAGATGAGTCAGACAGAGTTTAATTCTCAGGAGCCAAATTTCAGTCTCACTTTCAAACTGGACTTAACTGTGCCTAGGAGGAGTACCTGAGATCAAGAGGAGGTCTCCTTTAGAATATTTCTTTCCTCTGGGTCTGGCTAATTCTACATTAGCACTTAGTCTTGAAAGATCTTACCCAGCAATGTGTCAGGAGTTTTTTGGGTTTCGAGTGATGTAAAATTTGTTTTACGTTCTGTTTAAGTGCAATCTTCTGATTTTGGAGAAGCTTCTTCAGGACCATTTAAAGACACCATTTGTTTGGCCATTACTGTGCAGCTGGAATCACCAACAGCTCTGGATGATTTGCTATCCTCTAAAAAAAGGCAAATGTAACTTAATTAAGTTAATGTTATCCAGTCCTTTCAGCAGTCCTGAAACCTTTTAACTTGGAATATTTTATACGAAAAAACAAATACAACACAGTGTCTGTACGCAAAAATTGTTATCTTGTCAAGTGAAATTATCTTAAATCTAGTCTATATATCTAATATTTTCCATTTTGAGATGGTCGTGCACGTATTATGAGATTATTCACCATATTTCTAGACATTCTTTGACTTGTTTTAAGTAATTTTATTGAGTAAAATTATCTCACTATACTGGCAGATAATTTGGATGGTTTCAAGCATATTTCTTAAAATAAGCAAAATTATCTGCCAATATAGTGAGATCATTTTACTCAATAAAATTACTTAAAACAAGTAAAAAATGTCTATAAATATGGTAAATAATATTGAATTACGCTTACAACAATGTCAACAGGAGAAATATTAGACTACAGTTAAGATAATATTATTTAACCAGATGCCATTTTTTGCAGTGTGTAAATGACCATGATCTGCTGCTACAGACTAAGATTTTTCTTCAGAATTCTCCTAGTTTTGAACAGGGATCAAAATTAAATAATCTTTAAACGATTCAGGGCGAGGCATATTTCATAAGTGGAAAAAGCTAATTTTACTGAAAGGAGATGAGCTTGCATGTTTAATGTCAATCAAAGATGTGCTGGAGGTGGTGTGTGACAGGACAGGGGTACATAAGAAGCCAGTCAGGGGTCAGTGCCCCTGTGGTGCCCCCGCCGATATGTCCCTTGAAAAATGATAACCTTGAAATAGTTTAAACTGTTAAAAACTGCAGCATAGACATATATTGTTCCTTTTTTAATAACTTTATTTGTTACTGGCTGGTTATTTATTACATAATAGCTGAAAAGCAAATAGCAAACAGACAGAGTTCAAATTAGCTTCAGAGGGTGGATTTCAAAACATTAGTTAGATGCCACTGGCCGTTGAGTATCACTCAAACTCGAGGGCATTCTAATCTGTGTGGCTAGTGATTGATAACAATAATGCACCTGAAGAATGTACTGTATGTGAATGAATTATTTCATAAAATTATTTCATGAAAAAATTTTAATTATGAAACATTGTGATTTTTCCCCCAATACCTATAGCTATCGATTTATTTATGTTTGTCAACAATTCTACTCTAGCACTTAGTCTTGAATGATCTTACCTGGCAATGTGTCAGGAGTTGGTTTGGGTTTGAAGAGTTGTACAAATTGCGTCATTTTCTGTTGTGCAGTCTTCTTTTTAGATTTTGGAGAAGCTTCTTCAGGACCCTTCAAAGATTTTGCCATTTGTTCAGCTTTTGCTGTGCAACTGGAATCTCTAACAGCTCTGGATGATTTGCTATCCTCTAAAAAAGGCCAAAAAATAAAAGTGCATTTATGTTGTAATGTGGTACACAATGGACTGGATAAAGCAGCATATCGCTGCTGTCGGAAGAAAACTTTGTATCTCTACTTTTGTCGTTTTTCAGTTTTTACATAATTTTGAAAATCCCTGTTGCCTTTACATTGTGTGTCAATTCATGAAGAATGGACCAAAAGAAACGGCCGAAATGACTTGAGGAAAAAAGTCTGTTTGACTTACATTAAGAGTAATGTAGGTTTTTTCTTCCAACAGCAGCGATAAGAAGCATTGAAATCCCAAACATTAACTTAAAAACTAAATATTAATCTTTTTTCAAAGTCAAAAAGGATATTAAGAAGGTTCCATAAAGAAGAAACAAAAAAGAACATGATGGATCGGTTAAGTTCTCATTCAACTGGATAGGCCAGGTGTATGACGTGTGCACATGTTTTATACAGGGATCTCAGGGATCATCCATCGCTTCATGATCATTGTCAATTTAAAATAAAACTAGGATGTAAAATTTAAAGTGCCTGCAACAGCATTTCACTTTGCAGTGTCAAACTTTGACATAAAATAGCTGAAGAGGACATGGAAGAGGGGTAAAATAGGGACTCAGTGAATGGTTTGGAGAAACGTTAGGAAAAAATCATCACTGAGAACAGAATTGCCTTCTCCAGACTTGCTGGCACGTGGACTTAACATGGGCCTCACTGAGAAAGACCACAAGGCCATAGGGCTTTGCAATTCTGTCATTCATCTGGGTCATAAGGACAACAATATGGACTTAAAGCATTTTTCCATAAAGGTGGCTAAGGATGCAGGCTTCAGCAGACTTTCTTTGTGGAATTACCATAAATTCATAGCGCTACACAGGTGGCGACACAAATAAAATGTAAGAAATGCATAATTTTCAGGTTTTAGTGTGGAGGTCAAACAGCTAAGTTTGCCCAGATGCAATCTCCTCTTTTTTGGTGAGGAGATTTTTTTCTACACTGCAAAAAAATGGTATCTTGTCAAAAAATATAAATAAATATAGTCAATAAATACAAAATTTCTCTTGTTGACATTGTTGTAAGCTTGATTTAAGAATATTTGCCATATTTATAGACATTCTTTACTTGTTTGAAGCAATTTTATTGGGTAAAATGATCTCACTATATTGGCAAATAATTGTGCTTGTTTTAAGAATTATGCTTGAAATGAGCCAAATTATCTGCCAGTATAGTGGGATAATTTTACTCAATAAAATTACTTAAAACAAGTCAAAGAATATCTAGAAATATGGTAAATAATCTTATAATACGTGCAAAACCATCTCAAAATGGGAAATATTATATATATTGATTAGATTTAAGATCGTTTCACCTGACAAGATACCAGCGTATCCTTGCAGTTTGGCCTGATGGTGTTAAGCACTTCTGTGAACATCACAGAACGTAGGTCCAAAGTCTGTGAGAGTGAAGTGCATGGGTCCAGATAAATCCAGAGATTTAGAATGGGCATAGAGGAAGAAGGGAAAACAGGGAAGTCCAAGCAGAACATGCCCCAGTACATCAAGAAGGGAAATTTGAAGGAATAAAGGACTATGTGAAAATCATCTAGTGACCAATTAAGCAGCCACTATAGTCATTATAAACTGTAAGAGCTGTGTGAAGGAGCTGTATGAAAACACCAAGAAGTTATCAGGAAAGTTCAGTCATGTCACTCACTAAAGGCTGAATACTCAATACAGGATACCCATTCAGTGTTTGACACACAGCTTAGCAGATATGGATGACACAGAGTTGAGTTTTTTGAGGTGTGCATATCGTAGCCTCTGCCAGCCTCTGTGATTCATTAATTCCTTGTGCACTATGATGCAGATATATTTACATACATTTTTGCAGACATATAAATCAGAATTAACTTCAAAATAAAGAATACACCACCTCCAACTGATACGTTAAACATCCTTCCACTCCAGTAAGAACTAACGGTCAACTGTGAAAGGCCAATAAAAAGGAACTGGCAAACAATCTACTAAAATCAGGTAGAGAAGTATGACCAGTCGATATTCCTCAGAAGGCACTAAAGACAAATCTTTAGTGAAGAAATCTAAAGGATCCTTTCTACAATGTTTAAAGACATTTTAGATTTAAGGGAAATGCAATGAAGGACATTTTATACAATATAAGCTGAAATCTGTGGAAACATCTGGAATGTAATACTATACAATGCCAAATATAATTATTGACAATCAATAATTAATTACAAAAATTTTGTCATTCTCATAAGACAACCTATTATTTTAAATCATTTGAAAATGTCAGCGTCCATTTCATGATGAAAAAGACCAATAGAAATTTTGAAAAGCAAATATTTTTGTTTGCATTAACAAATATTATGTATTTTTTTTGTTATTGTAGCAGCAAAGCCTTTCTTATCACAAGAGCAATGATGCAGTGCAGTAGTACTCATACAGGGAAATTAACAGATAGCATTTTGGTGGTCACAGGAATCAAACGGGGTTGCCTAATGTCACTAGGGATGCATCAATACCGATACTGATACTGGGTATTGGGCTGATATCATACTCATTTACTTATAATTGTACTCATAAAACTTCACCAAAACCAACATCCGATTCCGTGGGCTAGCAAAATGGAGGCAAAAAAATCAACATATACTACCAAAGTCTGTATATGCTGACTTTACTCTATTTAACTGAGTACAATTGTAAGGTGTAAAGAGGCTGTAGAGATACCGTACTGTCCTACCGTGTTCGTTACAGTGCACACTGTGGTTAGCTGAGCTGCTGTAGTTAGCCCAGTTTCTCAGTGTATTTGCTCAATACTCATAACGCACTTCTTTAAAATAAGCTAGATTTTAACGATTGTTATGGTACATTGCACTCATTTAAGCTAACAAATTTTTAATTTGTTATGGTATCGGATTCGGTATCCATGAGTATTGAAAAATGTCCTTGTATTTGACCTGAACAAAAATGCCATTGCTGCATCCCTAGATGTCACAATTTAATATAGCCATATGTAGAAATGCACATGTGTGAGGAGTGTAGCTAGCCCTCAGTAGGTGGCAATAAAGCAGCCTAAGTTAGCCTACCAACTGCCATTCATCCAATAAAAGAAGACTCAGCTGCCAGCTTCTCATGCTGCACAGCATTAGGTACTCCTAAGCTAAAGCTGTTGCGTTTCATGTAAGTGTGTGTCAGCTCTATTTGGCCGAGTGAGCACATTAAATTGGCATTAACAGGGATAAACAACCCCAATTCCAAAAAAAAGTTGGGACACTGTGTAAAATGTAAATAAATGTAAATAAAAAGAGAATATAATGATTTGCAAATCTCAAGGACTAATATTTCATTCACAATAAAACATAGAGCACATATCAGATGTTGACAGTGAGACATTTTACCATTCCATGAAAAATATTAAATCATTTAGAACTTGATGGCAGCAATGCATCTCAAAAAAGTTGATGATGAGAAAGATCAGAAAGAAGATGAGACAGGGCTGTGTCTACCATTGTGTAGCATCCCCTCAGTCTGTAAATGTCTGGGAAATGAGGAGACCAATTGCTGGAGTTTTGGGAGAGGAATGTTGTCCCATTCTTGTCTGATGTTTTTCTGGGTCTTTGCCGGATTTTTCGTTTTATGATGCACCAAGTGTTCTCTGTTGTAAAGTAGCACTACGTAGCCTTTTTTCCCACACAGCAGCCAGCTAATGGTCTTTTACTCTCACTTTCTTGCCCCAGATTTAGCTTATGAGATGATGAGATGCTTTTAAAAATGATGTGAGATTGACTATTTAAGATTGGCACAGATTTGTTTGGGGTTTTGAGTAATGTAGATAAAAAGTAATGGGAACTGTGGGATTATTTATGATCCCATTACAGTTTGAGAGAAAGAGTAATTTGTAATGGAATATTTGTTGAGTAACTACCCCACCACTGGTCAGTGATGAGTCAATTTCTTATTTTGGAGCATAACCATAGGTTTGTGTTCTTGGAGATGATCATGTGTGAAGCTAAAAACTTTGAAAGGCTAATTTTGGACCATATGTTTACAATTTTGGACCATATTTATATGTACACAGTAATACTCAACCTATAAGTGTGGGGTGTGGGGTTTGTTGGGTGTCATATACTGACAAGTGTGTCCCACTCACTTTTACAATGGCTGCTGGCTGGCGTTATTTGCCAAAAGTTGCAGAGGATGCAACCTGGCAGTTCGGCAAAACTAGGTTTGCCTAGTCTTGTAGTAGTAAAGGACTAAACTGTGAGGAAAACACTCTGGGACAAAAGAAATATCATGCAGTGAGAAATGTGAGTAGGACGACTGTAGATGGTCTGAGATTTGCAGATGCCATTTCTGTTTTTTCTGAGCACTACAAATCAAATACAAAAAAAATCTCTCTTTTTAGGTTCATCCATCAGCCTCTGATAAAAAATTAAAACATTTTTAGCATTTAATTTGCATCATGAACAGGAGGCATGATTAAGAGGATGATTTATGTATAATATACAAATTTTAAAAACAGTTTAAGACAAATTTTATGATACAATATGTATGGTCATTTTTGCATCACAATACTGGAAATTCTTGATATAGAATTTATGTTTTTTTTTTAGATTCATCCATCAGACTCTATTGAAAAATAATATAAAAAGTTTTTTGTATTTAATCAGCATCATGAACAGGAGGCATTATTAAGAGAATGATTATAACATATCTATTCTTTTGACAAGCAGCCGTTATTTTAAGTAAGCTTTACCTGAAAGAGTGTCAGGACCCTCAGAACGCTTAGATTTCTTAAGGAATTGGGTTTTCTTCTTGTGTTCACTGGACTTACCAACAGCTCCCTCTGAAAAAAAAACAAAATAAATAAAATATATATATGTGTACACATACGTATATTAGGGGTGCGGGAAAAAATCAAATGTCAAAAAACGATTTTCTAAATATTTAATTTATAACGTACTGTTGACGGAACGCAAAAGGCGGAACTTGGAAGTGAGGAAGTGCAGCGCCCGGACAGTTTGTGGCGGCACATAACAAAAACACAACTGGATGAGTGAGAAATCCGACCGGCTCCCTCTGCATTAAAAGCCAGGTTAGATCAGGAGTCACAACACAAATGATAACATTCAACAAAAATCAAACCACCTTGGAAGCTGCAACATTTAATGTCCAGTATGTCTCAGTATGTGCTAATGTCCTAGTATAGGCTAAACAATATAAACGAAAACGCAGATTTACTTCGCTCTGCTTTAAGCTTTAGCTATAGCCGCTTTCCTCCCATCTCCGACCGGACACTTTGCCTCAGAAGTAGATCAGTTAAATGTCTCTCAATGTTTGACTGTTTTACTAGGCTGAAGTCGCTTCTTATTCTCCAGCTTCTTGTTCGAATTTACCCGTTCCACCTTAAATTTTAACTGAGGCGCCGAATGTAAATGCGGCACCATTTAAGGTGGAACGGGAGAATTCGAAAGAGAAGCTGACTTCAGCTTTGCCACTTTTTAGTGTGTGACAGTCTCTCGTTGCAGATTTAACGTACCAGGAAACCAACTGCGCTGCTTATAAATGCGAATAACGCATCGCTGCTATGTGACCTGCAGTCTGCACGCCGGTTCTCAGTCGTTGCGAAACAGGGCTTTCGCGCTATGTTGCACACGTCCCGTCTCAAAGATAATTTACTGACACAGCGATCCCCCCGTCTCTACAACGGACCAAAACCGAAGTTATAAAATCACTAAAGAAAACGGGTAGAATAGCTGTAACATGTGCTGTGTGGTCATCCACTGACACTGGATCTTATTTCACCGTAACTGCACTTTTTATTGCAGATGAGTAGCAGCAGCTTCTCGTGCTCCAAACAAGAGCACTGAATGAGAGCCTTCTAGTTCACTTGCCACATCACTTCCTTTTGTTTTATTAAAAAAGATATTGGAAGTAAATTCATTATGGATCATTACAAATACTTTGGTTTAAAAGTACCAATCACTTTAAATAACAATAACACTGAGTCACTTAGTCACTTTAAAATGTATATTGTCTCTATATTCTGTGTATATTTTGTGTATATTTAATATATTTCAGTTGGTTTTTCTTATGTTTTTATTTTTACTTATTTACTTTCTGTAGAGTGATTAGCTGAGCCTCACCACAAGCATATAAATATATAATATATAATATATATATATAAATAAAATAAGCAAGGCCTTCCCCGAAAATGACGTTGTCTGGAAGGCAGCATATGTTGCGAAAACATGTATATATTGTTCAGCATTAATGGTGCCTTCACAGATGTGCACTAATGCACCCCTATACCATCATGAATATTGGCTTTTGAACTGTGTGATGATAACAAGCTGAGTGGTCTTTAGCCCGGACGACACAGTGTCCATGATTTCCACAAACAATTTCACATGTTGATTTGTTGAACCACAGGACACTTTTCCAAAAAGAATTTCAAATTTTGATTCATCTGACCACAGAACAATTTTCCATTTTGCCTCAGTCCATTTTAAATGAGGTGGCAGCATTTCTGGAACCTGTTTATGTACAGTTTCTTCTCTGCATTTTACAGTTTTAGCTTGCATTTGTGGATGCAGCAACGAGCTGTTTTCACAGACAATGTTTTTCAGAAGTCTTTCTGAGCCCACGCAGTGATTTCCACTACAGAATCATGTCTGTTTTTAATGCTGTGCTGCCTGAAGGCCCAAAGATCACAGTTAGCAAATAGTGGTTTTTGGTCTTGTCCCTTGCATACAGAGATTTCTCCAGATTCTCAGAATCTTTTAATGATATTATGCACCATAGATGATGAAAAGCAAATATTATTTACCATTTTATGTTGAGAAATGTTATTTTTGATTGTGCAGTCTTTCACAGAGTGATGAACCAGGCGTTTTTTTTAGCATTACACAACTTTACCAGCCTTTTGTTGCCCCCGTCCCAACTTTTTTGGAACATGTTGTTGGCATCAAATTCAAAATGGGTATATATTTTTCAAAAAACAATAAAATTTCTCAGTTCCTACATCTGATATGTTGTCTTTTTACTATTTTCAATTAACTATAGCATTTAAATGATCTGCACATCATTGCATTTTGCTTTTATTTACATTTTGCACAGCGTCCCAACTTCTTTGGAAATGTGGTTGTATTTATTGACTGAAAAAAACACTCTCATTTTAGAGTTTTTGAGCCAGATTCCACATTTGATTATAAAGTTGAATAATTTTACAGAAATAATGTTACTGAGTATAACTGTCAGTTTTACCAGTAAACGGCTAATATGTATCAACAGACTCACACCCACGGATATGACTGTATAGCCAAAAATGAACTAAATTTAAAAATATGCACTAAATAACTTTGAATGCTGAAATGTTTGTCATGGGAAGCTGATAAAAATGACCAACCAGGACAAAACAGTTCACTACAGCTTTGATTCCTTTAATCATTTCTGTAATCTGAAAATCTTTTAGTAAGGATTTCCTGGAAAACTCTATGGAGTGGAGTCATCACCACGCTTGGGAAAGTGCGTTTGAGCGTTCCTGAAGGATTTCACTGTTAGTTTAGCCATGATTGTGCTACTGGATCATCAGTTCTGGCCAGAAAGAAATAAAGAAAGAAAGAAAGAAAGAAAGAAAGAAAGAAAGAAAGAAAGACTTTTCTTACTTGGTGTTTACTTTTCTGTCCTTTGGCGGAGCAAGAGGGACAATGAAGAATTAATTTATACAATTTTATTGTGTAAATGAATTTCTTGGCTTTTCATGGCTTTGTTGTGTGACCACAGTGACCCAGCTCTGCTCTGCTCCCTCGCTCTCTCTCTCTCTCGCTCTCTCTCTCTCTCTCTCTCTCTCTCTCTCTCTCTCTCTCTCACTGGAGACCAAAATGTGCAAAATGTTTTACCACTTATAGGTCATCAATATTAAAGTTGTTGGTCTTGTACTGTTAAAAGCTACATATAAGAAAATAAATAACATTATTTGTAACAGGACACAATATAAAGAGTAATACGTTATTAAATGATTATAGAATAAAATTTAATTTCAGGCTTTTACTCGAAAGCACTAATTAGTCAGTTCACCCTCAGATGGCTCAGTTTACCTGTTGTGTGGGATTACTTACCCCTTTCCACTGATGGACAGGGTAGAGGATGACTGATTCAGTGTGTAATTGTATACTTACGAAGTGCACTTATATGGTAGATGTACCTGAAAACCTTTATATATAATCACATATTTATAATTCTTAAAAGTTTATAAAAATCATTTGTCTCTACTCTCGGTTATCATTCAGCCAACATCTATTAAATTATACAAGCAAATGTTTAAATTGCAAACGCTGTTAAAGCATTTTAGTTAATACAATGCATTAATGTGAAAGAGAAAGTACTTACTGGCCTTGAGCGGCATCTCAGCATTCTCCTGGGGCGGCGCATGTGGTGTCTGGTTTGCGTCAAGTAAATTAGACGAGGCTGCAGTAATCTGTGGAGGAGGGGAGACATCATAGTCTGGTGCATCTGTAAAGAAAAAAGATGAGTTCTGTGTTTGTCAGATAGTTCTTATAGAAAAATCTAATTATGTTCAGTATGTAGGTGAGTGTGTATTTCTCTTGATTTATCTCAGTACTCTTTCTTTCATTTGATAGAAGGCTGGTATTATGTATATAGCTCAGTTTCTTAGATCCCTGTTTGTTTTTAACGGCTTGCGGCTGTGTGTGCATGGTACAGCCCCCATCCTAAGGGAAGAGTTTTTAATTGTCAGACACTGTGGGCCATGTGTGGACAGCTGACACTATTCCATGGCATGCATTTGAGGAGGTAGATGGACTTGAAGTGTTCCAATACCACTTTTGAGGAAGTTGAGGAAAACTCTGCCCCTTGTAAAAATCTGGGGAAGTAGTCTATTAGGATTAAAAGTTGCTGATGTTGAACCTTTTCCAACTTTATACCGGGCCAATCAGATACTTAGGCATGGCAACCACACTGACAGTTTTGCCTATCTATGTGTTCCTCATGTAGCTTACCCAGGATATCAACTCTAAGTGGTGTTGGTATTACTAATCTTTGCACTTTTAGAAGCAATCCACTTGGAATCCACTTGGCAGATACAGCTGAAAGGAAAGGTTCAATAGAGAACTTGTTCAGCCATCCTTGTACTGTATTTAATAGCAGCATGATTTCTTCTTTGTACGTATATTTCTATATTTTATTCAGTCTCTTCTGACTCCATTACAGCATCTATAGGGTTATTGCTAGTTTTGTCATCTAGCTTTGGTCCCCTGTGCCTCCTACAGGAGATCTAGCACATCTGCTAAAGCTATGCTCTTGGCAGCAACATGTGATTTTGTTTATGGGTATTGCATCAGTCCCATTCGCAGATGCTCATTTAGGTTTTCTTCACCAGAAGAAAACAGCCTTCAGAAGTTCATTTCTTAGAAACTGAAAGCTTGGTTGTACCAGTATCCTGTACTGCAGAGTGAACTCAGCCTGCCTTTCACAGTACAAATGGAAGCCTCAGTGTTTGGATTTGGGGCGGTGCTGCTGCATAATGAATGTGATGAGTGACAGCCTGTGCAGCATCTCAGCAGCTGTGTTCTCTGGAAACTAGGTAGTACACAGTCGAGAAGGAGACCTTGACTTTCAAATGGGCAGAGGACATTTCAAATTCTAATTCAATCCCTTTAATTCTCAAGCTTACTAAATTATTTATTTGGTAATTATTTGGAAAGCAGTTCAGACTGACAATTACTCCTAGGTCATATAAGTAAGGAATGAAAGCCTGGATCCACTGGCAGCTCCTGGCAATTTAAGGGTCATTAAATACAGACTTTGTTTTAGACACTTCATCCCCTTGGAATTATAAGGTTTGAGATATTGAGCTTCAAAGATTTTGCATTTCAAATAGCAAAACTGGTATATGGAATACATACATGAAAATGGCAGACACCCTAAATGTGTTCTAAATGTACATGCTCATTTGCAAATGAGGCTTTTTGCAACAGGTCAAATGCAAATAGAACCTTCTAATTCTAAGAACTCCCTTTCTGCTTGGAATTATAACGCTTTCTATGACATTTTATGACATTTATTTGTATTTTTTTATATCATTAATTTCTTTAAATCATCTTTTTTCTTATTCAAAAAAACATTGCGGGTTAAGTATAAAGTTCAGTGCTAAATATTTTGTCCAGTGCAGACGTTCAGTGATGGGTAGGAAGTGTCCTTTAGGTTAGACAGCAACCAGCTACTGTAATAAACTGTCCCAGTAAGTAAGTGTAGCAGGTCAGTATAAAGGCAGTATGAGGTTTTGTTTTATTTCAGGAATTTTGACTCTAATGCACCAAATTATAATTTTGGGAGAAAGAATAAGTAAAAAAAGATGAACGGAGGAATTCATTTAATGTTAATGTTGTAATTAAGAACCCGTCAATTCAAATGTTTACTATTTAATTACCTTTAAGACAGTATTTACAACATTTAAGACAATAAGACTTTTTAAAGAACCACAAGAAGACAGGCAGAATTTCAGCAACATATTTTCATGTATAATTAGCTTTTATAAACTTTTCCCACAGTCACTGAGCAGTACAGTGACATGACAAAGAAGCAGAACATGATTGGTTCTCTTGTGTGCATTTGAACTGCTGATTAGAGTTTGTTAGAGTGCAAAGTTAGAGTTTGACTTTAGAGATAGAACCTTTTTGTTTTCTTGATAAAGAGTCCAAAATGCATACAACTTAAAAAAAAACAGCTAACATAATATTAAGAAGTTGTCACAGAATAAGAATATGTGAATAACTCAGTTTTGACAAAAATGTCAGATAGAAACTTAATTATAAGCGGACAACTTCTCATCAAGCACAGCAATAGATATAGCGGATGAAAGACCTTAATACCAGAATCACATCTCACTGCAGCTGTAAGTTTCAAATGAAATACCAGGCAGTGCCATAAATTGTGATAGTAGATGTCTTATTTTTAAGGTAAAGTTGGGGTGTGTGATGACAGCCTAACCTACATTATCACAAGCACACAGTTTTAAAAATACAACCCCGTTTCCAAAAAAGTTGGGACGCTGTGCAAAATGTACACAAAAACAGAATGCAATGATGCGCAAATCATTTAAGCCCTATATTTAACTGAAAACAGTACAAAGACAGCATGTCAAGTGTTGAGACTGAGAATTTTTTATCTATTTATTTTTTTTTAATATACGTCCATTGAATTTGATACCTTAAATTTATGAATTTAAAGCTTTTTTACTGGGTTTTACTTACCAGGCTCGGCTGATGCCTCATTGTTGTCCTGGGAAGGTGAGCTTGTCGTTTGTTTTCCTTTTGGTAAATTGGACGAGGCCATGGAAATCTCTGGAGAGGGAGAGATGCCGGGGGGCTGCGCACCTGTAAAAAGAAAACATCATCATTCAAGCTTAAAAAACTTCTGTGTTTATCCAAACAGGTTGTTGTAGTAAAAATTATGTTTTCTACAGTGCTGTGAAAAAGTATTTGCCCCTCACCTGATTTCTTCTATTTGTGCTAATTTGTCACAATTAAATGTTTGAGATCATCCAACTACTTTTAATATGATAAAGGTAACACAAGTAAACACAAAATGCAGATTTTAAATTATCATTCCATTTATTGAAGATAAAGATTTTTTCAAAACCCACATCACTAATGTGAGAAGTAAGTGCCCCCTAATCCTAATAAATGGTTGTGTTATTCGTGGCAGAAACTGCGATCACACATTTGTGATAACTTGCGATGAGGCTTACATCGTTGAAGAATCTTGGCCCACTCTTCTTTGAAAAATTGTTCTGATTTGGCTACATTGGAGGGTTTTTGAGCATGAACTGCCTGTTTAATTTGCCACAGCATCTCAATGGGATTCAAGTGAGTACTTTGACTTGGCCACTCCAAAACATTAAAAATAGAAAAAATGTTTTTATAATAAATCACTTAGTTTTGATTTGATGTGTGGCAATAGTCTAATGCACACTTTCGAGTGCTTTGATTTCATCTGCAACAAAAAAGGCAAGCGCCACGAGATTAGCCATTACTGTACGCTCACGCTAAGGAAAGTTGAATGTGTCTGACTTCGCAGAAGTGTTTTTATACCCCACCCCTGCAGTCATCAGCAGTTCATATTGACCATCAAGTCAGCCAAAGGTAGTCTAAGTTGAAAACAAATGCAGCCTGTGTCTGTGGGCTTGTTCGAGAATGGCTGTCGGTGAGAGTAGCCAGTTGCAGTTGGGGGAGAAGTTGAGAAGGGAGCCGTCTAGCCGGACACTTTTACAACCCCATTTCCAAAAAAGTTGGGACGCTGTGCAGAATGTAAATAAAATAGGATGCAATGATATGCAAATCATAAACCATATTTTAAAGGAAAATAGTACAAAGACAACAAATCAAATGTTAAAACTGAGAAATTGTTATTATTTTTTGAAAAATAAATGCCCATTTTGAATTTGATGCCAACAACACGTTCCAAAAAAGTTGGGACGGGGGCATGTTTAACACTGTTTTTCATCACCTCTTCTTTTAACAACACTCTGTGCACGGTTGGGAACTGAGGAGACCGACTGCTGTAGTTTAGAAAGTGAAATGTTTCCCATTCTGGTTTCATATAGGATTTCAGCTGCTCAACAGTTCAGCATCTCCTTTTCATATTTTTCATTTCATAATGCGCCACATGTTTCAGTGGGTGGCAGGTCTGGACTGCAGGCAGGCCAGTTTAGCACCCAGACTCTCTTTTAATACAGAGCAATGCTGTTGTAATACCTGCAGAATGTGGTTTGGAATTGTCTTGCTGAAATAAGCAAGGCCTTCCTTGAAAAAGACGTCGTCTAGATGGCAGCATATGTTGCCAAAACATGTATATATCATTCAGCATTAATGGTACCTTCACAGATGTGCACGTTACCCATGCCATGTGCACTAATGCACCCCTATACCATCATGAATACTGGCTTTTGAACTGTGTGCTGATAAAAGCTGAGTGGTCTTTAGCCCGGAGGACACAGTGTCCATGATTTTCAAAAAGAATTTCAAATGTTGATTTGTCGACCACAGGACACTTTTCCACTTTCCGTCAGTTCATTTTAAATAAGCTCGGGCCCAGAGAAGGTGGCAGCATTTCCAGGTCCTGTTTATATGTAGTTTCTTCTTTGCATTTTAGAGTTTTAACTTCCATTTGTGGATGCAGCGATGAATTGTGTTTACAGACAGTGGTTTTTTAGAAGTGTTTATGAGCCCATGCAGTGATTTCCACGACAGAATCATGTCTGTTTTTAAAGCAGTGCTGCCTGAGGCCCCAAAGATCATGGCCAGCAAATTTTGGCCTTGTCACTTGCATACAGAGATTTCTCCAGATTCAGATCATGCAGTCTTTCACAGAGTGATGAACCCCTCCTCATATTTACTTCTGAAAGACTCAGCCTCTCTGAGATGCTCTTTTATATCTTATCATGTTACTGACCTGTTGCCAATCAACCACCAGGTGTTTTTTTTTTTTGCATTACACAACTTTACCAGCCTTTTGTTGCCCCCGTCCCAACTTTTTTGGAATGTGTTTGGTTGGTATCTAATTCACAATGGGCAAATATTTTTCAAAAAAACAATAAAATTTTTTTAGTTTCGACATTTGATATGTTGTCTTTGCACTATTTTCAATTAAATATAGGGTTTAAATGATTTGCACATCATTGCATTTTCTTTTTATTTACATTTTACACAGCATCCCAACTTTTTTGGAAATGGGGTTGCACTTTCGTTGATTATTTACTATTTGTGTCTACATGGTTGTTGGAGGAGCTTGCCAATGAGGATTAAGCTCTGTCATCATCAAGCTGTCTCTGAGCTTGTGCAGTCAGGTGGTGAGCGACTGCGCCACCTGACTCTGAAAACTGCAGCAGTCCACCCTCACTGATGGCCAAGGCGAGATGCAGTTCATCTCAAACAAGCCCAGAGTCTCTTGTGTTGGAGTGTGCTTATGTTGGCACCGCACCCCTGGCAAGAGCGCAGTATACGGTTCCAATTCAGTTTGTTTTTGTCAAATTGAGCGAATGTCTCCTCACAGTCTACTAGCTGTCCTTTCTGTGTGCACGCTGGAAAAATATCTGGTGTTCATACACAGCCCTGGCTCTGCAAATGGGAAGCAAACAAAGTGGTCCGACATGAGCAACACAACACTATTCCAGCCAATCAGCAACAGGGGAGTTTGTGTTTGTGGACAGTGGGAAGTGGGGGGCTACATGCTGAACTCTATGTATCATCAAGAAGGACATATGGCTGAGAAACAGCCAAAAAAGGAAAAGATCTGCAGAGCAAAGATTGAGAAAAAAGCTCAAGGGCATCTCAACAGTGGAGAGACCTCAGAGAGTTGACAAGGCCAAAGTTTGCTTTCTATTTACATTTTTCTAATTCCACCTCAAACTGTGCAGCAGTTCCATTCCTTGTTCCCTTTCACATACTTCACTGGTCCAAGCTTTTAATGCTACACATTATGGCATTAGCATAGCTTAGATTAAATATGGGGTTGAAACACCACCACTGTCCATCTTTATGTAATTTCTATTTGAAAATTGCTAAATTGGTAAACAAAGCAAACAGTAACACTAACACTGCCTGTTTTGTTAACCAGCCCCGAATTCATACTGTCATGCTGACTAATCTCCAGAACAGACTAATCTCCACCCAGCCTAGACTGTTCTCATCTAATCTATTGTTTTTTGTTCAGATATCTCCTACCACATGCTAAGTCATTCTAAAAGAGAGATTAGTCTTTCATTTCATTATAAGGGGTATAAAACACTAAACACATGAAAATCCATGTGAAAAATACGTTCATTCAGATTTAGCTTCTATTATTCAACTTGAGAAACACCCTAAACATTCACAGTGCATCTGCATTCTCTTATTCTGATTAGCTATTTTCATCTTGTGCCAGGTTTACATTTAAATTTTTTTAAGGCTGTTCTTACCTTTTCTGTCCATTCACAGCAGAGTTGGAAACCAGCAGGCTGGGTGGGTGTGTGTATGTGTGGATGCTGAGCAGTGAGAGGAGGTGAATAACTGCAACCATAGCATCAGCAGTGACATCACCATATGGTCTGAGAGAAAAGAGCTGAATAATGCTCACCATATACTTTCAGTTTCTACACTGAGCTAGACTGCTGAAGACATCACTGCTTATATAACATGACTAGCAAACACAGCTTTGAACAGTTACACACACATAAAATCATAATATGTTTTCATAAAAAACACAAAGAAGTTAATTAATTCCAGAAAATATGTGTTTCAGTAGTGATAATTCTTAATGTTACTCACTGACTTTCAGACAATGGGACCTATCTGCTCACCACGTAGCCAAGGAGGAACAGAGATGCAGTCTCACTTCTTGCTCTAAAATACAGGGGTATGGCTAAAATATGGCTGTAACTAAGGACTAAAACTCCGTGTTTTAGTAGTGATGTGAAAATAAGGGACAGCAATTTTTTAATAAAGTTTTTTATTAAAAAAAATGAAAACCCTTAATTAATAATGTTTAATAAAATTAAAACTTCACTTTAAAAGAAATCAAAAAGATCTGGAGAGCACTCTGTTTTCGACTTTGTTTATAAGTAGCTGTATTTAGTGTAGTAGTAAGGCTGTATTTTCAGTTTTGCATGTTTAAAAAAGATAAACACTTTACTTTGCACCTGCATTTGGCAGCTATGTTTGTGGTTCTTGGGGTTTCCCTTAGTTTTCAAGCCAGATTCTGAGGACAAGGGTGAGCCACAGATTTAGACATGGTGACGACCTGTACTGTGGCAAGCTAAACGAAGCCCAGTCTACCCAGCTCGGTCTCTTTCACAGAGAGAGGCGGACAAAACGTCAAACCCCACCCAACAGCCTACCCCTACGCCCTGGATTATGCTGCCTCCCCTGTGGCTGTATGGTTGTGATAATTTATGTTCCGTTCAACTCGTTTACAAAAAAATGCTGGGCCCGGTTTATATATATACAGACAATGGGCCCAGTCACCAAATACTGCCTCCTCTTTGACCCTGGTGGCTGTGCTGTAATGGGAGGGGACCGTGAAGGTGGAGCTGCCTCTAGAGCCCTGTGTCACATGTGTAAGGCGCCTTACTGATTACAGACAGCTGAGACTGATTTGGGGAGAAGCCTAGACACTTTAAACATTGAGGGCTCCAAGTTGGGGGAGGGGGGTTGGAGAGAATCTTGGCTGGAGAACGTTCTGTTTGTGAGTAGCCCCAGCAGGCTGTATTTTCAGTTTAGTTTTGGGTTTTGTTTCTCAAGTTTAAATAAAAACTCTGCTTTGCCCCTACATTTGGCCTGTGTGTGTTCCTCAGGGTTTATCTTAGCTTCCCAGCCCATCCCCAGACTGATGCCACATGATTCTATATATATTTTCCTTATTACTGTCATTTATTGCCTTGGGTTTAAATAGATTGAAACATAATTCTTGCAAATATCTGAATAATTATTTTTATTTATTTATTTTTAACTGTTGGACTGCAGTAGAAAGGCTGTATGTGAGAGGATAAAAGCTTGGGCCTACCTCTAGCTGAAAATTTTCTGTTACCCATTAATAATTTTAGAAAAGATTGAACAACTACAGCTGGCAAAGTAAATTCATGTGGTAAGATATGAAGGTTGGAAGTGGTTAGTGACCCTCACCATCTTATGTAGGTCAAAAATGTATGAAGTGTACCATAATCTCAAATAGATCTTTAAAGATTTAGGAATTTTAACAATCTTTTTGACAATTATTATTTTGTGTAGTTGTGTTACTGCTACAAAGTCCATTCTGACATGGATACACTTGGAGGCATTTCTAAAGTGCTGGCTGCACATTCTAAATTAAGGGTACGGCAGCCCAACCTCTTTGCTTGTCAGTTGCAGGGGCCAAACAGTCCAAACAGAAAGTTAATTCTGTTTTCCCTGAATACTCTAACCAGAAAGTTGTACAACTGGAACAATTAAAAAACATATTTTGTGCCAAAATACTTATAAATGCTGAGATACTGGTCTTACTAATGCTTTCAATTTAAAATTTTACATACAGGCCTATGAAATATTTGCAGATAAAACTACATGTCAATGTTCTTTTTGCCTGGCTTACTACTCTTGTTTGTAGTTGAAGGAAATGGAGCTGTGTCTGATTACTGTCATAGAATGTGTGTTTGTGTTTACATACACCTTACTAGGGAATTCAGCTGCTTTTAAGTGCACCCAGTGCTGACACAGACCTTTAACACTGCACACCCAACTTGTATCTACATATAAAAGCATTGCCAATAAAATGGGACACTCTGGAGCAGCCACGTGTAAACATAAGATGACCAGACCCAGTGCCAAGCATTTGGAAGAGGTGTATAAAGACCCCCAACATTGGACTGTGAAGCAGTGGAATTGCAGTCTCTGGAGTGATAGAGCACTATCCAGTACTTTTGGGAAGAGTTGGAGTGGCGTTTGTCCACCTAATCATCCAACATCTGTATCTGACCTCACTAATGTTCTTGTGGCTGAATGCAATCAAATTCTCACAGCAGTGTTCCAACATTGAGTGTAAAAACATAGAGGCTGTTACTGCAGCAAAAGAGGGACAAATCCCCTATTAATATGCTTGATTTCAAAAGAAATGTTCAATGACCAGGTGTCTACAATCCTACAGACATACAATGTATTTGTATGTTCTTGACAAGGGTGTCCAGGGTGCAGAATGGTCTGGTGATATCCTGGGTCAGACACATGTACAAAATACATGTTAATGTACATCTGCAACAATGTTGTACTAACTGTCACTATCATGCTGGAGTGCTTTCACCATTTTGAATCCCCATTTTGTCAAATGACAAAACAGAGTTGTTACATCCTATTTCCATTAGCGAATGAGCAAAAACAATCCATCACCCACTTAACAGGTTTTCCATCAGGGCACGAATGCTTTGACAGACACAGTACTGCAGTTGTTCAAGAGGAGCAGGGAAAGTAAGCAGTAATATTGTGTGGTTACAAAGTGCTTAATGAACTGGAGGTGTTCCATTTTCTGTCTTCTATAGATTTAGTGTTACCAGTGCCTTCCCAGAAGTATGTGGTTTCTCTTTGTGCCATGCCTCTCTGCTTCTCTGAGCCAGGCGTGTTTCCTTCAGGAGATGAACTGCAACATAACAGCATGTTGCAGTTCATCTCCTGAAGGAAACATTACTGACAGTGCCAGAGCATAATGTAATAGACATAATGGGATTATGAAAGAAAAATGCAAGAGTACACCATAAGAGAAAAGCAGTAATAGTGGGAGGCAGCAGGGGTGTGGTCAAGGGTTGACTGGAGGACAGCAGTGTCCAATTCATTCTTTTAAATCAGATCTGTTCAATTATTTTATGTTTTTCTGTTGCATCTTCGCAATGTTTATGTCCATGTTATCGGCTGAAGAATTCCAGAAAAACTCAAATCATTATCTTTTCCAGTTTAACTGTACATACACCAATCAGGCATAACGATATGACCACCCTTGTTTCTGCGCTCATTGTCCATTTTATCAGCTCCACTTACTATATAGTTGCACTTTGTAATTCTACAATTACAGACTGTAGTCCATCTGTTTCTCTGCATACTTTGTTAGCCTGCTTTTACCTTGTGTTTTAGCGGTCAGGACCCCCATGGACCCTCAAAGAGCAGGTACTACTTGGGTGGTGGATCATTCTCAGCACTGCAGTAACACTGAAGTGGTGGTGGTGTGTTAGTGTTTGTTGCGCTGGTCTGAGTGGATCAGACACAGCAGCGCTGCTGGAGTTTTTAAACACCTCAACGTCACTGCTGGACTGAGAATAGTCCACCAACCAAAAATATCCAGCCAACAGCGCCCTGTGACCACTGATGAAGGACTAGAGGATGACCAACACAAACTGCACAGCAGCAGATGAGCTATCATCATTGTCATCTTCATTATTCCCAACACCTGTTTCTTGTTGTTTCCTGTTTTGTTTTCAGTGGCTCTTCATGTGCGTCTTAGCCATCCCCCCTAGTGGATGGATCTGCCCGCATTTGGCCTGATTGACCATGCTGTGACCCCTGCCTCTCAAAATATATGACCCTGGTCGCCCAGCGAGGAAATTGAACCCAGGCCAATCTTACTGTGAGGCACCAACCTGCTACACTGTGAATAAATGTATTTTTTGTTTGTTTTTGTATGATTTAAACTCATTCCTACTGAATGAAAAACTGTTTGGGAACTGAGGGAGAAAACTCTTGAGCCGACTGATCATATCATTGATCTGTGACAGCTAGTGGGTAAACTACATTTAGGATGCTTTCATTTTGGCTACATCTGTGTTATGCTGTTTTGGTTAAAATAAAATGGAGTTGCTGAGTTGACTTCTTTGATTCTACTAGCAGGAATCTAGAGTCCACTCTAGAAAATCAGGAGTCATGCACTACTACTGCTCAATCTGTTTATAGAGACAGTGTGCAGGGTAGCTTGGGGAAATGGCAGGGTTTAGAAATAGGGAAGCAAGGGAGTGTTACTGTTTTGTGTTATCATGCATACTCATAGATCTTCACATTCTTAATCAGTGGTTTTAATCAAGGTTTAGGGATGCTTCTGTGCCATTTTCAGCAGTGTCTTTGCCATAACAAAAACACATAATATTTAACAATTTATTATTCAACATAGGCTAATTTTTTGAGTGGTTGATGTTATTTTAGAACTATACAGCAAATGTACAAAAGAATTTTCTTAAAAAAAAATATGCATACATTGTGGTTTAAATCCTCATCTCAAAGCATTCTTATTTATTTACTGGCAGTTTATTCTTTTTAGTAATGTATGCAATCCACAGGATTCAACATACAGTAAGTTAAGAAACCACCTAATGACATTAGAAATATATAAATGTATATAAAAATAATGTACCTTATAAAGAGTAAAGCATTTTTATGCCTTTAGAATATCTTCAGTTTATTTTAGAATGTAGGACATTGGAAATTCTTAAGAAGTGGTTTCAGGAATAAAATTTTCCATATACTCCAGAACCTTCTATAATGTTTCCAACTGGTAGTTAAAGTGTTCAAGGAAGGTATCTGACCTCATCCTTCATAAAACCGCAATTGATTTATTTTTTAAGCAAATCTGTGTAGAGTATTAACATCTTTTAATAGTGTGAGATTAAGAGGGGACCTGGACTATTTGGTCCAGACTGTACACACTTAAAAGAGTTGGTCCTCAAGAGTTCTTTAGTTAAGAAAATGGTTCTATATAGAACCATAAACAGTCAAACAACTCTTTGCATGATTAAAGTGTTCTTTGCATCGTAAAAGTGTTCTTCAGATTGATGGAGAATGTGCTACACATGGCTCTAAAAAAGAACTTTTTTGAAAATGGTTCTATATAGCACCAAAAGGGTTCTTTTATTGTTACATTCTCACAATAAAAGAACCCTTTTGGTGCTATATAGAACCATTTTCAAAAAAGTTCTTTTTTAGAGCCATATGTAGCACATTCTCCATCAATCTGAAGAACACTTTTACAATGAAAAGAACACTTTTCATCGTAAAAGTGCAAGTTCTATATCGAATCATCTACAGGACACTCTCCATTAATCCGTAGAACCCTTTTATGATGCAAAAAACCCTTTAATTATGCAAAATGTTGAATGCTCATTGTTCTATATAGAATCATTTTCTTTACTAAAGAACCCTTGAAGAACCGCCTTTTTCAAGCATGTAGATTGGAGATGGCTCAGGATGACCAATGCAGACATAAGGCTACAAGAAAATGAAAGAAAGAAAGCTAATCACACCAGATTCCTTTTCCCAGTTTTCCAGGTCCAAGTATTTTATATGCAATGTGATGTCTTTATGCATTGGCCTTGCAAGTAGTTTCAAATAGTAGCCCTGCCATAAGCCCATCTATGCAGTTCTTACTGAGACTGAGCGAGAGAGGTGCGATTTAAACTTTGGGATTTTTGAGGCTGTAAATTTATGGAGTTTAGCAAACATGCTGTTGAAAGCAAATTTCAGCAATCAACATTTTTTCTGCATAATTCGATTGCAGAGATGTAAACAAAGTCATTTAATGTGGTTTGATGTGAAATGGTTCATTGCAGAGAAACTTACTGGATCAGATTTCTTCACAGTTGTGGTGATAGGAACTAGGGGTCATAATGTCTACAACACAAATATTGCTATTTTATTTACTATTCAAAGCGATCAGTAAGCTTACAAGTCTTCTGAGGTTTTAAATGTAATGCTGATAATGGTTAGATGTAGATAACGGTAAATCCTAAAAATAAGGTTTCTTTGCAAACTACACCCTGCATGTAGCTCTCCCCCAGAACCAACTTTTAAAAAAACATGTTTTAGGCCAAAACTTTATGGCAACACTATTATAAAACAACATCTCGGAGGAATTAAATTCTTTGGTCATCCAGCTCCTATCACCATCATCACCGTGTGAACAATTAAAACTCAGTAAGTTTCTCTTACTGTTAAATTTCACATTGAAAAAAAATGTTGTTGGCTTTGTGGCAACTCTTTCTCATTGCCAGTGCAGCTTCTTCTTATTTGTCATGATTTTTAAGATTCTTTCTATTTTAAAATATATATTTTTGTAAGATCTTTCTTTGGATCAAAATGTTTTTTTTTTCAAGCTGCGGTTTGAGAATTCTCTTAGTTGGCTTGTGTTGCTTTTAAAACGTGTATATCAAAGTATTGATTTTCTGTTCCCTTTTACAGCTGACACATACTGTCATTTAGTTACATCAAGGGTAAATGTGCTATTTTGAGTCATCATTCAATTATTTTGGCCACCCCCACATCTGAAAACATGCCATGTGTCTGGGCACAAGAATTACAGAGCAATGCAAAAAAAACACAAAATCACAATGTAATCATATAATAACGTTATTAATCAGTCATGAGCATATTGTAAAATAAGAAACATCTAAACAAGTGTTTACAAAAAAAACAAAACAAAAAAACAGAGTATTACATTTGATAAGAGATGTTATGCTAACTGTAAACAGAAAACACTGATTTGGCTAAACAGTGAACAGTGCAAACACTTGCTTGGCAGAATCACCTTAATATTAGCTCCACTGCTCTGTCAGTCAAATATCTCTCAATTTATAACTGTGCCATGCATGAAGACTTTTCATGTAACATTTAAACAAAACCTGCAAAACATGTGATTACAGAATGAAATGTCATATTTAATGTTTCAGACTTACTTGGGTTTCATTTATGGCTGGAGTTTCACAAAGAAATGCATACAAATGAAATAAATATGAAATCTTTCAAGCTTCCTTTCTTTCTAACTGCAAAATAAAAAAAAAACAACACAGCACTGGAATGTGTGTGAAGGTTGACTAATGCAGTCATAGCCTGAAAGCTGCTATCACACAACAGCAGGGATGTTGAATAGTTTTGCGAGGTCTTCTCTTACATCAGAAAACGGGCTCTTCTCATAGTACACTATTAAAAAGACGATTCTGCAAGGGTTCTTTTGTAAAGACAATGGTTCTATATAGAATCATGAACGTTCAAATAATTATTTGCATGCTTAAATAATTCTTTGCATGGTAAAATGGTTCTTCAGACTGATGGCAGATGTGTTGTATATGGCTGCGTATAGCAGTAAAAAGAGTTCTACTGTTACGAGCCTGAATTCATAACAGCAGAACCATTTTCAAAAATGTTCTGTATAGAAACATTTTACAACACAATGCAAAGAACCATTTAAGCATGCAAATGGTTCTTGATGGTTCTATATAGAACCATTTTGTTTACTAAAGAACCGTTGAAGCTTTTTTCAGAGTGTACTCCTAAGTCTGATGCCTTGTGAAGCAAATCACATAGCTAGTCTATTCAGTGATCAAAGCCCAGCTGTCAGAGAGCTTGGATGTGACTCAAAGTCTTGGAATTGATGCCTGCTGTCGACTTCTCTCAAGCTGAAAAATGATATCTGTAACAGGTGGTTCTACATTACAAGCGTTTGTCTCTTACTTAAAAAAAATAGAAGAGAATTTAGATCTAAGAACACCAATGCAAGGATGTCTTTGTCTTCCTTAGTAGTCTACCATTTGGTTAAAAACACTTATATAAACATCTGGATTTTGTTAGACACTGTTTCACCACAATGAGAAAATAGCAGAGAAAAAGAAAAAAAAAATTGCTTGGAAGAAGAACTGAGGCACATGATAGCACAAGGACATTACTGTGTCTTTACTTTGTCATTCAGAACATAAATCATAATGGTATATTATGAATTTGATTTATGTTGACTTTTTTTTTCTCATTTACATTTTTTTTAATTGTAACATTGATTCCCATTTCTTGGAGTCAGAGTTGTCTCCAAATGTTTTTGGAATCGAATAGCCCTGGGTGAATGTCTCTTGACTAATAATCAGAGTACTGGATTCCTTTTTGTGGTGCAATCTTGAGAATGACTATGAATGTCAGCCAGCTGCTTTTCGACTGCTGAATAAAATGCCCATGGAAATAAAGAGGGATTCAGCTCATAGATTTTTCGGTGAGCTCCTGTATTCTGCTCTACTGACCTTGGCAAAAAGATTACTGAAAACCTATAAACAGTTTATTATTTTTTATTTATTATACAGCATGCAATAATATTGGCTCTTCATGGCGGGTTTAACAGCAGACAGTAAGGTACAGTGTCACATTATAAGCTTCAGAAGAGCCCTCCACAGTACCATATGTCTGATTATACTGTATTTATAACAGACCATTAGATGAGCGTTCTTTTAACAGGCACATTGCAAAAGAAAGGTGGTGGAGGCTCAGAGACTGGCGAATTTCTGTTCTCATTTAGGCTGTCTTTAATGTTGCGTACATCCACACTGGAAAGGTTAGTCTTTAGCTGCAGGAGGGCAAGGACCTGGCGTTCACTGGGGAGAAGAAACATGAAGATGAGGGTCAATGTGGTCAGTATAACAGCAACTTTCTTAACAGAAATAGCTGTTTCCATTTCTGCCCAAAAAGTAATCTGAAGAAAATTGCAGTATTTTGTTGATCAGTTTGTTTCCATAAAACTGACTTTTAGCAATAAAAATGCTTTACATAATGATGTAATTTCCTGTTGCATAAGCTTTAGCGTATGAATAACGAGTGTTTATTCTATCTCTAATTTCATGTATATTGGAATTTGTTTACCTTTGGCTTCTCTGACTAAAGAAAGTGTGTTTATTTTATTTTTATTGCATTGTTGTCATTATTTTTCCATTGGAATCATTACGTCACTTTTCTCTGCCATATAGAGCTGTTTGAGCACTTTCCATTTAGAAAGGCTGTAACTATTTTTGCACACCTCTCTCTGTAAGAGCTAAACAGTTTCAGCATTCACTTTTCTCTACACTATGTATAAACCTCTAAACACAAAAATACATAAGTACATTACCCCCCTACATTACAGTGTAGGTTTTCGCAACATTTCAGGTATAGATTAACAATTTCCTGCTAAAGTTAAGCAGAAGTTTTGGTTCAAATTCATCAACGATTACAATTTCTGTTTTCATAGCCTACATCAACAAACTCTTTGAAACATTAAAACATTTATTGTAAAAATTCCTTTGATGAAAACATAGACAAGGACATATTGAATCAATGCTAAGATTTGAAGAAAAATAGTACAAAAAGCTATAAAAGCCATAAAAATTTCAACTAAAGCTTTGACCATACCAAATGTTGCCACTGTCACTTTAATTTTATCAAAAAAAAGATCTACTCAGAATCCCTTCTTGCAATCAAATGAATTCTGCAACAGAAAACAGAACCCAACCCCTTTGTTTTTGCCCAAAAATAGCCGGCATAATTTCTGGGGGAGTGTGAAAGGAATCTGACAGTGCATTCTTTTTTCTTACTGAGTCTACTGTTTCAAAACAGCACAACTGGTGGCAACTGATCTCCAAATAGATGAAATATGTTTCTTCACTGGGTGGAGGGTTTGAATGTTTTATAGCACTTTTGAAAAAAAATACTATACACTTATTGTTAATGATTTCAAAACATCTAAGGTCAGTTTCCCAGACAGGGATTAAGCTTAGAGATGGACTATACAGTATTCTGAATGGAGACAAAATTCTACCCAACATGAAAATTTTAACTAGGCTTGATCCCTGTCCAGAAAACTGATCTCAGTGTGTTGTCACACCTATGAAAAATAGTGTTTCAAAAGTTCCACAACACAAACCTTTAACTGGTTTTGATTGGGTCTTGTTAAAGGATCAAGTTGAAGGAAATGGGAAGCTACATCCTTAGATAATGTGACAAAGCTGGTAATAGACAATGATTCTTCTTGTCAACTTTAGGACAAGGCATATACTGCTAAAAGGAAGCACAACTGTTCCTTTATCCTTAAAAAATGCCTATGATAAGCTAATAGCTAATGGTGCATTTTCTGTTTCTTTTTCATTGCCCTGCTTGCCTTGTGCTGCGTTGTTATGGCTATTGAATGTGGCACCTGTCATGTAACTTTGATGTACAAATCTGGCTATGAAGATTCAGTCAGGGATATTTGTGGCAATTAGAGGAAATTACACAGATACGTTATCCCAAACAAACCCCCGACCCAAATTCCTTACAAATTACATTTAACTATCTGATAAAACTAATCCAGCTTAAATAGCACTTCACTGTTCTATTCGGTGTTCCTTTAACTGAACATTAGCCACTTGTAAGCATGGAAATTGAATAATTGTAGCTATATGCAGTTATAACACAACTTCTAGCACCAACCTGTCTGTGTCCTTTACTCACCTTATATCTGGGTAGGTTCTTGCTAACGTAACTATCTCTAGCTGAAGTGACCCTGCGTCCTGCAGCCTCAATACCTCTGACATTTTGGGTAGGACACTGGAAAGCCATTTCTCTTTGGACCCCTGTGGGAGAAGAGTGACAATCTGTTCAGAAAACATTCTCCACAAATAGGTCATTTAATTTAACAAACTAAACGAAGCATTATATAAGTGTAGGCTCCCTATCTCCTCCCTGCATTACCCTATACCTTTTTTACCAATCAAATTCACACAACCGCTTCTGACATCAATCAAGTAACCACTCAGCCCTTCTATAGAATAAGGCCTTCAATCTGTTACCCCTCATTGTTTTAAGCCCACTAGACAGTCTATTAGCACATATACCACCGTGTCTTCAGGAAGACCTTGGGTGCTCTGCTTAGAACATGAACATCCGCAAGGCACAAAGTTCACATGCAATGGAGCCAACAACATCCTCAACACATGGTGCCAGTGGATAAATACACCACAGTATTGTGAACTGTCATGGTTTCCCTGGTCAGCATTTACCCCAAGCTATGTCCAAAGCCATAGTACAGTATTATACATACTACACATATTGCACGGATATTGGTGGTGTACTATTTTGACATGCTATTTAATATGGCAGCATGCAGTTTTGGACGCAGCTCCAGCCTCATTTCCTCTGTTTAACTATAGATTGTCATCACATCCATTTGGGGTGATGCCCATCCTGTGTGCTATTTGTAACTCCTCCTCATAATCTTTGCTTCCAGCTGTTTCTCCTCAGTGCTGTGTGGGTTTATAGTTGTTTTCTGCCCTAAATTCACAACCTAGCATTGCTGATAGTTTGTGACCTATATTTGGCCTGTATACACTGTTCATTTGTTGTGTTGTGTTACTTCCCTAAGTTTGCTTCCACTTCAAGTTTTATGTTTTTACTTTTTCTTCATTGATTTTCAAGGGCACTCCTGTACTGTCCATTTCAGCTTACTTGCCGACTCCTGGTTACATTAACACATCTGCTCTGTTTGCTTGGCCATTGTTACACAAGCCCAAAAGCATTAAATTACTTTCCCATGTGTGTAGGTTTTCAACAGACTTTTTCTTGGCTAGATGTTCGGAAAAACCTCCCCAAAAAAACCAAAAACATTGAGTTCAGTTTAATGCTTATAGTGAGACGTAGCATGAGAGAGGAGGAAAGGAATGCCTGTGGGTTTGTTGAGGCACTGAGCAAAGGAGGGAAAATGCAGGGAATGTTTATATGGGTAGATATGTTTGTGTGCATGCTTGTGTATAATTTGGTGGTTCTGTAAGGGCTAAAAGCAAATACTCTTGGGAAAAAAAAGGAAAAACACCCTCAAAAATGTGACTTTCACTTTCAAGACTAAACAACGTAGATTTTCTTATGCGCTAGGTCACATTTAGGAAAATTAAAGCTAAGCTAAAGAAGGCACAACTCTATGTAGCTCAGGTTAGAGAAGGCTATAATACAGTAGGCTGTCTGTGTGTTTATATTGACTATTTGTTCACTATATTTGTTTCTCTGACAAACCATGACATTGGGAAAACTGACATTTTGTTGATCTTTGGTTAACATAGTTAAAATTCAGGACAGGTTTAAGTGTATATACTTCATGTACTCACATTTCTGACAAACAGTGCATTGATTCTGGTGCTGTCCTCGCACAGAAAGGTTGCAGCTGTCTCCTGCTCGTCCTTGTCTTTTAGTTTCACTTTCCTCTTCAGCATCCTCCTCACATATTCTGTCATCACCTCAGTATGCAGCTGACTCAACAACTCCTACACACAGTCACACTGACTTTAGGACTACTTTAACACACTCTGACAAACAAAAGTACCCAGAAATCCTTGGTTTCTGACCTGGTTAATCAGTTTAGAGTTTGTGATGCTCACCTCCATGCAGGCAGGCTTTAGGAATGTGAAATGTGTTATCTGATCCTCCAGAGCACTGAGGAGATTTCCGATAATGTTATGGCTCCCTGAAAACCAGGTCTGAGTCCACAGCTTTCGGTAATGCCCCTGTGTAGATGAGACATGTTACACTTATGTGCAAAGGTTTGAACAATCCTAGTCAAATCACATGTTCTCTCTGAAAATCCTCTACAGGGAACAAACTTGAATATGGCATTGACCCTGCAAATTTTAGCACACAATTTCTATTTGTTTGAAAAAATAAATGTTATGTTCCATGAGTTTTGCACATGCCACATTTTACATATTCTTCTCTAGTTTGTTACATTTTGCAAATTAACAGTAATTATGCATTACAATGTGCAGAAGCGTGTTCTCAATAGAGGGATCTGTTAACAGATTTAACTCCAACAAAACATTTCATTTGACCAGGGGCATTGAAAATGTTGTCAAATACAACATTTAAATTGGATTTGCAATGTTTTTAAATTTTTAGGTAGTAAAGTCAATGTGTGCTTTCAATAATAGTAAATTCAAAATAAATTCCTTTGCTTTGGCCAATTTTCCAGAGCACTTTATTCGTATTGTAGAAATCTCATACAAGCTAGGAGTGTAATACTGAAAAAATCCAAACTAAGTACAAACAGTACAAAGATCTCATTTGCTCTCTTACTTTATTTCTGTATGCCAACGTGGATCCACAAATACCATAATTATCATTATTTAAAAAAAAATATGAAAAATTATGCTCTTCATAAAATGGTCAGCTACTCTTTGAATGTAATCAGGGCCATTATATAGTCTGTTTAGTCTGTATACTGCAAAAAATGCAGAATTTACTAGTTACTTACAACATCACAACATCATAATGCCTGAAATGTATGTCAGTGTAATACAATGTAACTCATTTAGAGCATGAATTGGATTTCATCAAATGATTGGCGGCAGGCACTGGCTGTGAGAACACAGCCAGCTATTAGTTTAGAAACACCTTATTTTTAGCTACCTTGAGCTCCTTGTGTGTGGTGCTAAGGAAGTATCTGTGACAGGACTCTCTCAGATCTGCTGCAGTGGACAGCCAGGTTCCTTTCACATCTGAAAGATTTTCTCTTGCCTCTATGTATTCCCTGCAGAAATAAATACTTTGTTTTGTACTTGTGTCATGTTCCACAGAGTAACATCTTGACAGGTCGACAAACATTTCAAGTATAGTTACTTAGACAGCAACTAGTGCAAATAGTTTTCTGTATTACTCGTCTAAAATCAAGCTACACAGTAACACTATTCACATTTAAGTTCCTGCATTTTATGAAGTTCTATAATTCATACTAAAGTCTGATGAGATACTTGTGTATAAAGCATCACGTATGCCTATTTATGCCAGTGTCTATTTACTGTAACAGTAAACCATACCTGTACATTAGTTGATCATACACATAGAGGTAAATCAACACACAAGTTTGGAAAATCAACTGGAACAGCAGTCAATTTTGTTGTTGGTGGTGGTCTTTTTATTATTATTAGCGTTAATATTATTATTATTATTAATATTATTATTATCTTAACAGTAATAACAATACCAATTAAAACAAAGCAATAGTATTCAACATTGAATTGATAGTCAAAAAGAATATCAGACATGAAAAACACAAACCAAGCTGAGCTGAAAGACTCACCTACAAACTCATCTCCAAGAAGAGGCCAAAAATGTTATACTATTAATTGTTATTCAATAATAAAACATTAGATCAACTGACCTCTAATGTCTCTGGGGCAGTAAATGCCAGGAATGCAATGATCCAAGTTAAATTAATTAGACCATTTATTTAAAGTGAATTTGTCAAGATTAGATTTGGCCCCTTCAATTGATCAGAATATGGCCATTTTACCTAAGCTACTGTTGTAGGACTTTCAAATTATTACTATGTGTTTTTTGTTTGTCTCACCTTAACTGCTTGATGCTGACCAGGCTGGCCTTCAGCATGTCAGGAATGTTCTTGTTCTTCCCTTTGAGAAGTTCAGCAATAGATTTCTTATAGCTGCCAAGAGAAAACAAATTTGTTCAAAAATATTTTCACTATGGCATACACATTTGGAAAATTGAGAACCATGAGGGATGAAACAGAGAGACATCTTTTTTTGTCAAAGGCACCTTCAGGAGTAGAGAGATTTTCTCTCTGATATTAGGTTGAGAATCGATCTTGCCGACAGATAATTTGAATTTATTTTATTTATTTCTCTCTGTTCCTCCAGGGACCCTATGTGTTTGTTGTCATATGAAATGACAGTGGTCAATGGTAGTGTTTAAGTATAGCTCTCTAATTGCCAATGTGAATATGCCAACTTTGTGGTAAAAGGCCATAAGGGTGCTATAAAGCTGCAAAGGACTTTAGGTTTGGGACACTGGTATCTTACCTTGCAAGAAAGCTGGCTAGCTGAAACAGAATCCTCTGAGCTTTATCCTCATTACCCAAAATAGTCACGGCCTCTTTAATCGCACCATCAACAAGCTGTAAAATGAGAAGTTCATGCTATAATGAAACACCCTAGTCCAGATAGGTGGGCCTATACAGTAACAAGCCAACTTAGACTTAGAGCTTATGCTGTAACTAAAGGAAAGTACAACAAACATGCAATGTGACATATACGTCATATGATATGTTAGCCCAGTGTTGTTCATACATGTATGACATCAAGGGCAAGATGGGAAATGTAGTAATTATCCATCAGTTCAGGTTTTTCGTCAGTCTGCCAATGTTCCTCCTCTTTCTTTAGGGCACTGGACAACCATGTTCTGACCTCAGCCTAAGAAGAAGATGGAACATCATCTAATGTAAAAATAATGTGCACTGTAGATTGTAAATAGTGAGCATGGGATTATATACGGATGTTTAATAAATAAGCCCATATCATCTTGAGCTGATGTATCGCATTACCTCTTTGTGTGATAGATACTGCTCCTCCAATGCCTTAAGACTTTCTTCAGGTAACAAAGGTCCTAGTGCTTCACTACTGATGTGGGACTCTAATTCTTTCTGTTGCAACACACCCCTGAAAAGCAATATTTAAACAATTCAAACTGTGGTAATCTCTAGACAATTACAACAGAAAAATTAAGTCTCATTTACACTATAAATCTTTAATAATGACAAAAGACACACTGTATTGTTTCCCTTACTTTGGATAATAATCGTTAATCCAACTCAGTATGTAGATGCAGTCTTCCAACTCAGTGTTGGGTTGAGTCAACTCCTGGAGTTTCGTGGAGAACGCCTGATGGTACAGTTGAGTGTACATGTTGCACACGTCAAACTCCGGTGGATAACATCCCTGCACGTCTCTGACCACTCGCAGCAGGTCATTCTGAATGCGCTTGCCCATCCGGCAAACATCTTTCTTTAGGGAGGTGGACAGCTTGTCCGCTCCACTCTCTTCTTCATTTGCCCGCTGAAGCCGTACCTCCACCACCTTCTGGAGAAGTGTGTCATGGATCTCTCGGCATCCCATCGGCCTCCAAACTGGACATTCGTGTTTTGCTGTCTTCTCCCAGATGCGGTCTCGTTCCTCCTCCTGAAGTATAGTAGCCACAGCACTTTTCAGGGCCTCCTGATTATCCGTGTTGAAAGAATCATGGATGACCATTCGCAGGCGCAGCTTCAGAGTCTCATAGTCCTTCTGCAGTCTGTCCTCATCATCGTCTGTGCAAACCACCTGCTCATCTGCTGACTCTGAGCTGAAGAGGTGCTCTTCCTGTGCTAGAAGATGCTGACTTGCTTCTGCTAAGTGATTTTGTTCCAGATTTTGGTTGAAATCCAAGACCACTGGAACTTCTGAAAGAACACAGCTCACTATTAGGCTAAATGAGAGGAGGATTTTTATGTATGTAAATGTCATTACCAGTATGCAGCAGATTTACTAATCAGAAAATGGATCAGGGAATGTTAGAAAATCTACTGGAGTTATACTGCCTTGCTGTGCACTAGAGTTCAGGCTAATCACTGACAAACAGGACCTACTGTATCCCGATCGAAGGGGCAATGTGTTGAGAGAACGTGGCTGGGCACTGTGTTGTTCTGCCAATTACTGATAGACAAACACCTCTCCTCTGAAAGGAAAAGCTGTGTAGATGAGACATACTAATGATGTAAAAGCGCAAGTCTCGTGCAGTGGAGAGGTGAAGTGTAGGAGAGGATGGTTGCAAACTGCTCATCGGGGGTGAGGGACGCTTACTGGGGGGGCAGGGGGGCCCAGTGATCTTGATGGCTTTATTGCCCAGTTGCACAAGTGAATTCTGATTGACAACAAATAGAAATCAGCTGTTAATGTAGCTGTTCCTGACATTTTCATCCTTCTGGGATAGTTAGGTTACATAAGGACCTGACAAAACTTCTCCAGAAGATTAATAATATAAAAGTAATAATGAATAAAGATATATTGACACACTTGCTGGCCTCTGCCAGAAAGCTAAAGATAAAGAGGAATTTCCCCTCCCAACATGATAACGGTTCAAACCTCACATTCAAGTAAATCAATGGTTTTAAAAAGGAAGATCAGTGTCTATGAACGGCCCAGTCAGAGCCCAAAACTCAACCCCATAGGACATTTTTGAAGCAACTTTAAAAAGGTGTAAAGTCTCGTTTACTCAAAGACTTACTGCAAATGTCCTTTAATGAAATATTATCTGTGGGGATGTGCACAGTTTTTCAACCAGGGTTTTGTAGGGTTTTCCTGTTATTTTTCCTAATAATTTATCTATTTGTTTTTTTTCTTGAATATTGTGGTTGCATGTTTACATTACAGACAGAACAATGTTTAACATGACTTTTGTTCATTTCTGGCTTTACAACACAAAAACCTCTAAATTCAATAAGACTGTGAAAACTTTTATTATTCTATTATTCAAGCAGTTTCTTAGGGCCCCCAAGCCACCAGTGGGCCTGAGAATGAACTTCTTAACATTATTCGATATTGTATATAGAAAAATCACAGTGAGACTAGAAGTTTCTTTTTTTCTAAGTATCTAAATATGTTATCTTTTTATTCCTTTTTAATTCTTGCATACAGAAGAATAGGGTTGGGGTGGATGTGGACCTAAAGCAGGAATATCACATAGGGCCCACAAGTATTCCCAAAACACTTGTTCCCAACCCTGTTTTTTCCTGAAGGAACACACACGATTTAATGAATCAGCTTGTTAACAACCTCTTCCTGAGCCGACATGGGTGTGTTAGAGCAGGCTAGCAATGGACAGTGCAGGCATGAACAAGACCAGCGGTGGGAACCACTGATTTATATATTCCTTCAATGTGTAATTATATATTTGATACACTTTAATGAACTTTTTTCAAAATAGGAGTGTCAAATGCAAAAGAAAAATTTGATCAAATATGAAAGGAAATTCAGTGAATTTATCTCTTTATCTCTGTACTGACAAACAGTCAGCCATGTCTGCTTCTAAGTATATAAAATGGCCCTTCCGTTCCACAATAAATGGGTGTGTCTCAGATCTTTGATGCACGTGTGTGTGTCTTTGCTTCTTGCGCACTCCTGGAGCTCCGATGGAGAACAACCAGATGGAGAGAGGTCAAGATGAGATCAGACAGGGACAAAGGAAACCATTTCTTACAATTTGGTGTCAGAGAGTGGGATCTCCGTCGGGAGCTGAGTACTGATCTTTTTTTGCTCATTCTCCTTGACGGTGATCTTGTAGAGGTGTTCCTCCCCTGAGGCCACAGGGGCTACATCATTGGACAGATTAGGCGTGTGAATTCTAAGGGGAATTTACAAAGTCCTTGAAAGATAGGATACACTAGTCTGTTTGGGTTGTCCATTGCTGGTCCAGCGAAGTAGCGAAGACCAATCCCAACCTCCATTCTGTTTGTTCTCCAAATAAAAATGGGGGGTAAAACTGTAAAACCTAATTCTGGGGAAAGCCCAAGGGACTGGATGGACAGGAATAATTTAGGTGAGTGCACCGCCACGTGGATAGATAATTTGGTGGGATGGACAGAATGATCTCGTTCTTATTGTAGTCGGACATATCCGAGAGACGGATCCCTCGAGGAAACTTGCATGAGCAGCAGCATGCATAAGAGATGGTGTAGGGGATCCCAAATGGGATTAGCAATATGTGGATCATTGTCTGGTGACATGGAGTAAAATGAAAATTGACTGGGATAAATATGTCACCCCTAAATGGGCAACAACGGTTAACAAAAAGACCAAGTCAAGTACTAATGTACTAATCTGACTTCCCTGGGTCCCTTCGGCTCCTCTTCGGTATACTAGGCTGCTAATGACAGGATTCGTTTTACTGAAAACATTTTGACTTCAGGATCGATTAACTCAGCAGAATGAAACCAGCAATAATTCTGCTGCTAGTTCTCTTTCTGACTGATTCTAATTCTGATGTAGAGAATGTAACGGCCCGTAATTCACAGAGGCAGAATACTGCTGCACTTTTTTCCATTACTGGTAATGTGGTAACACCCACAACACCTGATATAATAATAAATGTAATAAAACAGATTGTTTCCAGCCTTCCATCCCCACAGCAACCACACAATTTGCTGATTCACTGTTGAAAATGACTAGTTACTCCCGGCTCTCAGGTCCAGATTATAAAATGATCCTATCTCAAAATAATGAGTGGAAGAGGCAAGGGGCATGTCATTATTGTGGAAAAGAGGGGCCTCGGATTAGAGAATGTAGAAAAAAGTGCTCTGATGAAAGTCAATCTCAAAAACCGTTCCAGATTCAGACGGAGGGCCCTAAAACACACACCGGACAACCTGTTGTCTGGAAACTGACGAATGCATAGGGCTGCCCACAGAACGCACCCCACATTGTTGAAGATGCACCTAGTTTGACAATGCTTTTTAAGACATTAACTCTTGTCTCAGGTGATTTGCCACATATGTAACTGTATGTAGATGGCAAAAGGTTTAATTTTCTTGTACACACTGGAGTGGCATTTTCTTTAATTAGTGGCAATGAATATAATGGGCCAGTGTCATGCCAAAATGAATTCTGTGGGAGTGAGTGGGGTGCCAATTTAATGTTCAAAAACACCTCAGCTGTCAGTAACTTGTCCAAATGATCAGGCAATCCTTAAATCATTATGAGCAGAATACAAGGACCAAGTGGGTCTATTAAGTTGTGTACTGTTTAAAGCCAACTGTCAACACAACAGCCAGTGCGCTGCAAGCAATACCCTTTGTCTGGAGAAAAGGAGGAAGGAATTGAGGGTGTGATACAGTCACTGTTAAAAGGCATAATCGTGAAACAACATCTCCATATAACACACCAATAAATCCTGTTACCAGGGCGGGTGGTAGAGGTCAGACATTTACACAAGATTTAATGATGTTGTCATCCCACTTGCGCCAATTGTGCTACAGTTAATAGAATTCCAGTAATACACACACATTTCACTGTTATAGACTTGTGTTCAGCCTTTTTCTGCATCCTAGTCCATGAGGACACTCACTTTTGCTTTCAGTTTCAAAGAACCACAATACACATGGCAGCGTCTCCTGGATGTGTGGATTTTCCCGCTGTTTTTGCCACCACCATGTATGATTCCCTGGATACCCTCAAGGCTGTACTGTGTTGCAGTATGCTGATGATCTGCTACTGAGGGTGAAGGATGAGGCCATGTGCAAGGCTGGCTCTGTGTGTCTGCTTTAGCATTTAGCTGCGTGTTTCAAAGCTGCTCTTGACTAGCTGCTGTACTGTCAAACCAGAGTTTACTATCTCAGTTTCACTTTGTCAAAGGAAAGCTGCAGACTGTGAAAGGACAGAATACAGCTCATTCAGAGTTTTAGACCTCCATCCACCAAGAAAGGCATGATGTCTTTTCTGGGACTGATCAATTACTGTCATGCATGGATTCCAGACTGCTCTTATTGTGACAAGATTTTGAGAATGCGCTGCAAGTCAGATACTCCTGATACGATTGAATGGACCACAGAAATGGCAGAGGCCCTCTTAGAACTGAAACGGTCCCTGTGCTCTTCTCCAGCCCTGGGCCTGCCTAACTATATGCAGTCCTTTCATCTGTACACACATGAACATTATGGGGTTGCTGCAGGTATGCTGGCTCAGCAGCATGGGGTCCACATGAGACCTGTTGCATATTTATCCAAAACATTAGATGTAATGGCACAAAGGCTGCCTGCTTGTTTGCGGGCTGTAGCTGCAGCTGCCCTGATGGTACTGGATGCAGAAAAAAAAAACTGCCCTTTCACACCGATTGACACGGTACACTTCACATCAGGTGCTTACTTTCCCTAACACCATGTCAACACAGCACATGGCAGCAAAAAGGCACAGTGGTTACAAGAACATTTTGACATGCACTAGCAATTTGTCTATTGAAACCTCTTCACCACAATCTCCAGCATTTCATTTGCATCAAATGTTATCTCTCCCTGATTCTGAATTTCTGCCTGAGGCTCACAACTGTTGTGCTGACATCATAGAAGAGTCTGCCTGTCGTGCTGATTTGTTGTCATCACCATTAGAGCATGTTGAAAAGGTTTTTGTAAATGGCTCATGCTCTAAGCCCTGTGATGGTGTTTTGTCTATGTGGTTATGATGTATGTCAACTTCCTAATGTGGTAATTAAAGCACACTTACTTCCTTATCAGTCAGCACACATGGCAGAACTTGTGACCCTCATTAGGGCATGTACTCTAATTAAAGATCAAGACATCAGCATCCTGACTGACAGCATGTATAGCTGGGGTGTGGCTCACAATTACAGCCGAATCTGGGCCCAAAATTGAGGGGCCATGAGTCCCCTAGTTCGGGAGAGGAAGCAGCTGTTGTAGCAGATGCTGTCGCAAAACATGCTGCGAAAAATGGCCCACCACGTTCATACCTTAGTCAACATAATTGTTATTTCTCAGTTTTCTCTCATCCATTGTCTACTGATCCTAGCCTTACTGGCATTGCCATGATACAAGAAAATAGCTCACAAGTAGATAAGGACTACTGGTCCTCACACAATTGTAGTGAGCGTTCGGTTGATTTTGACCTGTCCTGAGGGTTGCATAGCACCGCCAAAATCTTGTTTGCCTTTCCTCATACAACATTTTCATGGTATTCCACATGTTGCACGAAGAGGGGTGATTGAAAATATTAACAGAATATACTGTATTCCAGAAGTGACAAAAACAACAACGTTGATTTTAGATGCATGCCCAGAACTGAAGAATGCAGAATGTGCAGAATGTGCACAGAACTACTGTCTCCTTTTGAGGTTTTGATGGGACAAGCGTTCCCAACACCATGGGTGCAAGGTAAACCTGGTCCGACGAATAGTGGTGACATAGACATAATTGTGTCAGATTACACAGCTGCTGATTGACAAGTTAACAAGCTAATGTTGCTGTTTCTCTCCCTCTCCCCACAGACCAACCAACACACCCATTTAAACAAGGCAAAAAGGTACTAATTAAATGTTTGCTTTCCAGGAAAGTTGGCAAAGCACTCCATGGACCACCATGCACTGTCATTGCAATAACCAGAACAGCTGTTTTGACTAATACACAAGTGCAGTGGATACATGCTACTAAAATAAAAGGGGGCCCCCAGATAGATTGAGCTGTAAGTATTTGGTTGTGTGTCCTTTTTGTTGTTTTGTTCTTCTTCTCTCACATTCTCAGTTTCTCAGGAGCTGATGTGTGGCTTTTTCCGGTTACTAAGAGGGGTGAATTTCTCTAGGTCGACTAGGTGAAGACTGCAGTCCAGATGGATTGTCAGCTCTATCCATGTCGGACTTTGAGAAGACAGGATTGATCAAGATGAGCTATTGTTGACACGTTGTGGGATGACGTGCTAGTAATCTATCTTCTAGCAACCTACACTGCCTGTCACGCAGCACAAAGCTGCTAACAGGCCAGAAGACCATCCGTATACTTCTGTATGAGTAAACATTTTAAATAACTTTTTGCTTATGTTTGAGTTGTGCTTGTAGTCCAACACACTGTTGAAAGATCTTTTACCCTTGCCATGGCATCTATTCCTCTGTTGTCAAAACAAGTTTCTAGTCAATCTCATGAATACACTGGCAATGGGTCTGTTGATTGTTCTTTTGTTTAAATTTGAACTATTTCCATTTTTATATTATGTGCTCTCTGTAACGCTATTATATTTTATTTTGTGTACTGCATGCTGACGCGGTTTTCACTAGTCACAAGTATGCTCAAATCCACCTGGGAGTGTGAACATCCTACGCCAAAACGAAATTTGGGTAGGCTGGGACTTTTCCTGAACTAATTGGGCCTTGCTGCAGGTTTTTTACCCAGCCCTGGTGGTGGACACTCCTTTTTAAGAGTGTTGTTCCTAGGGAACAAAAGAGGGGAATGAAAGGAAATTCAGTGGATTTTCCTAAAGGGAGAATCTTTTTGTTCATTAAATTAAACATCATATGTCTGTGTGTCAGGAACGTCTTGATCTGCAAGTACATTTTTTGGCAGCCACGCCCTGTTCAGCCGTGGTTCCCTGTTTCTTTCACACCTCATCTGCATATTGTTCTTAGAAATCTTGTTTATCTCTGAACTGACCAACTGCCAGCCATGTCTGCTTCTAAGTGTATAAAATAGCCCTGCCGTTCCAAAATAAATGAGTGCGTCTCGAATCTTTGATGTACGTGTGTGTGTCTTTGCTTCTTGCGCACTCCCGATGGAGAACAACCAGATAGAGAGAGGTCAAGGTGGGATCAGACAGAGACAAAGGAAACCATTTCTAACAAAATAGATTAATACTTTTTCTGTTTCTATCTATTTGCAAACATCAAGAAATGCAGAAGGATACTGCTGCAACACTTAAAGTCAGTCTATTCAGCATCAAAAATATATGACGTCAAAAATATATATATATATATGACGTCAGTTCAATAGACCATATTACAAGGAAATCTTGAAGGCGGTACCTGGAGATTTAGGCTTATGGCGCTTCATAAGGCTCGTCATTCTCATTCGGTCCGGGAATTTAATCTTGTTCTTGCGTTTCTCGCCTCCAGCACCGTTGGAAGACTTCTCGGTTTTCTCGGTCGACATCGCTGCGCTGAGAGCTTCAGGCGACTCCAGCACATCTGTAAAAATTACAGTTTAGAAACCAACAGACTTGCCCCACAAATCACGGAGCGCGTTGTGTTTTTTCCACGGTACGCCTCCAGCTTTAGGCACACAGGAATACTTAAACCAGCAACGATGGATCTGTGCTGTCCAACAAACGGCGCATCACAACGCGCTGACCAGCTCCGACCTGCTCATCCAACCCGCGGACTAAACCTGGCACCTAATCATCTGCCTGCGTGGCGTGACAAAACAGAGCGTCTGATAAATCCCGTTAATGTGAATGTAAACGTGAGGAGACGCGCACATCCTTGTCAAAGTCTCTGACTCTGACTCGACAAGACTGCGTTTTACCACATCAAATAGGTTTGAGTTCTCTATTGCTTTGTGTCCCCGTTTTTCATGTGCGGGGTTAGAAACTTGATGAGAAAAGACTATCAGTGTATGCTGATTTGCTTTAATAGTGAACAATTCCAAGGAGATTAATATGTAATAGTCAATTGATTTGAAAAAATGGCAGTGTTTATATTATTGCAGTTTTCCATCATTTCATAGCTCTGCTATAATTATTCACATCAGACTAGACAGCTAGATGACTAAACAGAGTAACAGATGAGTTGAGGTCATGAATCTGCCAAAAACACAACTCTCCCTAATATTGCACATCTAAAACAAAGGACTCTTCTCACCTTTACTTTTCCTCCTTAGGGTTATTGTGGGAAGCTGGATGGTTTTCATTATCACATGAAGATTAGTCAGGTTCTCTCTGAGTTGTGGAGACTCTTTATCTCGTCTGTGTGAGGGACTGTGTTCTTCAGTGTTTTATAAGCTTCAGCTAGTCACTCCACCCTTCCATCCCATGGTCATGTGGTCTGGATGACAGCTGTGAAGTGTTCATGGCCATTTAAAACCTCTTTCAGTTTCCTTTTCCCTAGCTCAATGCCATTGGGGTTTTCCAGATTGTACCCCTTTTACCATGCATGTTTCCTCTGGCGGACTGTTTTTTTTAATCTTATATCTTAAACACTTCCACTTGTGTTCCATTGCATCTGGCACAGACTGAAAATGAAAGATGTACGCATGTGAACGTTACTAAAATGCCTATAAATGATAAAGATGGTTTCTGTTTTTTATTACACAGAACAATGTAATTTTACAATATAACACAGAACATGAAGCCTGGTTCTGAGTTTCTGTCAGTGTTGTTATTCTGCCCTTGATTTCTGCTTCTCACCTCTGTTTTAAAAATTGTGATCATCTGAACCATTTCTAAAGCACATCAGAAAATGTTGTTCTGTTCTTGTGTCACTTTTATCAAGGCTTAAAAAAGCAGCCATGTGGCATGCCATAGCAACAGCCTAGCAACCTTAGCAACCACCTGGGATTTCATAGCAGCAGCTGACATAAAGTTCGTTCGCAAACATTCCCCTTCAAGTATACCTTAATTTTTTAAAAACAGAGCTCTTATAGTAGGTCCAAAAGATTCATTTGAACAAATAGATTCAGATGTTTTCTCTTGGCAGCTATAAAGCTATATAAGAAGTTCAGTATAGTGTAAGGCAAGTATGCAAATGTCCAAAACCCAGATAGACCAAATTACAGTGTGCTTTATAGCCAAATGGTTTCCAGTATGTTTTACATATCTGTAATGTCGAGTAGAGATGTGTGCATTTCCTCATGTTTACATTACATTAGCAGGATTTATAAGGTGCTCTGCATTGTTACGGCACGCAGGCAGATGAATAGGTGGCAGTTTAGTCTGGTTAGATGAACAGGTTGGAGCTGGTCAGCGTGTTGGGGAGGTTTTCCTTTTGATTTTTTTCAAGGACATGTATGATCATGTCCTGCAGCATCTGCACACCGTTTGTTTGATTGTACAGATCCATCTTTTCTGGTTATAGCAATCTTATCTGCATAAAGCTGTGGACTAACTATGAAAAAACAGTGTGCTTGGTATGCATACCATTTTGCACACCGTGAATAAAACAAATTATATATGGAAACCGATGATCCAGGGGTGGATCTACAAGGTGGACCCTCTCTGTAGTGCTTGCTTAATGCCGAGCTTAATTCCAAACACATTTTGATATTTTTTTTTATGTAAAATTCAAAGATTTGTTGAATTTGGCAGTGGTAGAGTATCTCCCATGACCAGATTTTAATCTTTTTAATACAGAATATGTTCTTAAAGAATAGATTTCTTATGCCCAGGAATAACAGCTCTTTGGCTTTTGTGCCTCTGTGAGGCCTCTGACATGTTCTTTGAGAAAGATGCTGTGAGTTAAGGACTTGTTTGTACCCATATCAGCTATTTTGCAGACAGACTGGAGCCATTCAGCATCATGAAGATGAGATGTTAGTTTGGGGAAGACACTTGTGGGTGTTGTGGGAGTTTTAGCCTGCTGCTGCCCCTTAAGCTTTTACCTTGTTAAGCCTTTGCATGTGAGGTTGTGTGTGTTTGTGTGAATGTGTGTAGATAATTGTACATTCTTTAAATTCTTTAAATTATTTCTACTTTTTTGTGTTCCTGTAATCTTAAAAGACATTTTTCCTATTAAATTTAATAATCTCTTTTACTTTTGAAAGTCAATGCGTGGTCTCCTCATTGCATCACAGAAATTATGAATGGATGTTTTCATATATTTCTAAATTTTAATCTTAGTTATCCTGTGGTAAATTATCCAACATATTTATGAAGCATTATTTTTGTCATAAATGTATTAATTTTTAATTTGATTCATAATTTTAATGTGATTGTGTTTAATGAAGAAGTTTAATTTGAATAATCATGTTACCAAAATTCTTTTATACACATGCACTGAAAAAATACAGAGGCCTGTTGTATGTTTTAAGGCGCCTCCATATTCTATTTTGAAAAAAAAATAAATGAATAAATTGTTGTACAATAAACACATAAAATCTAAAAAATCTGTATAAAAATGAAACACTTATACACACTGTCTGGCGGTACAAGCATAAAATAAGAATTATGAATTATTAAAAAATGCAATAAGAAATGACTGTATACCTAAATGTATAACTACATATAATATATACACAGCATAGTCTCACAACTAAGCTTGAGTTGGATTTCTGGACTGGCAGGGGGAGTTAGAAGTGTAGGCAGGGTGACCGGGGCGGCCAGGTAAGCAGCGCTATGTCCTTTTTGCTGATTATTCAGCCCCTGTCTCTGTCTCGTGCCCTGTTTGGCTGTACCTAGCCATGGGAGCAAAATGACAAAATAAGCACTAATAGACTTCAATATGGACAAAGATTACCATATTTACTAATTTTTCACGTTTTCTGATCACCTGTGACATTAACGTTAGTCAGTGGTGTTGAATATGAATATGACTTAGCACCAGTGACTGTGACACCAATGACATGCTGGTAAAAATGGAAGATTTTGTTAGTTGGCTGCCCCACCAGCAGCAGCCAATATTTAAGATCAATGATATAAATGATATATGGCATTAATTTCACAATCAATTGATGAAATACAGTTAACAAGTATAGACACATTTTCTCATCCTTTGAGATGCTTCCTCTCTTGTGAGCCTTGGCTGAAGGACGAAGTTTAATAGAGCTGAAAATACTGTGAATACTGTGTTAAAATGTGACGTGAGTCCCTGTTGCTACCTAATCTGCATCCCCTGGCAAATTTGCACTGCACATGCATACAGAGCATTACTTTTACCAGTACTATCCAATCTGTACAGCATATGTATAAGCATTTTTTTGACTGTTTATATACTGGTGTTTAATGTAGCATTAAACACGCCAAGCTAACTGGTGTTGTAAAAAGAAGCTTGCATGTTGGGTACAGATCAGGAAGCATCCTAAAACTTAAAGCAATGCACATAATGACTGCACTAATGTGGGGCTGATATGATGAGGACACAATAAGTTTGAAAAATGTAACTACTCCCTCATTCCCAAAGAGGCCTTTCTCCACAAGCCTACCCAAAAAGTTATTTCAGGCCTACGCCACTGAGCTAGCATATAAAATTCTTTTGGTTCTGACATAACCTGTGCAACAAAGCCTGTATAATGTTACAACTGATATATTTGGTGCAGCTGAATCTACAAGCCTGGTTCTAAAAAGTTGTGATACTCTGCAAATTGTAAATATAAACAGAATGCAGTGATGCACAAATCATGTAAACCCTATATATATATTTTTTAAATTGGACAAAGACAACATATTAACTTATAAAACAGAGAAATTTGATTGCGTTTGATGAATATATACTTATTTTGAATTTAAAAGCTCTAAATTAGTTTATGGTGGATCTGCCATCGTCAGTGTGGGACAATATATATATATATATATTATATATATATATATATATATGTATATATATATTGTCCCACACTGACGATGGCAGATCAAAAATTGCTTTGTGTTCCCGTTTTTCATGTGCGGGGTTAGAAACTTGATGAGAAAAGACTATCAGTGTATGCTGATTTGCTTTAATAGTGAACAATTCCAAGGAGATTAATATGTAATAGTCAATTGATTTGAAAAAATGGCAGTGTTTATATTATTGCAGTTTTCCATCATTTCATAGCTCTGCTATAATTATTCACATCAGACTAGACAGCTAGATGACTAAACAGAGTAACAGATGAGTTGAGGTCATGAATCTGCCAAAAACACAACTCTCCCTAATATTGCACATCTAAAACAAAGGACTCTTCTCACCTTTACTTTTCCTCCTTAGGGTTATTGTGGGAAGCTGGATGGTTTTCATTATCACATGAAGATTAGTCAGGTTCTCTCTGAGTTGTGGAGACTCTTTATCTCGTCTGTGTGAGGGACTGTGTTCTTCAGTGTTTTATAAGCTTCAGCTAGTCACTCCACCCTTCCATCCCATGGTCATGTGGTCTGGATGACAGCTGTGAAGTGTTCATGGCCATTTAAAACCTCTTTCAGTTTCCTTTTCCCTAGCTCAATGCCATTGGGGTTTTCCAGATTGTACCCCTTTTACCATGCATGTTTCCTCTGGCGGACTGTTTTTTTTAATCTTATATCTTAAACACTTCCACTTGTGTTCCACTGCATCTGGCACAGACTGAAAATGAAAGATGTACGCATGTGAACGTTACTAAAATGCCTATAAATGATAAAGATGGTTTCTGTTTTTTATTACACAGAACAATATAATTTTACAATATAACACAGAACATGAAGCCTGGTTCTGAGTTTCTGTCAGTGTTGTTATTCTGCCCTTGATTTCTGCTTCTCACCTCTGTTTTAAAAATTGTGATCATCTGAACCATTTCTAAAGCACATCAGAAAATGTTGTTCTGTTCTCGTGTCACTTTTATCGAGGCTTAAAAAAGCAGCCATGTGGCATGCCATAGCAACAGCCTAGCAACCTTAGCAACCACCTGGGATTTCATAGCAGCAGCTGACATAAAGTTCGTTCGCAAACATTCCCCTTCAAGTATACCTTAATTTTTTAAAAACAGAGCTCTTATAGTAGGTCCAAAAGATTCATTTGAACAAATAGATTCAGATGTTTTCTCTTGGCAGCTATAAAGCTATATAAGAAGTTCAGTATAGTGTAAGGCAAGTATGCAAATGTCCAAAACCCAGATAGACCAAATTACAGTGTGCTTTATAGCCAAATGGTTTCCAGTATGTTTTACATATCTGTAATGTCGAGTAGAGATGTGTGCATTTCCTCATGTTTACATTACATTAGCAGGATTTATAAGGTGCTCTGCATTGTTACGGCATGCAGGCAGATGAATAGGTGGCAGTTTAGTCTGGTTAGATGAACAGGTTGGAGCTGGTCAGTATGTTGGGGAGGTTTTCCTTTTGATTTTTTTCAAGGACATGTATGATCATGTCCTGCAGCATCTGCACACCGTTTGTTTGATTGTACAGATCCATCTTTTCTGGTTTAAGCATTCTTATCTGCGTAAAGCTGTGGACTAACTATGAAAAAACAGTGTGCTTGGTATGCATACCATTTTGCACACCGTGAATAAAACAAATTATATATGGAAACCGATGATCCAGGGGTGGATCTACAAGGTGGATCCTCTCTGTAGTGCTTGCTTAATGCCGAGCTTAATTCCAAACACATATTTTTTTTATGTAAAATTCAAAGATTTGTTGAATTTGGCAGTGGTAGAGTATCCCCCATGACCAGATTTTAATCTTTTTAATACAGAATATGTTCTTAAAGAATAGATTTCTTATGCCCAGGAATAACAGCTCTTTGGCTTTTGTGCCTCTGTGAGGCCTCTGACATGTTCTTTGAGAAAGATGCTGTGAGTTAAGGACTTGTTTGTACCCATATCAGCTATTTTGCAGACAGACCGGAGCCATTCAGCATCATGAAGATGAGACGTTAGTTTGGGGAAGACACTTGTGGGTGTTGTGGGAGTTTTAGCCTGCTGCTGCCCCTTAAGCTTTTACCTTGTTAAGCCTTTGCGTGTGAGGTTGTGTGTGTTTGTGTGAATGTGTGTAGATAATTGTACATTCTTTAAATTCTTTAAATTATTTCTACTTTTTTGTGTTCCTGTAATCTTAAAAGACATTTTTCCTATTAAATTTAATAATCTCTTTTACTTTTGAAAGTCAATGCGTGGTCTCCTCATTGCATCACAGAAATTATGAATGGATGTTTTCATATATTTCTAAATTTTAATCTTAGTTATCCTGTGGTAAATTATCCAACATATTTATGAAGCATTATTTTTGTCATAAATGTATTAATTTTTAATTTGATTCATAATTTTAATGTGATTGTGTTTAATGAAGAAGTTTAATTTGAATAATCATGTTACCAAAATTCTTTTATACACATGCACTGAAAAAATACAGAGGTCTGTTGTATGTTTTAAGGCGCCTCCATATTCTATTTTGATAAATGAATAAATTGTTGTACAATAAACACATAAAATCTAAAAAATCTGTATAAAAATGAAACACTTATACACACTGTCTGGCGGTACAAGCATAAAATAAGAATTATGAATTATTAAAAAATGCAATAAGAAATGACTGTATACCTAAATGTATAACTACATATAATATATACACAGCATAGTCTCACAACTAAGCTTGAGTTGGATTTCTGGACTGGCAGGGGGAGTTAGAAGTGTAGGCAGGGTGACCGGGGCGGCCAGGTAAGCAGCGCTATGTCCTTTTTGCTGATTATTCAGCCCCTGTCTCTGTCTCGTGCCCTGTTTGGCTGTACCTAGCCATGGGAGCAAAATGACAAAATAAGCACTAATAGACTTCAATATGGACAAAGATTACCATATTTACTAATTTTTCAAGTTTTCTGATCACCTGTGACATTAACGTTAGTCAGTGGTGTTGAATATGAATATGACTTAGCACCAGTGACTGTGACACCAATGACATGCTGGTAAAAATGGAAGATTTTGTTAGTTGGCTGCCCCACCAGCAGCAGCCAATATTTAAGATCAATGATATAAATAATATATGGCATTAATTTCACAATCAATTGATGAAATACAGTTAACAAGTATAGACACATTTTCTCATCCTTTGAGATGCTTCCTCTCTTGTGAGCCTTGGCTGAAGGACGAAGTTTAATAGAGCTGAAAATACTGTGAATACTGTGTTAAAATGTGACGTGAGTCCCTGTTGCTACCTAATCTGCATCCCCTGGCAAATTTGCACTGCACATGCATACAGAGCATTACTTTTACCAGTACTATCCAATCTGTACAGCATATGTATAAGCATTTTTTTGACTGTTTATATACTGGTGTTTAATGTAGCATTAAACACGCCAAGCTAACTGGTGTTGTAAAAAGAAGCTTGCATGTTGGGTACAGATCAGGAAGCATCCTAAAACTTAAAGCAATGCACATAATGACTGCACTAATGTGGGGCTGATATGATGAGGACACAATAAGTTTGAAAAATGTAACTACTCCCTCATTCCCAAAGAGGCCTTTCTCCACAAGCCTACCCAAAAAGTTATTTCAGGCCTACGCCACTGAGCTAGCATATAAAATTCTTTTGGTTCTGACATAACCTGTGCAACAAAGCCTGTATAATGTTACAACTGATATATTTGGTGCAGCTGAATCTACAAGCCTGGTTCTAAAAAGTTGTGATACTCTGCAAATTGTAAATATAAACAGAATGCAGTGATGCACAAATCATGTAAACCCTATATATATATTTTTTAAATTGGACAAAGACAACATATTAACTTATAAAACAGAGAAATTTGATTGCGTTTGATGAATATATACTTATTTTGAATTTAAAAGCTCTAAATTAGTTTATGGTGGATCTGCCATCGTCAGTGTGGGACAATATATATATATATATATATATATATATATATATATATATATATATGTATATATATATTGTCCCACACTGACGATGGCAGATCAAAAATTGCTTTGTGTTCCCGTTTTTCATGTGCGGGGTTAGAAACTTGATGAGAAAAGACTATCAGTGTATGCTGATTTGCTTTAATAGTGAACAATTCCAAGGAGATTAATATGTAATAGTCAATTGATTTGAAAAAATGGCAGTGTTTATATTATTGCAGTTTTCCATCATTTCATAGCTCTGCTATAATTATTCACATCAGACTAGACAGCTAGATGACTAAACAGAGTAACAGATGAGTTGAGGTCATGAATCTGCCAAAAACACAACTCTCCCTAATATTGCACATCTAAAACAAAGGACTCTTCTCACCTTTACTTTTCCTCCTTAGGGTTATTGTGGGAAGCTGGATGGTTTTCATTATCACATGAAGATTAGTCAGGTTCTCTCTGAGTTGTGGAGACTCTTTATCTCGTCTGTGTGAGGGACTGTGTTCTTCAGTGTTTTATAAGCTTCAGCTAGTCACTCCACCCTTCCATCCCATGGTCATGTGGTCTGGATGACAGCTGTGAAGTGTTCATGGCCATTTAAAACCTCTTTCAGTTTCCTTTTCCCTAGCTCAATGCCATTGGGGTTTTCCAGATTGTACCCCTTTTACCATGCATGTTTCCTCTGGCGGACTGTTTTTTTTAATCTTATATCTTAAACACTTCCACTTGTGTTCCACTGCATCTGGCACAGACTGAAAAGGAAACATGTACGCATGTGAACGTTACTAAAATGCCTATAAATGATAAAGATGGTTTCTGTTTTTTATTACACAGAACAATATAATTTTACAATATAACACAGAACATGAAGCCTGGTTCTGAGTTTCTGTCAGTGTTGTTATTCTGCCCTTGATTTCTGCTTCTCACCTCTGTTTTAAAAATTGTGATCATCTGAACCATTTCTAAAGCACATCAGAAAATGTTGTTCTGTTCTCGTGTCACTTTTATCGAGGCTTAAAAAAGCAGCCATGTGGCATGCCATAGCAACAGCCTAGCAACCTTAGCAACCACCTGGGATTTCATAGCAGCAGCTGACATAAAGTTCGTTCGCAAACATTCCCCTTCAAGTATACCTTAATTTTTTAAAAACAGAGCTCTTATAGTAGGTCCAAAAGATTCATTTGAACAAATAGATTCAGATGTTTTCTCTTGGCAGCTATAAAGCTATATAAGAAGTTCAGTATAGTGTAAGGCAAGTATGCAAATGTCCAAAACCCAGATAGACCAAATTACAGTGTGTTTTATAGCCAAATGGTTTCCAGTATGTTTTACATATCTGTAATGTCGAGTAGAGATGTGTGCATTTCCTCATGTTTACATTACATTAGCAGGATTTATAAGGTGCTCTGCATTGTTACGGCACGCAGGCAGATGAATAGGTGGCAGTTTAGTCTGGTTAGATGAACAGGTTGGAGCTGGTCAGTATGTTGGGGAGGTTTTCCTTTTGATTTTTTTCAAGGACATGTATGATCATGTCCTGCAGCATCTGCACGCCGTTTGTTTGATTGTACAGATCCATCTTTTCTGGTTTAAGCATTCTTATCTGCGTAAAGCTGTGGACTAACTATGAAAAAACAGTGTGCTTGGTATGCATACCATTTTGCACACCGTGAATAAAACAAATTATATATGGAAACCGATGATCCAGGGGTGGATCTACAAGGTGGACCCTCTCTGTAGTGCTTGCTTAATGCCGAGCTTAATTCCAAACACATATTTTTTTTATGTAAAATTCAAAGATTTGTTGAATTTGGCAGTGGTAGAGTATCCCCCATGACCAGATTTTAATCTTTTTAATACAGAATATGTTCTTAAAGAATAGATTTCTTATGCCCAGGAATAACAGCTCTTTGGCTTTTGTGCCTCTGTGAGGCCTCTGACATGTTCTTTGAGAAAGATGCTGTGAGTTAAGGACTTGTTTGTACCCATATCAGCTATTTTGCAGACAGACCGGAGCCATTCAGCATCATGAAGATGAGACGTTAGTTTGGGGAAGACACTTGTGGGTGTTGTGGGAGTTTTAGCCTGCTGCTGCCCCTTAAGCTTTTACCTTGTTAAGCCTTTGCGTGTGAGGTTGTGTGTGTTTGTGTGAATGTGTGTAGATAATTGTACATTCTTTAAATTCTTTAAATTATTTCTACTTTTTTGTGTTCCTGTAATCTTAAAAGACATTTTTCCTATTAAATTTAATAATCTCTTTTACTTTTGAAAGTCAATGCGTGGTCTCCTCATTGCATCACAGAAATTATGAATGGATGTTTTCATATATTTCTAAATTTTAATCTTAGTTATCCTGTGGTAAATTATCCAACATATTTATGAAGCATTATTTTTGTCATAAATGTATTAATTTTTAATTTGATTCATAATTTTAATGTGATTGTGTTTAATGAAGAAGTTTAATTTGAATAATCATGTTACCAAAATTCTTTTATACACATGCACTGAAAAAATACAGAGGTCTGTTGTATGTTTTAAGGCGCCTCCATATTCTATTTTGATAAATGAATAAATTGTTGTACAATAAACACATAAAATCTAAAAAATCTGTATAAAAATGAAACACTTATACACACTGTCTGGCGGTACAAGCATAAAATAAGAATTATGAATTATTAAAAAATGCAATAAGAAATGACTGTATACCTAAATGTATAACTACATATAATATATACACAGCATAGTCTCACAACTAAGCTTGAGTTGGATTTCTGGACTGGCAGGGGGAGTTAGAAGTGTAGGCAGGGTGACCGGGGCGGCCAGGTAAGCAGCGCTATGTCCTTTTTGCTGATTATTCAGCCCCTGTCTCTGTCTCGTGCCCTGTTTGGCTGTACCTAGCCATGGGAGCAAAATGACAAAATAAGCACTAATAGACTTCAATATGGACAAAGATTACCATATTTACTAATTTTTCACGTTTTCTGATCACCTGTGACATTAACGTTAGTCAGTGGTGTTGAATATGAATATGACTTAGCACCAGTGACTGTGACACCAATGACATGCTGGTAAAAATGGAAGATTTTGTTAGTTGGCTGCCCCACCAGCAGCAGCCAATATTTAAGATCAATGATATAAATAATATATGGCATTAATTTCACAATCAATTGATGAAATACAGTTAACAAGTATAGACACATTTTCTCATCCTTTGAGATGCTTCCTCTCTTGTGAGCCTTGGCTGAAGGACGAAGTTTAATAGAGCTGAAAATACTGTGAATACTGTGTTAAAATGTGACGTGAGTCCCTGTTGCTACCTAATCTGCATCCCCTGGCAAATTTGCACTGCACATGCATACAGAGCATTACTTTTACCAGTACTATCCAATCTGTACAGCATATGTATAAGCATTTTTTTGACTGTTTATATACTGGTGTTTAATGTAGCATTAAACACGCCAAGCTAACTGGTGTTGTAAAAAGAAGCTTGCATGTTGGGTACAGATCAGGAAGCATCCTAAAACTTAAAGCAATGCACATAATGACTGCACTAATGTGGGGCTGATATGATGAGGACACAATGAGTTTGAAAAATGTAACTACTCCCTCATTCCCAAAGAGGCCTTTCTCCACAAGCCTACCCAAAAAGTTATTTCAGGCCTACGCCACTGAGCTAGCATATAAAATTCTTTTGGTTCTGACATAACCTGTGCAACAAAGCCTGTATAATGTTACAACTGATATATTTGGTGCAGCTGAATCTACAAGCCTGGTTCTAAAAAGTTGTGATACTCTGCAAATTGTAAATATAAACAGAATGCAGTGATGCACAAATCATGTAAACCCTATATATATATTTTTTAAATTGGACAAAGACAACATATTAACTTATAAAACAGAGAAATTTGATTGCGTTTGATGAATATATACTTATTTTGAATTTAAAAGCTCTAAATTAGTTTATGGTGGATCTGCCATCGTCAGTGTGGGACAATATATATATATATATATATATATATATATATATGTATATATATATTGTCCCACACTGACGATGGCAGATCAAAAATTGCTTTGTGTTCCCGTTTTTCATGTGCGGGGTTAGAAACTTGATGAGAAAAGACTATCAGTGTATGCTGATTTGCTTTAATAGTGAACAATTCCAAGGAGATTAATATGTAATAGTCAATTGATTTGAAAAAATGGCAGTGTTTATATTATTGCAGTTTTCCATCATTTCATAGCTCTGCTATAATTATTCACATCAGACTAGACAGCTAGATGACTAAACAGAGTAACAGATGAGTTGAGGTCATGAATCTGCCAAAAACACAACTCTCCCTAATATTGCACATCTAAAACAAAGGACTCTTCTCACCTTTACTTTTCCTCCTTAGGGTTATTGTGGGAAGCTGGATGGTTTTCATTATCACATGAAGATTAGTCAGGTTCTCTCTGAGTTGTGGAGACTCTTTATCTCGTCTGTGTGAGGGACTGTGTTCTTCAGTGTTTTATAAGCTTCAGCTAGTCACTCCACCCTTCCATCCCATGGTCATGTGGTCTGGATGAAAGCAGTGAAGTGTTCATGGCCTTTCAAAACCTCTTTCAGTTTCCTTTTCCCTAGCTCAATGCCATTGGGGTTTTCCAGATTGTATCCCATTTACCATGCATGTTTCCTCTGGCGGACTGTTTTTTTTAATCTTATATCTTAAACACTTCCACTTGTGTTCCACTGCATCTGGCACAGACTGAAAAGGAAACATGTACGCATGTGAACGTTACTAAAATGCCTATAAATGATAAAGATGGTTTCTGTTTTTTATTACACAGAACAATATAATTTTACAATATAACACAGAACATGAAGCCTGGTTCTGAGTTTCTGTCAGTGTTGTTATTCTGCCCTTGATTTCTGCTTCTCACCTCTGTTTTAAAAATTGTGATCATCTGAACCATTTCTAAAGCACATCAGAAAATGTTGTTCTGTTCTTGTGTCACTTTTATCGAGGCTTAAAAAAGCAGCCATGTGGCATGCCATAGCAACAGCCTAGTAACCTTAGCAACCACCTGGGATTTCATAGCAGCAGCTGACATAAAGTTCGTTCGCAAACATTCCCCTTCAAGTATACCTTAATTTTTTAAAAACAGAGCTCTTATAGTAGGTCCAAAAGATTCATTTGAACAAATAGATTCAGATGTTTTCTCTTGGCAGCTATAAAGCTATATAAGAAGTTCAGTATAGTGTAAGGCAAGTATGCAAATGTCCAAAACCCAGATAGACCAAATTACAGTGTGTTTTATAGCCAAATGGTTTCCAGTATGTTTTACATATCTGTAATGTCGAGTAGAGATGTGTGCATTTCCTCATGTTTACATTACATTAGCAGGATTTATAAGGTGCTCTGCATTGTTACGGCACGCAGGCAGATGAATAGGTGGCAGTTTAGTCTGGTTAGATGAACAGGTTGGAGCTGGTCAGTATGTTGGGGAGGTTTTCCTTTTGATTTTTTTCAAGGACATGTATGATCATGTCCTGCAGCATCTGCACGCCATTTGTTTGATTGTACAGATCCATCTTTTCTGGTTATAGCGATCTTATCTGCGTAAAGCTGTGGACTAACTATGAAAAAACAGTGTGCTTGGTATGCATACCATTTTGCACACCGTGAATAAAACAAATTATATATGGAAACCGATGATCCAGGGGTGGATCTACAAGGTGGACCCTCTCTGTAGTGCTTGCTTAATGCCGAGCTTAATTCCAAACACATTTTGATATTTTTTTTATGTAAAATTCAAAGATTTGTTGAATTTGGCAGTGGTAGAGTATCCCCCATGACCAGATTTTAATCTTTTTAATACAGAATATGTTCTTAAAGAATAGATTTCTTATGCCCAGGAATAACAGCTCTTTGGCTTTTGCTCTGGGCCTCTGACTGTCTTTGAGAAAGATGCTGTGAGTTAAGGACTTGTTTGTACCCATATCAGCTATTTTGCAGACAGACCGGAGCCATTCAGCATCATGAAGATGAGACGTTAGTTTGGGGAAGACACTTGTGGGTTGTTGTGGGAGTTTTAGCCTGCTGCTGCCCCTTAAGCTTTTACCTTGTTAAGCCTTTGCGTGTGAGGTTGTGTGTGTTTGTGTGAATGTGTGTAGATAATTGTACATTCTTTAAATTCTTTAAATTATTTCTACTTTTTTGTGTTCCTGTAATCTTAAAAGACATTTTTCCTATTAAATTTAATAATCTCTTTTACTTTTGAAAGTCAATGCGTGGTCTCCTCATTGCATCACAGAAATTATGAATGGATGTTTTCATATATTTCTAAATTTTAATCTTAGTTATCCTGTGGTAAATTATCCAACATATTTATGAAGCATTATTTTTGTCATAAATGTATTAATTTTTAATTTGATTCATAATTTTAATGTGATTGTGTTTAATGAAGAAGTTTAATTTGAATAATCATGTTACCAAAATTCTTTTATACACATGCACTGAAAAAATACAGAGGCCTGTTGTATGTTTTAAGGCGCCTCCATATTCTATTTTGAAAAAAAAATAAATAAATGAATAAATTGTTGTACAATAAACACATAAAATCTAAAAAATCTGTATAAAAATGAAACACTTATACACACTGTCTGGCGGTACAAGCATAAAATAAGAATTATGAATTATTAAAAAATGCAATAAGAAATGACTGTATACCTAAATGTATAACTACATATAATATATACACAGCATAGTCTCACAACTAAGCTTGAGTTGGATTTCTGGACTGGCAGGGGGAGTTAGAAGTGTAGGCAGGGTGACCGGGGCGGCCAGGTAAGCAGCGCTATGTCCTTTTTGCTGATTATTCAGCCCCTGTCTCTGTCTCGTGCCCTGTTTGGCTGTACCTAGCCATGGGAGCAAAATGACAAAATAAGCACTAATAGACTTCAATATGGACAAAGATTACCATATTTACTAATTTTTCAAGTTTTCTGATCACCTGTGACATTAACGTTAGTCAGTGGTGTTGAATATGAATATGACTTAGCACCAGTGACTGTGACACCAATGACATGCTGGTAAAAATGGAAGATTTTGTTAGTTGGCTGCCCCACCAGCAGCAGCCAATATTTAAGATCAATGATATAAATGATATATGGCATTAATTTCACAATCAATTGATGAAATACAGTTAACAAGTATAGACACATTTTCTCATCCTTTGAGATGCTTCCTCTCTTGTGAGCCTTGGCTGAAGGACGAAGTTTAATAGAGCTGAAAATACTGTGAATACTGTGTTAAAATGTGACGTGAGTCCCTGTTGCTACCTAATCTGCATCCCCTGGCAAATTTGCACTGCACATGCATACAGAGCATTACTTTTACCAGTACTATCCAATCTGTACAGCATATGTATAAGCATTTTTTTGACTGTTTATATACTGGTGTTTAATGTAGCATTAAACACGCCAAGCTAACTGGTGTTGTAAAAAGAAGCTTGCATGTTGGGTACAGATCAGGAAGCATCCTAAAACATAAAGCAATGCACATAATGACTGCACTAATGTGGGGCTGATATGATGAGGACACAATGGGTTTGAAAAATGGAACTACTCCCTCATTCCCAAAGAGGCCTTTCTCCACAAGCCTACCCAAAAAGTTATTTCAGGCCTACGCCGCTGAGCTAGCATATAAAATTCTTTTGGTTCTGACATAACCTGTGCAACAAAGCCTGTATAATGTTACAACTGATACATTTGGTGCAGCTGAATCTACAAGCCTGGTTCTAAAAAGTTGTGATACTCTGCAAATTGTAAATATAAACAGAATGCAGTGATGCACAAATCATGTAAACCCTATATATATATTTTTTAAATTGGACAAAGACAACATATTAACTTATAAAACAGAGAAATTTGATTGCGTTTGATGAATATATACTTATTTTGAATTTAAAAGCTCTAAATTAGTTTATGGTGGATCTGCCATCGTCAGTGTGGGACAATATATATATATATATATATATATATATATATATATTATATATATATATTGTCCCACACTGACGATGGCAGATCAAAAATTGCTTTGTGTTCCCGTTTTTCATGTGCGGGGTTAGAAACTTGATGAGAAAAGACTATCAGTGTATGCTGATTTGCTTTAATAGTGAACAATTCCAAGGAGATTAATATGTAATAGTCAATTGATTTGAAAAAATGGCAGTGTTTATATTATTGCAGTTTTCCATCATTTCATAGCTCTGCTATAATTATTCACATCAGACTAGACAGCTAGATGACTAAACAGAGTAACAGATGAGTTGAGGTCATGAATCTGCCAAAAACACAACTCTCCCTAATATTGCACATCTAAAACAAAGGACTCTTCTCACCTTTACTTTTCCTCCTTAGGGTTATTGTGGGAAGCTGGATGGTTTTCATTATCACATGAAGATTAGTCAGGTTCTCTCTGAGTTGTGGAGACTCTTTATCTCGTCTGTGTGAGGGACTGTGTTCTTCAGTGTTTTATAAGCTTCAGCTAGTCACTCCACCCTTCCATCCCATGGTCATGTGGTCTGGATGACAGCTGTAAAGTGTTCATGGCCTTTCAAAACCTCTTTCAGTTTCCTTTTCCCTAGCTCAATGCCATTGGGGTTTTCCAGATTGTACCCCTTTTACCATGCATGTTTCCTCTGGCGGACTGTTTTTTTTAATCTTATATCTTAAACACTTCCACTTGTGTTCCACTGCATCTGGCACAGACTGAAAAGGAAACATGTACGCATGTGAACGTTACTAAAATGCCTATAAATGATAAAGATGGTTTCTGTTTTTTATTACACAGAACAATATAATTTTACAATATAACACAGAACATGAAGCCTGGTTCTGAGTTTCTGTCAGTGTTGTTATTCTGCCCTTGATTTCTGCTTCTCACCTCTGTTTTAAAAATTGTGATCATCTGAACCATTTCTAAAGCACATCAGAAAATGTTGTTCTGTTCTTGTGTCACTTTTATCGAGGCTTAAAAAAGCAGCCATGTGGCATGCCATAGCAACAGCCTAGCAACCTTAGCAACCACCTGGGATTTCATAGCAGCAGCTGACATAAAGTTCGTTCGCAAACATTCCCCTTCAAGTATACCTTAATTTTTTAAAAACAGAGCTCTTATAGTAGGTCCAAAAGATTCATTTGAACAAATAGATTCAGATGTTTTCTCTTGGCAGCTATAAAGCTATATAAGAAGTTCAGTATAGTGTAAGGCAAGTATGCAAATGTCCAAAACCCAGATAGACCAAATTACAGTGTGCTTTATAGCCAAATGGTTTCCAGTATGTTTTACATATCTGTAATGTCGAGTAGAGATGTGTGCATTTCCTCATGTTTACATTACATTAGCAGGATTTATAAGGTGCTCTGCATTGTTACGGCACGCAGGCAGATGAATAGGTGGCAGTTTAGTCTGGTTAGATGAACAGGTTGGAGCTGGTCAGTATGTTGGGGAGGTTTTCCTTTTGATTTTTTTCAAGGACATGTATGATCATGTCCTGCAGCATCTGCACGCCATTTGTTTGATTGTACAGATCCATCTTTTCTGGTTATAGCGATCTTATCTGCGTAAAGCTGTGGACTA